TAGTTAGCATAGTTGGAAGGAATTGGATATAAAATTCTAAAACATTGTATAAATGAGTGTAATTAAAAGCTGGAATATTGTTTGTTTAAAATCAAAAGATCAAAAAATAGTTTTACCTTGTTTAGCTTGATTAATCTGCTGCTCTAGCCTTAATAATATATATTTGGACGTGGATTTGGATTTGGCCCTTACTCCATTTGCTAATGCACACTTTTGACTTTCCTCCATGGATATATTATTGTTCCTCTCCCTGTTGCCCATTCTCTGTTTTCCTTATTAGTTTTATTTCTCTTTTCTCCTCTCTCCCTAGCAGTGTGCTTTTCATTTCCTGCAGGCAAATTCTAATAAAATGAGTATTTTGATTGATGTAACCATTGCCACAATCTTTTTGGTATATTTTAACATATAAACAGTATGTTATTGTTTCAACTGTCTGCAGGGTTTAAAAACGTCTACAATAATCTGAACTTTCTTTAAATGTCTGAACTATCATTTTGACAGGTCTTAAAACTTGATTTAATTGAAGTTAATGTTCCTTGTATAAAGTTGCATTTTCAGTTTTGCTCTTAAATGTGTTTTTCTGAAAACTTTGTATTGATCATGTCGTAACAACTACAAAACAAAACCAACATGCAACCAATACTGATTTTTCTTCATATCCTTTGTACTTGTTTTGCCAGTATGGATGTAAAAAAAGGCCTTAAAGTACATTGAGAATGGTCTTAAAAAGCTGTTGAAACCTGCAGAAACTCTGTAGATGGTTTCATTATAACTGACAGAAAGCCAGCCTTATTATTTCAAGAGACACTTTCATTTGTCAGTGTGCTTACCATGAGTGTCATCACATTCACAACTGTGACTATGCACCAATCGAGACCTGTCTTTATTGTCCAGTAGACACAGTAACTGTTGCTGTGATTGGCCATCAACATGGATACAGAAAACAGTCCATGTGTTTAAAGAGCAACATACAGGTTGACGTTTCTTACTACATTTATACTTGTTGTTTCCTGGAAATGATCATTTCAAAGGTTAGTGCAGGACATTTTGTGGCCAGAAGTAACAAACCATTTCTTTGACATCTGGCATATTGGTATAAATATGCATCTTGATGTTTGTTCATCGTTTTGTTTAGGTTGGCTTGGAATTATAATTTCTTGTTTTATTTTTTTTTTCTGTTCTGAAACAGGACTAGCGAAAGCTTTGGAGGAGAGCGTGAGGACCTGAAGCTGTGGAGATGAGCTATTATTAACCAGCTGTGCTGGAATGCAGCCTCCATAGAGCGGGAGTAAAACGATCTCACCACAAAGGTCCAGGCAGCAAGAGGGGACCTGAACTGCAAGCAGTCTGACACAGTGCCCAACTATCACCTCCACAGCAGGCTGCTACACCTGAGGGTCTACCACGACTAGCAGGTACAACTTCAGGTGCTACACAGCAGGCTTGTGGGGCCACTGAATTGACAAGGGGCTATATCCAGAGGATCCACTGCACCCTTTTAAAAGAACCTTCAGGTGAGGTTTAGGCAGGTGAGTTTATGTCCACTGGTTCCAAAAGGGGTGCTGCTCAACACACAGTTCCACAGTTGAATTTGACCAATCTAAAAAAGTCATATATCACCAACCAACTTGTAGTTGTGAAGATGAAGACCATGCAGACATGTGACGCCTCAATTTTGATTTTTAATGAATTATACAAAAAAAGTATCAATTCTCCCCCAGTTTATTTGCAAAAAGAAATGCCTAAAAACATCCCAACACGCATTGCAATATCTTAGAAAAGCTTCCATGAAATCAGTAATTGTAGGCTGCAATAATCCCCCCCATAAAGTCTGCGAAATCCTGGAAGGACTAAACAAATGAATTGAAAAAGTTCTTCAGAGGCAAAAGGAGAACCAGAAAGAACCAGACATGTGGCTGGCCCTGCAGACAGAGGAGAACAAGCTGAAGGCTGCACGGACCCAGACACAGAGTGAGCTGCAGAGTCAACAGCTACAGTGGCAGGAGGAGGGGTCCAGTCCCTCAGAGACCCTCCACCACACCCTGCAGGAGGAGGAGAGGGCTCTGGAGACAAGATTGGATGGTGTGATGGACAGGATTGTCGACATAGAAGAGCAGATGAAGATCCTCTCTGAACAGATATTTCTAATATTTAGTTCACCCCAAGATAGGACGATAACAGGAAGAATGTGGATCTTCAGTGTCCGTCCTCTTTAAATCCAGCTTTTTATCAGAGATCACTGTAACTCTAACGGCAGGGGCATTAAGATGAGATGCTTCAAGTGTTTTATGAATTTTCTTTTCAACTGAAGAAATTCTTTAGTAGTATCTTTTAAAAGAATTAAAACAACTAATTCTTCCACATTATCCCCGTAAAGCTTTAATAATATGACCTGACTGTCACCTACTCTGTTTGAGAGGGCCTTCTCTTGTCCTGTGTAGTAACAGTTTGATACCACCCGGTGGCAACTGTGTCCCGTCCTGTACTCTGTGTGTGTGTGTGTGTGTGTGTTTATAGGAGAGAGGGATTCTTTTCTGTATAACTTATGTTTTATTTTTTATTTTTTAATAAAAACCTCCAACAGAAACCAATGTTGTTGTTAATGTACAGATAATATAGTTACAGGCATAGATTCTGAAGATAATATCTTGAGCCACTTCATCACTGTTGTCCATCACTGACTTAAAACACATCCAGTATTTCACTAACACTACCTGGAACGTTAAGAAAAGTGTCCCACTTTACACAAAAGCATTATCCCTGTTTGACCTCCACCTTCAGCAAATGTTGGGCAATGCTAAAAATACAGCTTCTGAGAAAAACATAGATGATATTGTGCATTTTTCTTTTGAACTGTAATCAGAGACAACACAGCTTTGAAGAGCAGCTTGCAGGTATACTGCTTTAAAATTCATGATTAAAAATTGTGAAACGTGCGCTTCTGGAGAAAGAAGACAACATCCTACCACAATGGAGTGAAAACTAGCAAGAGTTAGTTGTTTTCACAGTGACCAAAGAGAGCTAATGTTAGCAAACTTTTGTTTTTACGTCTTTGTGGCTATGAAACCCTTCGCAAAAAATGATACGGACAAATAGCATGATATAGAGTGAACAATGAGACAGCAAGTAATGTAACTAACGTTGGCTAGGTTGTGTGTTAGCACGCTGTTAGTTGGTGCTACAAAGCTAACATGCAAGATTGTGAGAGAGGAGACAGTTTACCAGCCGGTAATCTAACATTAGCTTATTCACTGAATTTGACAAAAAGTGTATTGGATTAGAATTGCTGACCCCACCTTTAATGTTTCCTGGAAAATTCTCATTTTAAAAGTTAGCACTAATGCAGGATTTAATATGTTTAAATACTGTCTCCTGTTTACATACATAAATACATCTAAAGCCCTATTCGCACGGGACTAGTATTACCTGGGGACCTCTAGTAATTTGTAATAATTGCGGAGGTCGTCTGTGATCTTAATCCCGTGTGAATCTGCCATGTCTATAATTTGTAAAGTAAAAATTCCAACGCAAATTACCTACCATATTTCGCCAAACACAGAGGTCATGTGATAATATTAGTCCCGTGCGAATCGGCATCTCTGTGATTTGGGGTCGTTTTTTGTTTTTTTTAAGGTTTTTTGTGTTTTCCGTTCCTTTTTCCTGCCTTTTTCCCGGTCGAGAATTATGGAGGCTGCGTTGGCAATTATAAATGAAAGTTTTGACTGCATTTTGGGTGCAAATTCTGGAGGCTCATCTAGGTACACAGCATGGAGACCCATTCGCAGAAAGAGCAAGCTGAAATCCATCAGAAGAGCGAAATCTCGAAAGATGATTCGATGGATTACACGCATGGCAGCATGCGGTAAGGAACATTTTCTATCTTTCAACAGGCTCATCAGTTAATATTATATTATATGTTATGCACAGCTTACGCAGAGCCTTGACATCATATCCGGGGGATAATGCCAGTAAATTCGAGTTAAAACACAGACTTCGCTTATGCCGTGCGAATGCGCCGCACGAAACACAGACGTGGGGGGTAATTACTAAATCACAGTGAGGTCCCCAGGTAATACTAGTCCCGTGCGAATAGGGCTGTAGCTGTACTATTTGCAAGTTCAAATGAGTCAAATGCAAGATATGGCTGATACAAACTCATAGCTTTGTGTATTGCTGTTACAGGTAAGTATCCATACCCTGCCAATACTAGACAACCTATACTACTACTACTAGTATAGTATACTACTACTTTGTGTTTTGTTTTTGTCCGATATGTGATGTGTACACAGTGTTAGCTATTGTTAGTTAACACCGGTCAATCATCACCTGTGCAGTTCTCTTCACACCACAACTCAGAATCTTTCAGAAACTTTCTCAAAATATTGACTAAGCATCTAAAAGAAATAGAGAACCCGTCTCAATAGTTTGACTTAGCATCTCAAAATTATGTTATAACAAAGTCATTATTTTTTCTCTCTCAGACTCTTTTTTTCCCTGCCACATTGGCATGAATGGGCTTCCGTACCTACATAATGTTGCAGTGAAGGTTAAATAGCCCTTTTTTCAGAAGAGCCATTTTGACATGAAATAATAACGCAAACCGGTTGGCAAGCTTATTCTGACAGAGGGTCTTCTCCCTGACTCTGTTAGACCTGAATGGAACGGAGCCTTAATTAGTATCATAGATAACACCTGTGTGTACCCTACTACTTCATGGCAAAATGGCTGCTGTAAGCAGGGTCCAATATGAGGTTGCAGGGCGGTTAAATTCCACTGTAGCTTTAACATAATGGTCCTATGTAAGCTTAATAGTGTCACTTCAGGTGGCCACAACTTTGTCCTGAAACTCAAACAAAAGGCTGAAGTTGAACAATGGGTGTCAGTCAGCAGGCGGAAGGACAGAGGGATGCCCTGGTCCTGGGTCAGCTCTGGGTCGCTCACGTCCCCTAAGCAACGGCCTGATTAATGCAAACACTGCGTTACTATGGAGGCCGAGACACAATCAGTTCATGACACTCACCGGGACTGACCCGGGACAGCAGAGCGCCCCGCAGACATGGAGGAGTCACCTGCAGAGGACAAACGACTGGACTTTATAGCGGACTACGTGCTGAGGACTCTGAAGCTGAAACAGGACAAATGGCAGAAGTGCGTGTCCAGCGAGGACAACAGACAGGTGCTGCAGGAGTTCTTGGACAGAGCCGAGCAGAGGACGCTGGTGGTGTCTGTGACCGCAGCCGGACTGCTGCAGCCCGCCGCCGCCTTCACGGCCGGCGCCAAGAACAAGGCGGTGTACTTTGTGAAGCAAAGAAAAGCAGCGCTGAGTCCAGACTCCATGAAGGATAACTTGGTCTACGGGGACTTGTCTTACGCTCCACTGGATCAGTTTTCTGCTCTAGTTGAGGAGGTAAGCAGACCTATGGAAGCCTACTTCCGCCAATGTGACAGAAAAAAAACTTTATGTAAATTATTGTTAGAAACTTTCTTAAATGACGCTTCTCAAAATAATGAGAAAGCTATTTAACCTTTACTGTGCAACTTTATGTAGATATGGAAGCCCATTTCTGCCAATGTGCCAGAGGAAAAAGTTTCTGTAAGTCATTATAATGAGAAACTTTCTCAAAATATTGACTTAACATCTCAATTTTCTTTCTATTCTTGTCTTTTTTGCAAAACTTTTTTTGTGACATTGGCGGAAATGGGCTTCCATAAAGCAGCAGAGCAGAATGTGTTAATTATTGTTAGGTACAGGGAGGACATTCATTTCTCTCTCACACACTGTTCAGCTGCACACTGTAAGTGTGAAGCTTTAAAATGAGATAAATGACTTTGGCACTAGCACAATTGTGGTTGAAATACAGTCACTCATGCACTGTTTGTAAGTAATGTAGGAACTTGTAACTTTACTTCATTTCAAAGGGGCTTTATTAGCATGGGGAAACAGAGGTTTACATTGCCAAACTAAGTATACATTGATGTATATACAGATTAATAAGAAATATATATATTAGAAAAAAATTAAAAATTGATTTGTAGTTAAAAAAAACCACAAATAAATGAGTTGATTTAATTAATTAATTTGTAAATAAATGTTCCTTTATATTATCAAACCTTTTACATTGTAGGAGGAAGTGCATGTCTGCATCCGCTTCACATATTTGGTTTTCTTTTGGTTGCCATGAGTTTTTGTGTCTTCTTTTTTCAATTTCCAGTTTGTGGTCACTGAGCGTGTACTGTAGGATCTGTCTCTGCTTTCTAGCTCTGACAGTACAGAGATATTCTGCCAATTCATCTCATTTTGAGATCAGATAACATTCTACTATCTACTTTTTAGTTTCTTCTTTGCAGTGTTCCATAGTCCTCTACATTTCTGGTAACTTCTGTTAACACCACATCCAAGGCCGGATTTAGCCCTGAGTGGTGTGGGGCAGAGATGAGCTGTGCCCTTTTTGACACCCCACCCACCCTGTTTTTCTCACTCTTAAGTTTCCAATTTGCAAACAGTGCTAGTGGATTAAAGTGGTGAAACCTACATAAATGGGTAAAATGAACTTGAGTAAATAAAATAAACCAAGATGTAATGTGTGGTATAGTATACACAAGCACAATATTTACCAAACTAATAAAGGCTTTCAAACTGGATTTTAAATGATTGCCCAATTTATGGCTAGATGGATTGCCTTAGCACCCCAACCATTTAGTGGTGCATAAGTAGGTCTATTAAGCAAATTAGCAAACAATTACATAATCACTAACTAATTACCACACTGTGGTTTAAGGCCTTTGGCCCCCCTGTGTGTCCGGGGCCCTGGTGGAATCCAGCTTGGCTGTATTTATCTGACAGTTTTGCACATATGAAGGTTTATGATGAGCTTATAAATTATGATACAATGTTATAAAAAGACTATCCAACAAGATATACAGTAGCCAGCTGCAACATTAAATAATCCAATAATATAATATATAGTAATATAACACTGAGAATTAGCTACATGATGGCTCGTTTTACTACTTTTACTTAAGCAGAATATCTGAATGTCTTCCATCACAGTATGCACCAAGGTTTACTCAAGAGCAAACATTTTTTCCATGTAGAAAATTCCTGTTTCCTCATACTTCTCCAGGTTGTGGCCCCACTGCTGTCTAACAGTAGGAACCACACTGAGTGGCCACAGGTAGTGTCTCAGGATGTCAGACGCCACGTCCACTCCCTCAAGACCAATGTGTTTGTGGTGTCAGGCCAAGTCCAAGGCAAGACTCTGTTGCCTCTCCCTGCGAACTCTGAGAGAGTAGAGCAAGCTGCCCTGGAGACAGACAAAAGGTAAACAAACACATGAGACATAAAGGTTCATGTCAGTGCATCATTTGTCCCACGTCTGCATTCAAAAACGGTTTACTGGCGAAACTTCACAGGGGGGAAATGGTGGATAAAAGCATCATTCACTCCTTGGAGTCAGCAGTGATTGAGTGGAGCCATCAGATCCGCGCCGTCCTGAAGAAAGACTCCTCTGAGGCTCTGCTGGAAGGCAAAAACCCCACACCACACACAGAGCTGCTCTTCTGGAAGAACAGGTCAGCACCTCTGTTATTACAGACACTGCATATCCACTGGCAACTGCTGAGAAGCTCTTGCTCTTGTGTCGTGATTGCGTTCAAATAACACGTCCCTACAGGACCTCAAAGTGGAATTGTTTTAGAAGTTTTTGCTGGTGCTACTAATTATTCCAGTTTTAGAACATTTGTGCTATCAAGTGAAAAATGTAATTTGGAGCCCAGTGCTCTCTTTTTATTTCTTTGTTTTACTCACGCAGCAGAATTGTATCTTATGAGGCCAATATCAACCACTTTCATCATTTGTTATATCTCTGCACAAATGTGACAAAAAGCTTCTCTGTTTCATCTGTTTTGTACTTTGGCATATGAAGGTATAGAGTGCATCCACTCCGGCTGCAAAAGCTTTTGATAAACCCAGCCTAGCTATAATGTAAGTGTGAGCTTACTGTGGACAGCTTCATATGGACTGCTGGTGCAACCCAGTCCTGTGGTCTTCTACAAATGTGATCTTTTTGTTCTCCATGTTAATTCCTCCTTGAAGATATGCAGATCTGGAGTGCATCCACTCCCAGTTAAATTCCTCTAAGGTGAATAAGATGGCGATGCTGTTGGAGGCTGTCGAGAGCAGCTATTTCCCTGCCTTTGCTAACATGCAACAGGACGTCCTGGCAGGTAATAACACAATCTACTCTATCTACCAGACAACATAGGGAAATTAAATGAGTCCTGCTTTCAGAGGTATAGCGCATGCATGAATTTTTTCACATATAGTATTTTGGGGTTGAACTGACTTTGATCTTTACTCGTCAGCCTTGGAGGAAGCGAAGGACATCTGCACCTACTTGAGGCCCCTGCAGCGCCTGTTTGAGGACATGGAAAACGCAGAGTTTCCTGATGTCAGGGGTCAGATCGGACCTTTGATGCACACAGTGTGTCTGGTGTGGGCCAACTCCAGATACTATAACACCCCAGCACGCCTCATCGTTCTGCTGCAGGAGACCTGCAACCTCCTCATACAGCAGGTCAACTGCTGTCTTTTCTCTGTGTCAAGTGGCAACCAATTTTTTATTTTTTTATTTTTACTTCTATTTTGTTGTAACAGTCTTTGTTTCTAAGTAGTCATTACTGTGGTGTTTCTGAACTGCACTTGTCAAAGATCACCTGTCAGTACAAGGAAATAGGAGTGGGTGGATGGTACTTGCTTTTTTTTTCTTGGATTTCCAGTGAAAGAAGTTTTACTGTGGGTGGAACTCTTTTCTTTATTCCTCTCTGCTACGAAGGCTTTCACTGTTCATGCTATCAAATTCTCTATTGTTCCTTTGTGTTTAGTTTTTTGGTAACAAACCTCTGTTTTTGCTACCAAAAATGTATAGTGTACCAGAAATCCTCTCCCAGGAAAGACCACCAGGGCTGGTATAATCCACTACATGGACCTGAGACTAAATTAAGCTCTGGTCACAAGTTCATCTCACTCTCTTTGAAATGTGTATGTGTTAACTACCCACAGTGCACATGGCAGACTACACATGGCAATCTCAAGCTATTTTACCCAAAGACCAACTGGTGATCCTATCTGGAATACCATCCTATGTGTCTGTAGTATTTGCAATATTTTTCCCTGAAGGAATATTCACCATGTATAATAACTAAAATCACAAATGGGTCTCAAGATAAAATAAAAATGCAGTATAAATGCTTTCTTTTTTTAGGCTAAAGCTACATGTCCCAGGCAAGAAACTGAACTGGGGATTTTTAGCTAGACCTTTAGCTGTCACTAAAGCACAAGCCGAGCTAACCGGTTTACTGCTCTCCAACACCAGGCCCGGGTGTATCTAGTTCCAGAAGAGGTTCTGAGAGGAGAGGTATCAGAGAGCCTCCTGAAGGTGCAGACGAGCCTGGAGATCCTGCAGCTCTTCAGGTCCACTTACGAGGACCGTAGGGCCAATCTGAACCAGTACCAGAGGAACGGGAGCTTGGTGAGGCCGTGGGACTTCTCCTCACAGTTGGTCTTCTCTGGACTCGACCACTTTATTAGCAGAGTCAAGACCATTAAAGTGAGTATTGAAAAAACATTATTCATTACTCAAAATGTGCAGAATCATTGAGAAATGTCTAAATCTTTGGTATGTTTATTAGTGCTGTGTATTGACAAGAATCTGGCAATACAGTACACATCACGATACAGGGGATTCATTATATTGTGATATATTGGGAATGTAATATAGAGAACAATACCACCATATACATAAAGATGGATTAAAAAAAAGTGTGCTTTTGTTTGAAATTACCATACAGTATCACAGAAAAAAATGTTGTGATACTCCAGTGTATGGATATTTTCTGAATTATTTTCTTCAATGTGGGCTGAGATGTCAAACTGAAACTTGCCCTATGTAAAATATCTTTGCAGTGCCACTTTACTTTAGCTTGATTTTCCTCCATTTCCCATTTGTTTTTCCCTTTAGGACATCCTGTTCACAGCTGTGGACTTGCTGAAGCTTGAGAAATTGGAGATTGGAGGTGTCCGAGGCCGAGCCCTAAGCCAGCAGGTCCAGCTGCTCCATCAAGAGTTCGTGGACAGTTACAAAGTCTTCACTGAGAAGCCGTATGACTGCTTGGACCTCAACAACAGGGTACGTAGTATTCGGATCACAGGGTGCATGAAGGGTTTGTTCACTTGCCTGCTGGGAAAAAAATGGGCTGTAATTTTGTAGCGCAACTTTGAAGGTCAGTTCATTCTCACAAGGCTTTTATGAAACACGCGGCACACAGGCTACAAGCTCAGTGTAATTTCTACCCCTGAATACGTCTCAGTACATGCCCCCCTTTTTTTCTGCATCTGGCAAACACCACCACAGCCGGGTCACTCCAGCGTTTGTGGAGCAAATTGTTTTTCTGCCCAAATAGACATTTTGTGCCATCTAGCTGCTTAACCAAGATGTTTCTGACTTATAGCAAGAAAAGCAATTTACTTTGCTTGTAAGGCCCAGTCAGCGCTCCCCGCTGGATGGCTTTGAGTCAGTGAGATGTGAAAAGGAATATGCTGTGCTGACTCTGCGCTAGCTCCCGCTGCCATGTGGCGTTTTGGCTGTCGTTTAGTTGAGCTATCTGCCCTGCAGGAGTATGAAGAAGACGTGAGGGAGTTCAAACTTAAGGTGGACGACGCAGACCGACGACTAGGAGCAGTCTTCTGTCAGGCCTTTGAGGACGCCTCCGGACTGGAGCACGCCTTTAAGGTCTAAGAGCTTAATCTCTCTGTGTTTCTCACCCACACACACATATACATTCACACATATTTCTTGAAAGCCTTTTCTCTTATCTGATGTCTGCAGGTTCTGGATATGTTTGGAAGCTTGCTGGAGCGCCCCTTAGTGGCCACAGATGCTCTGGACAGATACCCTCTCCTTGTCTCCATGTTTAACAAAGAGCTGGACTGCTGTAAACTCCTTTACAGCAAACACATCCAGACTGCAGAGGAGCTGGGTGAGCATCTTACACAATACTTCAATTAAGTCACTTCACAGCAGCACGTATGAGTGAGCAAGGATCCCACTACAGCGTGATGTAGAAACCAGATAGTTTGGTTTAGGCATAAATCAACCTTTAGATTGTTAAGATTAGGTATGAAGATGAAAATGGTAATGTTTGGGTTCAGATTAGAGATGACCGGGGTAAGCAAATTTTATCACTTGCCTCGAGTGGAATCTTGCTATGCAGATAGTTTTGTTTTTTGTTTTGTCTCTGAGATTTCAGCCTAAAGGTGGCGGCTCTAAACACTAAAAATGAAATTAAGAAATCATCAGCAGCATGCCTTTGCAGAAACATCATCCCCATTACTCTGAATAATCCACAAATACACAGGCAGCTGCTAAGGGCTGTGATCAAAATCAGTCCCATTTACCATACAGTGCACTATATTTACAGTCCTACACTTTATTGTTTGATTTACACTATAGGCTTTTGCATGGTGCCCTCAAAACTTTCTTTGCAATCTGCAACTTTGCAATGGAACAGACAAAAATCGTATTCTCAAAATCCCACAATGCAATGCTCATCATTTTATACATGATGCAAAATGAACGTGAATGCTGAATGTCTGTAATCTCAATTTACTGCTCACTAAGTAAACTACTGAGTGTATGTTTGAATGATTTAGGACAGCTAGTGTTTGGGACCCCCACTAGGGGGTCCCAAACACTAGCTGTCTTGATTTTAAGGCAGTTTCTAAACTTTTTCAGTCAGGGACTTTTCTATCATTTAGTAAACTGAGATATTTTATGGATATTTCATATAATGTTCCAAACTGTAAAATGAACCCAAATAGAGAATTTTGTGTAATAGATTTTTTCCTGTTGTGGGAACTTTTTATACAAAATGGTATAAGAAAACTTATACAGTAGGCCTATATCTCAGCATTTGATTCACTTCTATGAAGAAAAGTAAAGTAATTGTCAGGGACAAAAAAACACTGAATTTATCAAGTAAGTAGCCTATTAAGTCTGTATGATCGTTTAAAAATGATTAAAATATTACATAATACAGACAGAGAATTGTATAAAGTGTTCCCTTAACAGGAAATAATCGTCGTGAGATTCATCCAAGTCTCTTAAGGTTAAGTCAGAAATCTCAGAGATCAATATCTCAAAACTTGGGGCAATAAAATCAAAACTATCTTTTGTGTCTAGATAGCACTAGAGGTAATGCGTAGGTTTTTTTGTGATTTATGTGAACCAATCCTTTGAACATGAACCACAGTGTTTGGGGTCCAGCTTGGGACCATTTGTTGCGTGTCTTTCCCCATCTCTCTCTCAACTCATTTCCTGCCACGTCTCTACTTTGAACTTTCTAATAAAGGCCAAAGACTACCTGGAAAAAATACTCAAAAGTTTGAGTGAGAATGTGACAGCGAGATCCATAAGAACGCCTCAAGGACACTTTGAAAGGGCATGCTGGTTGTTGTAGAGATTAAACTTGGGATGGTCTTTATTTTACAACTTCTTAACTAAAAAGAGAGATCAAGAGAAATCCTGGAAATTTAGCAGACCTTAAGTCATTTATAACCCTGAAAGACCCTACACACTTATGCTGCTTCATTAGACCTCTTGTCAGGACTGTATGGGTGGGTCCTTTTAGCTTTGTTGTGTCCGTTGGGGTGGGATAATTATCCCTGTTCACTTATTGGTACATGAGCTGTTCTGACACACATAATTCCCAGCATAGCTCCACCCAACTTCAACCTGACTAGAGGTCTAATCAGCCAGAGGTATAGAAAACATCTGTGTGGGTGTGCAGGACATTTAAGTCATCTATAACAATATAGATAACCTTCACTCAGTATGTTGACCAGTCCAGCATAGTGTGATGCTTTACTGCAGAGGCTACTATATGGCCAAGACATGAATTGATCTACACATTAGTGACTCAGGCAATCTCTAGATGGTGCTTTTTGCTCTTAACTTTTGGTTTATCACCTCCTGTAAACAGATATTCTGCCACAGGAGAGTGTTTGTGAGGTCTTGAAAAGTCTAAAATCCAATATTGTGTATTTTAGGTCTTAAAGTGGCTTAAATAGGATTTTGAGAAGTCTTAAAAATTTAATGTATAAATAAAGTTAACGTGTCTTGTATAAAGTTTAATATTTCAGTATTACTCTTATATAATTAATGTGGGGTCTTCCACATTAATACAATAACAAAAGACAAAGTTTGATGTGAAGTAGCGTGGGATCATGGGAGTTGCTGTCTTCCCCACCATTTGTGTCACTGCAATCATCTTCTCCCAGTTAGGATTCCTTCAGTGTTAATCAGTGTTCAACCGGTGTAATGCAGTTTTACCTGAATAAAATGACAGATTCCTCTGAGTTTCAACATTGTTGGAAACATTTAGGATTATGGAAGTGCACAACTGAACTACATATAGAACATAGCTGTAGAGTCTTGGAAATTTTTATTGGCTGTAACAACTCCAAAAGGTAACTGACATGGAACTAATACTTTATTTGCCAGTATGTCTTGCATTGCATTCATACTGGTCTTAAAAAGTCTTAAATTTAACCTGTTGTAGCCTGCAGAAACCATGCACAGGCCATGCTGTCACCATACCGTAGCAGAATTTGTTTTAAGAAATGCTACATGTCATATTTATGGCATCTCTGTCAGAATGAGTTGGTACACTCCACTCTGGTACAGGCCTATTTTGTGAATTATGTGTGAACTACTAATATCTGCAGCCATATCTTTGTGGTGATTATCTGTGTAACAGTAATGATTCCTGACCTCCTCAGGTTGGACTCCAGTGAATAAGAACATGCCAGCAGTAGCTGGTGGGCTGAGATGGGCCCAGGAGCTACAGCAGCGCATCCAGACCCCCTTCACCAAATTCAGACACCTCTCCTACCCGTGAGTCTCCTCTCTTGTCTCCAACACGGCAGATAAAAAAAAATACATTTCAGCGGTCATGCATCTCCAGTGATCTCTGTGTGAATTAATCGCTCTGTGAGCTGTTTTAAAGGCCTCATAAAAATGATGTTTTGGAATATTGGCCACTGGAAAGATATTGGGTATGACCTTTGCAGGGGTCGTAAAATTTCATCTTCTCTGCAGGTGCCTGGAGTCTGCAGAAGGAGCCAGGGTCATTCAGAAGTATGAGGAGATGATGCAACTGCTGGACAGGTGTGTGCGTGTGTATCTTACCTCAGTGTATTACACTGTATGTCATCATGCTTAGATGTATGTATTACTGAATAAAAGAACAGGAAGAAAGATTAAAGGGAATAGACAGTGACAGAATAGGACGCCCTCTTATTGGACTGTAAATATCATAAAAGCCAACAACATGAATCAGATATTATCTCCGTCTCCGGCGTGATTTTTCCATGTAATTTCACACAGACGCCGTTTTCAAACTGAACATAAGTGTTTTTGTTAGTTGAGTGTGTAACAGTTATGAAGCAGCCCCTGTGGAATAACATGTAGACATGCAGCTCGGGGCATGATTTATGTTCTCATTACTGCGGTGCTGCTCTGCAGATTATTTCACAGGGCTCCCATAATCCCATATGCTCTGTCGCCGCTCACTGATGCCAAGTGAGAAATGGCCTTTTAGACCACATCCAACATCAAAACCTGCAAGATTAAGGATTCCATTGGGGGGGGTGCTGTTTGAGAGAGAAAGAGACACAGAGATTTTCTGTTTCTATACTTTTGAAGAAATGTCCTCCCACAAAGACAAAGAAAAGTCTCCCAGCGTCAACATGCTTTCTCTTTTTGTTTTGCCACAAGGGCACCTTTAAGTTAACTTCATTTTGGAGGTCATGTAAACATCATGAATAAAATAAATTAAGATTTTTTTGTATCATCACTACAGGTGTTTCGTTGTGATTTACTGTGTTCAGGAGAGCCAGTCTTACCCAGTTCTTTTTGCATCTATAAAATGTACCTTCTAGAGCCCCATGTACCGAGTCCTTTCTGCAGGAGCCATGGATTCGACTCCAACCTGTGGCCCTTTGCTGCATCTCACGCTCTCCCGTCCCTGTCCTGTCTAATAAAGGGCAAAATAAATGAATACATTTAAATTAGACCATCGTTGTTGCCACATTGTGTGTGTGTGCGTGTGTGTCATGGCAAACTGTGGTCTTCGAGACACCTACTGCAGCAGGAACTACCAGAGAAGCGGAGTGCTTTGCCAGGTGTTTTTATGTCTGTCTGCAAACAGATTTTGTCAAAGCGATAGTGTCACAACCATGCAAGATGTGGCAGAAACTGTACCGGTGTATAGTTGAAATTGAAGACGGGTGGGGTCTGAGCAAGGGTGCCAGAAGTAGGGTGGTAGGAAGTTGGGAAGCAGCCACTGGTCCCTCCAATTACACCCCTGGCCCACTTTCATTTTAGGTTGTGGATCGCTGTATTGCACTTTAAATCATTCCTGTCTGCTCTAAGACATTAGGTAAAATTTAATAAGTTTGTGTGCACCATCGTGGCAAAATGTGGTCCTGGAGACCTGCTGTAGCGAGATCTAGCACAGACACAGTGTTAGTACTTTGTTGTGCCACAGCTGCCCCAGTACTTGATTAGTACTTATCATGTTCATCCCATCACTAGATGGTCTCTAGTTTATAATTCAGAGTGGCTCTCAAGCCCATTTAAGAAAGATAAGAAAGGACAATAGTCAATCAATTAGTCGAGCAGTGGACAATTAATCAGCAACAATTTTGACGGATTCATTGTCGATCAAAGCCAGATGGTTTGTTTTTGTTCTGAGTTTTCTGTGATAATAACTGAATGGGCTTCGGACATGCAAAACAAGCAATCTGAAAGTCAATGTGCATTTGAGGAAATTGTGGTGGGCATTACATTGGGCATGATGTTTTTGTACCAAACAACTGATCTATTATTTGTTTGAGAGAATAGCTTAATCAGTAATGACAATTACTGACATTAGACATTTACTGCAGCCCTTTTTAGAGCTTAGATTAGCATTAGTGTTATCAAAAACTGGGTATGCATTGCAGAAGGTTAAAGATGAGGTTGTCAGTATACTCGATGTCCTTACTAGTGTGGTAAAAAATGCTTGTGTGTGTGTGTGCGCAGTAAACCCAAAATGATGTGAGTAAGTCTTTTGTGAATGAGATCACATCACAGTGTGCACACACAGACACACACCGTGACAAACACCCATTCTTTATGCTTCACACGCTTCATATCACTCCTTCACTCCCTGTCCCCCCACCCAGAGTAATGGAATGATGAACAACACCAGTTCCTTGCCCTCAATTTACTCCCATCAGAAATTAGAGCCCTTGTTATACTGTAATAATCATTGCCGCTGCCTCCGATGAACGCCACCATTATTATACATATTCCAGTCAGGAACAGGACGGGCATGCTCACTCATTACCCCCACAGACAAAATGCAGCGTGATTTATGGCCATGACCAAGGTATTTGATTGCCTCTGCGTCTGCGGTGCCACTATCAGGAAATGAAGCTCACAGCAGAAATCCAATAAGGAGCACACAGTGCGCACTGAAGTTCTCATCATAATCGTGGCTATTTACAGATTGATATAGCTGTACAGAGCCCTGACATATTGTCTGTTCCCAGCCAGATGAATCAGCGTTTATCCTCATATTACCCCCCCACGCCTACATCTAACCCTCCTTCAGCGCTACCTCTCCCTCTGCCCTTATTGTCTGCTCGATATGGACGAGCCAATCACGCCTCCCATTCTGTTTACAACCTCGGAGGATTGGGAAAATGGCTCAATCATATGCCTTTTAGACGCTTGTTTTGTTGCTTATGTTAATTTCCATAATGCCAGCCCGTTTTCACGCCTGTGGCCTTGTGAAAATAAAAGCCCCGGCCCTTTTAATGGGAATGTGAAACAATGTTCTACCCGGGCGGGGAAAGGTACAAATTGTTTCTTCTGTGATAATAACTTCTTGTTTGATTGTGATCGCAGATTGTGTTCTTTGGGTTTGGTATTGCAGATACTCCTCAAGCCTGTATGAGACATGGACGGAGACCGTGGGCGAGAGTTCTCAGTACAACCTCAGTCTGCCATTACTCAGCAGAGACCCGGCCACTCGGCTCATCTCAGTCAACTTCAACCCGCAGGTTTTCACATGGCGCCCACATGCTAGGAAAAGTGATCCAGGACAGGCTGCTAGATGTGTCTCTGCTTGTAATCTTTACCTGTGGACAGGATCTGAGTGATTTATTAGTTTGCTTATATATATATTCATTATTTTTGCCTGCAGCTGCATAAGAGAGTATAAATCCTCAAATAAAGTATATTTTATTTTTGCTGCACATTTATCTTGATAATTAGTTGGGTCAGTTTCTCATTTAAAGTCAGTAATGTTGGGTCACACTGCCCTAAAGAATTGCTAACCTACATGTCATTAATCTGAGTTAGTGGAAAGTTTTCTACCCCCAACAAACTATACTGAATATTTGTTGTTTAAATCTTTATTGTGAAACTGGGCTTAAAAGTAACGGTGTTGAATATTGGCACACACCATTGGCAGCCTGTACTGAAAAAACGAAACTCCACTTTTATGGTCTATGGTTTAAATGTCTTCCAGTGCTTCTAAATTCCCTTTTGACCTCTTCCTAGCTGGCATCCGTGCTGAGGGAAGTGAAGTACCTGGAGGCCAGACAGACCGAGGCCATCCCTGAAACTGCAGTGCAGATCTACACCACCAGGGGGCAACTGTGGCAGTATGTGGCCAACCTGGAGCTCACCGTGGGCCGATACAACAAGGTTGGCTTGGATTAGGATAAAAGCAGTTGAGACAGGGAATTTAAGGATAATTACACTCACTCACCCGAGCTGCCAGAGCCATGAATTGTAAAGTGGCATGCTTGAAAGGTGGACCCTGTGATGAGGGTCATGCATTGACAGTATGTCAAACTAGGCAGTGCTGATCAAATATGAATCCAGCTTCTGTTACTGCGTTGACTATTTTTCACCTAAAATCCTTTCAGAAACATATTTTAGTGTACGGTTTCGCTGTAATGTGAGATTGTGTGTAACTGGGTGAGCCGTCGTTGTTTCTTGCTAGCCAAAAGTGTTTTGTGATGTCTGCTGCTTACCTTGCCACTTAATCTTAGCAAATATCTGATCAGTTTTATAATATAGTGTGTACAGCATAAAAAAAAAATCTAAATGTACCACTATTAACGTAGCATTACTAAAAAGATCAGTTGTCCCTCACTGCTCTGAGATCAGCTGGTGTCACTGTTATGATGACTGATCAAAATGCTTTGGTTGTGTTTTATCATGTGTTTATGAGAAAATGATATCGCAACAGAAGATGAGCTGAGAGGCTGTTTAAAACTTAACTGGTAATACAATATTTCTTTGTCTAAAACACAGTAGACTCATTTGGTTAGCTATACTATTACTCACAGTCCAGTTTTCCATTACATGGGCTCATTATTGTATTAAAAGCTAATTATTCAAAATGATATGACCATAAAGTATACACTGCAGGATGATGAACAGGGTTTACCACATTTCCCTCTTTGTAGAGAATTATATTACATTTTCATGATTTCACTGATTGTCTTCTTACAGTACAAGTAGACAGGCGAGCATGGTTACTGAAAATTAGCTTGCTAATGTCTTGTAGCAGTCCCTCAAAAGTCTCATTTGACATCACAGTATGGGGTGGAGTCACATAGTATCAGTAAAACTACGGGTCAGAATGAGGCTGTAGCTATCCTAGCAGCTATCCTTGCTCCTTTGATGGAGACATCCATTAGCAAATCCAGCTAAATACTGGATGGATTGCCAGGACTTTTGGTACGGACTTTAATGTCCCCAGAGGATAATATTAATTATTTTGAGAATAGCCTGATGGACCACAATTTTATTATTATTATTATTATTATTATTATAAATTAGGTTAAATCTTTAATATCATGATGATTTTCTCTTGCCTTTAGCGCCACCCTCAGGTCATATTTCCAACTTTTCGCTTTGATATCTCAAAACAAACAGCTCATCATTTGCATTTGTATGTAAGATATTTGAAATTGTAAACGCTAGCTTATTACGCAAACCTACTCACCACTCTCAGGATATAGGCCATAAACATCTAAGATTAGTAAAGTCGTCTATCTATATTTCTATCTTGTTCATTAGTTTTGTTTTCTGGTGTTTTAAATTGTAGGATTTAGTGGCATCTAGCAACAGATCGCAAGTCTGGTGACTAGAAAAAAATGGCTCATTCTAACAAACACATAACGATTCCTATATTCAGGTGATTATACAAGAATGAAAATATAGTTATATTAATGCCAATAGATCCTCTTATATGTTACACACTGGACCTTTTTTTTTTTTTAAAGAGAATTAAAGCCTTGTGGGGCTTCTGTCATTGCTGTAGATGGTTTGCGGCTGTCTGATAATATTTATATACTACAGAAATGTTGAAATCTTGGCATGGATCAGTTACACTCTACTCAGCTGAACTACAGTGATTGCTGTGCACGCAGTAAGCTTATAAACATATTAGAAAATTATGCTAATGAGGATGTGCATTGTCTGTGTCTGTATTCACTTAATGACTTAAATGAAAGTTAGTACATAAAATGTGTTTCTTTTTGCCACAGACACTATCAAACACATAATGCTATTGTTGGTCTTAATGGGAACTGGACAGGGGGGCAAAATGGCAGTTTTAATAATGTAGCATTAAACAATGTCGGAGCAATCAGTGATGTAATTAACTCAGCCTCACAGAGGACAGCTCCCACAAAGCTCAGCCACACGTATCGCAGCGCCCTCAATGAGGTGATTACATATTAAAAATACTACATTTCATTGCTTCAGGTGGCTAAAAGTTCAAGTCCAATTAAGTCATGGCAACATGGAACGATCCAGAAACAGTGACTTTAATGAGGATGACATCCTGTCTTGATGCTCTGGGCCTCTGTGCGCCCTTGTCAGTGGCCACACAGAAATTATATTAGAATGATATTTCTGTACACACTTAATGGAAGCTGAAAATCACATCACATCTTCCTCTGTCTCCTTCTCGCTCTCTCTCCGACTGTCTGGCTGCAGGTGATGCACTCTGTGCTCGACGTGGAGCAGCCTCTGGTTCAGGGCCAGCTGGGGGACATTGATGCTCAGCTCAAAAAGGCGGAGGAAAGTCTGAACTGGAACAGCCAAGGTCAGGACACTATCTAAAAACTGCCAGATGAGGAATCTTAAGGAATAGCAGATTTAAATGTCTCCTTTTCCTTAAAGGTTTTGAGATATTGGTTTGAGATTTCTACCTCCACAACCAGATTTTAAAACCAGGAAATGTAGATGAGCCAGACATTTTCAGGAGCCTATTTGATTGAAGCCTTTTTTTTTAGCTTTTGGTAATGCCACATTTTAAAATAATACAAATGAATGTAGTCAAAAATAGCAATGTGCTTGCACTTTAGTGTCACTCTCATGTGATCCCTCCCACCTAGTGATCAGTATTGCTTATGTGCAGTTCCCTACAGAGATGAGAAGGAAGCAAGATGGCTCACTCGTTAGCTTCTTCTATACATTCATTTTCTCTTATTTTGTCATACATCAGATTTATGTATGTGGGTCACTCAGAGGCTGCTCCTGGGCTGAATGTGGCCTGCAGGCCGCCAGTTGAATAGGCCGGCTCTATAGTAAGCAGGAACACTTATGAATCATCTTCATTTTGCTCATTTTTCTTGGCATCACTATGAGGTTGCCAGGTTTGGCATTATTGTGCATGCACCGTGACCTATACCAAAACCTGTACTCACTGACTGTATCTGGCAACCCGTGTTATAGCTGGAGATTCTGAACATCAGTGTTGGGTGGATACACCATTGTTAGTCAAGAAATAGTGCACAGTAATAATAACAGGATTGTGCAGATCAAACAAAAGACATATAACATGTTAATTAGTGAGCTTTTGAAGTGTTGGTAAGCTAGGCTGACCTCCTGGCTCCAGCTCCATACACAGACAAGAGATTGAGATTGATCTTCTCATCTCAAGCAAATAAGAGTGTTTACCAAAATGCTTAACTGTTCCTTAAATCTAAACTCTGGGTTATTTTGTGTTCATCTTTGTTGACATCTTGAATGCTAAACTGACAATTAGAGAGCAAGTCCAGCTCTGTGATGTCTTTTCCTCACACTTGAGTTAGTTTGAGCGGCTGTCACTGCTCCTGCTGCCTATCCAAAATGCTGTTGCTGTAGCACTGCGGTATACAATCACTGTGTTCCAGTTCAGCTCTTTGAATATCTACTGTATATGTGTTTGCTATACTATAGTATAGAGTATAGGATGCAAAAAATCGCAATACATATGTGGTAAAGCAGATCTTTATTTGTATGAAAATTCACACTTTATTATAGAAATATTCCTCCTCTGTGGTGCTCTCTCCATCCCTGTCATTTCTGGGCAGAGCAAGCCGCTATGAGACATGACATGAACAGAAAAGCTTTGCATTTTGAAAGACATAAAGTATGAGTATGAGAGGTGTTCAATCATTGATAGGCTTGGCTTGACACTCCGCTGGCAGGCATGTTGTTAGTTTCTTCGACTCCGGGATTCCCAGAAGAACGTAGCAGAAATGAGAAGAGTGTTTATGGCATAAGCCAGCGTGCTCGTCTGTCTGTGGGAATAAACTCACGGTCCCTCTGCAGAACATTCAGCAGTTGCACACTCCTGCTTTATGTTGTTGTATAGTGTGTGTGTGTGTGTGTGTGTGTGTGTGTGTGTGTGTGTGTGTGTGCTCAGTCTGGATGCTTATGGAAGAAATCATTAGTATGTTGTAGATTAATTTGGGGAATAGATTGGACATTTTCCTCTGTATCTTCTGGCCCGACAGCATTGAGTTTCCATGCGTAGGGAAGAAGCATGGCATTCATTCCATTTTATAGCTGATAACCTGTTCACGTGTATATAAAGCTTGTGTCCACCTGCTTCATGTATCAAATACTTTGAGAAGTACATAACTTTTCCCCTCTCTGTTTATTTCATTAATTTCAAACACCAGTTAAAGCTGTGGTAGGTAATTAAAATGTTTAATGTATATATTTTCTGAAACTTTCACTATATTCTGACAGTAGTACATGAGACAGACAATCTGTGAAAAAGTCAGGTCCCTCTGGCACCTCCTATTGCTCCTAATGGCATTTGCAGGAATCCACCAGTCCTGGATGAAAACAACCAATCACTCCTATTCTAGCTTCATTTTTCCTTAATTTTCTATCCCCTTGACCTCTCAAACACCCATCTCCATCATCCATTCCCCTCTAGATATTTGGCAGTACATCCAGGAGGTGCGAGACTCTGTCTGTGACCTGGAGAGCCGACTCCAGAGGGCCAAAGACAACGTACAGGAGATCCAGAGTTGCATGAGGTCCTGGGCCAGCCCCTTGTTTGACAGGAAGGAGGGCAAAAAAGATGCACTGCTCAGCCTGGATGACAGGGCCGAGAGGCTGGAAAGGTTTTACAGCCTGATACAGTCCTCTGGAGAAAAGATCCACTTCCTGCTTAAGGTGGTTAAAAAAGGGTTCCTCATGGTTGTGTGACATGTCAAATTGGCTTTAAGTTTCACTCATTTCATCGCTCTGCGAGGTTATTACGTAGTCAGCTGTTCCTGATTTGCTTTGCCCTACAGTCATTTTTTTAAAGGTAGTAGAGATGATGATTCAGTGTGAGTATTATGCTCTGTCATGTCTTAGAGCAATCTGGAGCTGTTCAGAGGCGAGCAGGCCTCCGAGGAGTGGAAGGCCTACGTGGAGTACATCGACGACATGATCATCGACGGATTCTTCAACAGTATTGAGTGCTCTCTCAAGTTCTTCCTGGACAACACTGGTAGGATATTAATGAACAAACAATACACAGACAGACAAATCGGATCACATAAACAGGGTTCCCAGGCGTCCTGGTATTGACAATTTAAATTAGGTTTATCAGAAAAAAAATGTCTTGCCTGTCTTTCCATTTCTGTTGACACTACTTGCAGCCAACTTTTGGTGTCACATCTATTTAGTCCTTCCAGGATTTCACAGACTTTTTTTGGGATTGTTGTTGCCTAAAATGATTTATTTCACAGCAGCTTTTTATAGATAGTGTTGCTGTTTTTAGTCTTTTTTTTTGTTGCAATTAAGTTGCGGGAGAAAGTTAAAATTGCAAAAATAGTTAAAAGATTTATAATCTGTTAAAAATTGAAGGCAACTTGTTCCAGTGAGAATAAAACCGCACTGTTCGGAGAGTAAATGTCAGATAATCGAGTTATTATGTTTTAAAAGGAGTGGGGACCTGATAAAGAAACACTCTTACTATCAGCAGTGCTGTAGTCACTGTGCTGTTACTACTGTTGTCTCAAAGCCAGAATGTTGCTGCCAGCCTTGAATGTAATATCCAAAAATTCCACCCTGCTACCCTGATTCTACAGCGAAACCAAAAACATCATCCTCCAGCCAGTGCTGACTTGGACAGCTTCTTAGCAACACATCCTCAGGGGTTTTGATGTCAATTGGGTGTCCGCCTGTATTGGCTGTGGACATGAAATAGGTCTGGACTCGCTTGCTGGCAGGGGTTTTGTCAAACCAGTTCAGATGGACTGGGATGCGGTTCAAGATGTGGTGGAATGTTTCCAGGCTGCTACTGTGTCCAGTTCTTCTTCTCCTCCTTATTCTACACGTTCTTACGCCTCTACTTCCTTTTTTCTTCTTCCTTGGGAGGTTTCAAACAGTCTTTTATGATTAGGAAGATAGTGAGTGAAGTGACCTGGAAATCTCTGAGAACACAGCAATGCTCTAGAGGAAGGAATAAACCATCAGGTCCTTCTCATAGTATTTTGTTTAGGCTGAAACCACAAGACTATCTTACTATATTTCTATGTTATATTCAGAGATATTTGATTCAAATATCATGGTTTAAGATTTAAAAATGATATAGACTAGTGCTGGGCGACAAAAAATGTAAGATTCTGGCGAATTCACGATGTATTGTTGTTTTTTACATAACTGAACTTTAGATATTTTTTAGTGGCTTATTCTACTGTCTTTTGGGCTTATTTATTGCCTTTATTATTTGCTATGCATGAACATTGTTACCTTTTTCTAAAACAAAATATTTAAAAATAGATGTTTCAACACTATAAACGGACATAAAATATTCAAAGTATTTATTTAAAGAGATATTTCTCAAATGTTCTGTTGTTGTCACATTTTTACATCTATTACTCACTTGGCTTCTTCCAGCCTGGTTGTCAGCATGTCTTTTTTTTTTTTTTCTCACTATGGATTCTCCATTGAGTGTTTTCTTAACCACATGACATGTTTTATTAAGGCCAAGAAAAAGAAGCTATGAATAAAAAATGAAAAAGAATATAATATTTTGACAATTGGATCTACTTCTTGCTCTTTCCTCCTCCTTATTCCACTCCTTTTCTCACCATTTAGTTGTTTGTCTTTAGAGGAACACATTTAGTTAAAATTTGTAACACTGTCTTAAATTTCTTCTTATTTAATCATCATGACAAATCCATATGTTTGACTCTAGCACTGCAGATTTAACTGCTTCTCATTGTTTCCATTGTGTGCAGACCAGAGAGCGTCTGTGGCCCCTCTATTTGAGGCTCAGCTGGATCTGAAGGTTCCTGACATAGTGTTCACTCCACCTCTGGATTTTGGGGCGGGAGACAGTTTCTTTGAGCTGGTGGAGAGCCTCATCAATGATGTGTTCAGAATCTCCTCGCTGGTGCCACGGCTCGCCCAGCACAGCCCCTTCCCCCACTACCAGGTACTGACTCCATACATCTATAACTTGTATTTCTTTCATTTTCAACATGCCACATGTCCAAAAAAACTTGCAAAATGTCCCCTCAGGCTGACATGGAGGACATGGCTGATCTGGCAGACATGCGCAATCTCCTAATGGAACGTGCGCAGGGCGTCATGGCAACGTGCTGCGAGTTTCGCAACTCTCTGGACCGCTACAGCTACCTGTATGTGGACGACAGGAAGGAGTTCATGCGTCAGTTCCTTCTGTACGGTCATGTTCTCAACAGCCAGGAGATGGAGGGTTACACTGAGGACAGCGTCTCAGAGAGCCCGCCAACGCTGGATAACTTCAGAGAGCAAGTGGACGGGTGAGTATCACTCAAGTGGAGCATGAGAAAATGTTTGTCTCTGGTCATTTTTATTTTTATTTTCAAGGACATATTTTCATGAGGTGAAGTTAAGTTTAGGTCCAGAGCTGAAATAAGCATTTGGGTTTGGTTTAGCTTCTGATTACGTGACTGAAATCTGTTTGTGGTCACACTGCAGGTATGAGAAGATCTACGAGGAGGTGCAGGGTCTGGAGCCTGTGCATGTGTTCCACGGGTGGATGAGAGTGGATGGCCGTAGCATGAAGAGTGCCTTGCTCAACATCATCAAAAAGTGGAGCTTCATGTTCAAACAGCACCTCATCGACCATGTAACCAACAGGTGCAATACAAGTTTATACAAGTTTATATAGGGGTTTAGCTGCTACAGCTTTATTTGGTCTGGTATGAGCATTAGCTTATTGTGGCTAATGTTAGCACACTTTAGATAGACTTTGACTATAATCTGAATGAGATGTAAATGGCACATTTGTAGAAGCACATTAGCATTGATACCTTGAGTACACCAATGGCAAATAATAATATATTTATCTGCTGATGAACTCTATTGAATGAGTGGCTAGTCTTCAAGACTACAACAGCCAACTGCCTGTGGTTTAGTAGATATTAAAAAGCGAATGATCAAAGGCTGAGATGTTCTTACTGTGGGCCAAACTCCAAAAACACTAGATCCTACACTTCCCATAATGCATCCTGATAGTGTCTCTCCATTAGACCTTCTAAACCTGCAGTTTCTGTTAAACATTTGTGTTCCATGTGCTAGATAGATAACCCTGATGACATGAAGCACAACACAAGACATTATATGTGTGGTCACAGGCTGAGTGGCACTCAACGTAACATAATGATAACATAACTGTCCCTTTAATTATTATTACATCTGTCCCCAGTCTGTCAGATCTGGAGAAGTTCATCAGTGTGGCTGAGGCTGGCCTGAACCAGCAGGTGGAGGAAGGCGACTATGGTGGCCTAGTGGGGGTCATGGGTCACCTGCTGGCTGTTAAGGACAGACAAAGCACCACAGATGCCATGTTTGAGCCCCTGCAACAAACCATCGCTCTGCTGAAGGTCTATGAGCAGGAGCTTCCTGATGTGGTCTACAAACAGTTGGAGGTAATGTTCAGTCACTTAAGATTCTCTTTACCAGCACATATTCTGTTTCTTTCAGCTGAGACAGAGCCATTTCTCTAACTTTTTCTTTGCTTCTTCCGATCGCCCATCTTTGTTCTGTGCTCTTCCTCCTGGCAATTCATCATTTGTCACTCCTGCCGGCTTTGCTTTTATCTCCTCCTCTTCATCTCCCTCTCTCTATATCTGTCTGTTTATCTATCTGTCTGTGCAGGAGTTGCCAGAGAAGTGGAACAATGTGAGAAAGCAGGCTGTGTTAGTCAAACAGCAGGTGGCGCCTCTGCAAGCCATCGAGGTGACCAGCCTGCGTCGGAAGTGCGCCTCATTCGACGTGGAGCAGCACACCTTCAGAGAAAACTTTCGCAACAACGGGCCCTTCAGGTATAGTAAAGAGTTTGGAAACACTGTATTTTAACACCCCTATGTATCATTTATAAGCAGTATACAAACACAAAATGAATGGTTTATAACTCACTATAGTGTAGTTGTAAGCATATACACTTTAAAGTGTTTGTTAATGTAATTGTCAACTATAACTCAACTATAATATAAAGCATTCTGTAACTGATTACATAATATATATACAGTATATAACATGCTGCAATCATTAGCAATTAATGATATATCATTAAACTAAAGAACAAATGTTAATTAACATTACATTATATGTTTGTATAACATCAATGCTGCCTGGATTATGAACACTGGCATCTTTTTTCCCAGTGAGCAAACGGCTACATTCTTTAACTGCATGCAACCTGTAGGGAGGTGGCCGGGGTGGGTGGTGGGTGGTACAAAGCATAAGAGTTTGACATCCCAGATGGGGATTTGCATATGGTTGGGTTCAGGCATTGACGCATTTCATAGGAGGAATTATACTTGTTCACAAACATGAATAAACATTTAAAATGACCCAGTATCTGCTTACAATTACATAATTTTGTATTAGAAGAAATGTATCAATCGTTTGTTTATAAGCAGTATTAAGAATGCTAAATAAGTGGAGGTTAAAAAAAAATGTGTTAGCATTTGATTTGACTGTTTCAGAGTCAGTCAATGAAGGCAACACAATTGGCTGTATAGTGTCCTTTCCCAAGTTTGGGCAAGTAGCTTTGGAAAGATAAGAATGTCACCTTTGTGCCTCCTAACATGATATTATAGAAGTGTTATCTCGAGGCTCTCACATCCGACAAGGCTAATTGAATCTCAACATAATGATAATTAATTCATAGGTAGAGATGCTTCGTCATAATGTCTAATTGTCAGATTAGTTATGTGTGTAATTGGTCTCTTAATAACCTGGTGATTATTTTCCCATTAATGTCATGGAAGTCATTGTTAATTGTCACAGTGTGCATTTAGAGCTGGAGACTCTGGTCTGGTTACGCTGCAGCCAAGTCAAGCTTGGCATAACTGCAGCCCTTCATTACCTAAACACGGCCTGATTTCTACTGGGCTTGTTCAAATGTGTGTGTGTTTTGATGGGTGCCTGTGTGGGCTCATGCATTCGTCCAGGTTTGACAGCGAGAGCCCCTACCAGATGTTGGACGCATTCCATCAGCAGATCCAGGAGCGGGAGGCAGTGATGGCCTCCCTGGTGGAATCTGCCAGCCTGTTCGAGGTCACCGTCTCTGAGTACAAACAGCTCCGACAATGCAGGTAAAGCCCAGAGCTGGAAGGAGAAAATACCACAAGCCTGTGCCAAATTCGGAACTAATGAGCCATTATAGCAGCTCGCTCTTTTACAGTCACAGTCCGTATTTGAAGAGCCCCACTTTTCATTCCCGTTTAATTCACTTTGTCCACTCTCCTCCATCCCCGAGGCGTGAGGTGAGCCTGCTGAAGGAGCTGTGGGACATGATCACCGTGGTGGAATCCAGCATGGCGGCATGGAGGACGACTCCCTGGAGAGAGATCCATGTGGAGGACATGGAGCTGGAGTGCAAACGCTTCTCTAAAGATATTCGGGGGCTGGATAAAGAGGTGAGGGAAGAGAGCGGGGAAGGATAGGAGGATATTTAATATAGCTAAGGTTAAAAAGTGTTAGAGGTTGAAAAAAGGTCGGTAAGGAAAATTAATCTTGAAAAAACATTGAATTTACAACTACAATTGACGGTTTGCTAACCCCGTCCAATGAACAGTGATTATCCCATCATAGCCTTAGCAAGTGTAACTAGACACAGCAGGCCTGCCACACTGTGGATTCCTCTCTGTGTTTAAGCGGTGTGCAGTGGGCTGTAGTAAGAGAGATAATCTGAATTTAAGGAGTTGAGAGGTGGTGTCTTTTTTTTAGACTTTTCAAAACCAATAAAGGAGCAAACGTGTAAGGAATGGATTAAACTGTATGTTTTTCTGTTTTTGCTCTAATGTAACCTGTAGCTGTTAGCATGTCCGGCTAACAAGCTTATTACTACCTACAGTAGTAACGGAGCGTTACTTCCAAGGCAAAGATTGACTAACTACAATGGTTCGTGGGCTCAGAGGTTACTGTAAAGAAAAAACCCATTTCAGAAGTTAGTGTAGAAACTGGTCTTGGCTGCTATTAGAGTTTAAGCTAACGTTAACAGCTTTGTTCTGTTTGTTTTACACTCCAGCAACCCCAGCTACATAAATATTATATATATTAGTTAATTCATTGCTGTTTGCTCAGTAACTTCTCATCCTACAATCCTTTTTTCATAACGTTACGTTAAAAATAAAAACATAAGGTTGGAAAATACGGAATACTATGGAAGCTAAGCAGCCAAACAGCGCCTTATCATACTTCTAAATAACTAGCAACTAACTGATAAACAAGACCAGTGCTGTTTGATAATCGAATGACGGGGATGCTAACTTTTTCCCAGAAACATGCAACTTTAACCTCAGGTTGTTAACATGATATGTAGCCATCAATTGCATATTTAGTAAGAACTCTTTCATTATTCTTAAACAAGTCAGCTGGAACCATTAAAAAATGTGGAGACAGTGTTCTCAACCCACTCACGGAGCTAACATTGTCATGATAGCTAGCTAGCTAAATAGCGACAGTTGTAACCAGAAACTGTTTTTGCCCATTCTTTCTGAAATGAAGTTTTAAAAAATCGGAATAATTTCAAGCAGTAAATCTGTCCCCATTATCTCCGTAAACTGCATTGTGCAAGAACCAAAGGCGTATCAGGCATAGCAACAGTCAACCAGGGGGCCGGGGCTTGGCGAACAGTCAACTGGGAGTTACTAAAAGTGTGTTGCTCAAAGTCAAGGAGGTAGTTTGAGTGCTGGGAAAGGAGAGCAATAACTACCATCTGTCTTTACTATTAACTGCAGCTGGGAGTTGCAGGCCTTTGAGCAAGGCTAAATGTGTGTAAATGCATGAATGTCAACGTCACTGGAATAAATCAGACTAAAATGAAATCCTGACCTGCAGCTGTAAGCTCCCTCAGCCTCGGTCAAAAGCTGATTCCTGGCCTTTGTCTCTGATAGGTCAGAGCGTGGGAGGCCTTCTCAGGTTTGGACAGCAGGGTGAAGAACCTCCTCATCTCCCTCCGGGCCGTGGCAGAGCTCCAAAACCCAGCCATACGAGCCCGACACTGGCATGAGCTGATGGCTGCTACTGGAGTCCGCTTCACCATGGACCAGGTTTCCATTTTGTTCTAGAGATATAGATGATATAGTTCTGTTCATGGCTTTGGGTGAATGTGTCCATAATTATGAATTTGAATTTACAAGCTGTACATTTGCTGAAATGTTTTTTTATTAATATGTGCCAATGATTTAAGAGAGTTTTTGAAGAGGAGACACACAGGGAAGTTTTCTCCAATTATTTTCTCATTTTAGTTCCCAACTCCATCTGCATCCTCACGGGGCGTAATTATTCTGTTTGTAATGCTGCAGCGCTTTTATTTGTACAAAAATGTATTACAGAGACTAAATTGGACTTATAGAACTAGTGCTACAATGTATTCACACTGATACATAAATAGCAGGTTGCAGCACAGTAGGGAGCTGTTTAATCACCAGTTTTATACATGCTAACCAGCGCCACCTATAGGAAAGGAAAGTAAGAGCAGCAGATCTACAGGTAAAGACAGTTTCTGACCTCAATCACTTTTGACATTGGTCACCTCTATTTTTTATCTTTACTCTCTTGCAATGAGATTGGGCTGGTTTCCAAGGATTTATATATATTGTTGGGCTGAAGCTTTCAGTTGTGTACTCTGCCTTACATTACACTACACCATACATACTTGGATTATTTTTACAGCAGGCATTCCTTTTGAATAAGCCCTACTGATAAAAAAGATGAGCATAATCTTTTGACACATATATTACATCTTCGTGTAACTTTTTGTAGCAGTAGCATTTTTCATGTCATAATCATACACTGAACTATAGCTACTCAGCTGTGGCTAAATTCTTTCAACCAGCTGTTGTCTGGTTTATCTTGGGTGTTCTCTGCCCTCCATTTTACTATTTGATGTGACGATACTATGTAGGAGAGGATTGCATTGGGATTGGGATCCCACGGGACCCAATACAAAGCTCGCTCACTGGCGGTTTTTGACTTTGCAGTGAGTGGGAGCAGTCAAAAAATAAACCAAGATTTAGCTAGTGCCAACCAGATGGATGGAGATGGAGTCAACAGATGAAGTTGAAAAGAAAGTTAAAGCAGGTTTTTACAAAACAAAAGCAAGAAACAAGGCCAGTCTGACATTTGGAGGAAAAAGTTACATTACAGTAAAACAATGTCTCTTCACAGGAGGAGACAAAAGATCTCTATTGTGCGGGCGCCGATGGTCAGAAATCCAGCAGGGGGTTACTATTTAAACTAGTGGTTCTCAAACTTTTTTCAATAGTGTACTCCCTTTGAAATATTTCTTCAGCTAAGTACCCCCTGACCTGTGCAAAACATTTTTGGTTGGAAAAAAAGCCTATACAAAAAGGGTTAAATGATCTTGTAACTTCAGTGCTACATTTCAGATGTATAGAATCCATCACTTAATTCCTTAGCATCATTCAACGACACGCCATTAAAGTGGCTGGTGTCTTTTTGATACGTTTCACTTACAGTTTACTGAGAAACATGGGCTTTTGCTTCACTGGGGATGTTTGTCATTCTCTGTGGCAGACAGGCAGCTGCAGTGATCAAACAGTTTTCCACGAACAGTCTGTTACTTTGCTGCTGTTGCCGCCATTTTCACTTTATTTTTCACTTCTTCCCTCATGTTTTCAGCTGTATTGTTGCTACGTTTGAACCACTAATCCATTTGTCATTTAATACCAAATCTGGCTTCCCTCTCACAGTGAACAAACAACATTGTGAAAGTTTGTTGCTTTCTTCTTCTCACTGCTTACTCCTTCTTCAGTAAAGTTTTATAGCATTTGCCAGTTAAAAAATCGTCGTAAATATATTTCATACAACAGGCAGGCCGAGCCTTCAGCCATGGTGAGAATTAGGATTTGGGATTTTCTTGTCCCATTGTTCAAAATAAATCTGAAAATCAATATAGGTCTGTATGCTGGCAGTCAAGCTATGTGAGGATATACATGATAATGGCAATATGCAATAATATCATATATCTTCCCATCCCTAGTTGACAGTTTACAGCAGGTCACAATTGCATTCAAAACAGGAACGTAGAAAATAAAATGGGGTTTATCAAACTTACATTTAAGTTTGCAATGGTATAATTATTTTAGGAATTATGCATGGCAAAATTAACATTTTCAAAAAAAGTATCCCTAGGGATATGCATACCCCTATTTGAGAAACACAGTAGACCACACACACAGACCTGGAGTCAATTCATTGTTAATTACTACCTATTAAATAAATGGAATTTAAATTACAACATTGGTCAGAAAAATGGAAATTAAACATTTTCCTAAAAAACTGCAAGTTGGATGGACAGCAGGTGTGAACCTCTGTGATTATAATGGCTAGTTTCTACTGCTTCACATTAATGACACTGTGTGTCCTTGTTATACTGAAACCAGTAGTCACAGCCAGCACTCAGCAGTAATGTGTTACTAATATTATCATATTATATAATGTAGCTTATATGCATTGTGGGTAAAGTACTAATGTGGTTTTCTGTGAGCAGGAGACCACTCTGGCTGACCTGCTGCAGCTGAACCTGCACTGCTTTGAAGAGGAGGTGAGAGGGATCGTGGACAAGGCTGTTAAAGAGATGGGCATGGAGAAAGTCCTCTCTGAGCTCAACTCCACATGGACAGGTATCTGAAGGGGGGGCTTTGTAACCACAGTCTTCTTTAGTCTGCGGTAGCATTCTGGCTCTCTTTCAACATGAGTGTTTCTCACCCTGCCACCCAGAGTTTATGACCTATTGATAGAGCGTATTGATCCCGTCCAGGTATGCAGTTCCAGTATGAGCCCCACCACCGGACCCAGGTGCCTCTGCTGCGCACAGACGAGGAGCTGATCGAGACACTGGAAGACAACCAGGTACAGCTGCAGAACCTCATGTCGTCCAAGTACATCGCCCACTTCCTGGACGAAGTGTCGTCATGGCAGAGCAAGCTGTCCGTGGCAGACTCTGTCATCTCCATCTGGTTCGAGGTGCAGCGGGCGTGGACCCACCTGGAAAGTATCTTTATTGGCTCAGAAGACATCCGCTCACAGCTGCCTGAGGTGACACACTGATCGCTTACACACACACACAGTTAATTACAGCTCTATAGGTGTACATTGCTGACGAGCTCATATGCATGCAGGCCCTAACCTGCGCCCTTGCTGTTGCCATATGAACCCAGATAGCATGACTGTAATGGCTGTTAATTAAAGAATGCATTAATTGGCTCACACTGCTAGTTTAGGAGCTGAGATTACACGACTTTTTAATTGCTCCCACAATGTTCGGGCTGTGTTTAAACCCAGATGTTTGCTGTTAAACCTCCGATTCTCCTCCCTCTCTCTCTTTTGGAAACCTAAATCCCCTGGCCGGGCTCCCTCGTGAAATCCTCCGCAGGACTCCAGGCGCTTCGAGGGGATTGATGCCGATTTCAAAGAGCTGGCAAACGCCGTGCATCAAACGCCCAACGTAGTGGAGGCCACCAATAAACCGGGTCTGTTTGGTAAACTGGAGGACATCCAGAGCAGGTGAGAGTCTCTTTTTCTACTCCTTAGGTCTGTTACCAGGGGCACTCTCTTACAGGGTTTTAGATACGCACACACACTGACTGTGTATTTCTCCACAGGCTGTCTCTGTGTGAAAAAGCCCTGACAGAATACCTGGACACCAAGCGTCTGGCCTTTCCGAGATTTTACTTCATCTCTTCGGCTGATCTGCTGGACATCCTGTCTAATGGGACCAACCCGCACCAGGTGGCTCCACTAAATTTTGCCTTTGGGGGTAGTGGTGAATTTTATGTTTCAGTCTGTTCAGAGTCAGAAAAAAAATCACCATGCATTTCCAAGCATGTCCGACAAGCTGCTTTTTAACAGTTGTCTAAAACCATCTTCGATTGCACTGTTTAACTCTTGTGCTGTTGACTTTTGTAGTACCCACAGTGTCCACACAGGGGCAATGTCGCTCATAGTTTTGCAGCCTGCTCCAACCTCCATCATCAGGACACTGTCTCATGCATTTCCACCTTGGAGAAATAAATCACTGTTAAACACAACTTGCCACTAAATCTCTCTAAGAGGAAGTTAGCAGTCATGCTGCAAAACATGGGTTCCTGCCCTCGGATAAATGATTCTTAAAAACAGTAATGAAACGTTATTTATTTGCATGCCGGCAAAGAAAATACCGGTCCAACCGTGGGTGTAAACTTAATGTGTCTGTTTGTTTGCTCAGGTCCAGAAGCATCTGTCTAAGCTCTTTGACAACATGGCTAAGATGCAATTTGAGGCAGACGGAGAGGGGAATCCTTCTAAAACTGGTCTTGGCATGTACAGCAAAGAGGAGGAGTACGTCCCCTTTAATCAGTCCTGTGACTGCACTGGACAGGTAAAACACGCCCGTAATCTTTTATTCATGCCTCTAAAACTGTGCTGCTATAACTTCTGTAGGTTGAGCTAAATGCTAAAGACATTTATTATCTTCATTAGAGTTACTGCTGACAGTGGCACTACGGCTGTCCGTAGATGAAAGTGATAGATGAGGAAATTCACTTACCTGCCCTTTTCTGCAATGGAGGAAAACATATATCAAATATAGATATCACAACCCCACAATAAAGAAGACAAACGAAATTGAGTCTGTCGTCACCCCTGGGGTTTTGCATATCGAAGCCTATAAATCCATTAATTTTCCATTACATCCCATAGTATTTGCCTGACTCCACTTTCACTCTAATGCTTATTAATGACCTCATTAGGGTCCATTGATAAGAGAGCCCGTTGGTGCTCACGTGACACACATGGCAATGTTTTTTTACATTTATATTCATGGGGCCTGTCTTTGATTTTTGTGTTTTCTTTTCCATGTAAGGTGGAGGTGTGGTTGAACCGGGTTCTGGACACCATGCGCTCCACGGTCCGTCACGAGATGACCGAGGCTGTGATGGCGTATGAGGACAAACCCAGAGAGCAGTGGCTGTTTGACTATCCGGCTCAGGTAAACAGGCTCAGCGGGATGTATGTATAGATTTAACAAGCAGCACTCACTTTGGGGATTTTCCCCATTAGTCACCTTATCCAACATCAGATGGATTGGCACCATAATCATGTCTGTGCCTCTCATAGATGTTTCAGCCCAGTGCAAACTCTCACTAATGCTTTACATACACAGTTTGCAGCCAGATTCTGTTGAGTATTTTGAACAGCGAGAAAGAGTGTGGCAGGAAGTGAGAACAAATACGGCTGCGTGTCTGTGATAATGAAACACTTGTACCTACCTGGAAATGCTCATGATTTTCTGAAAGTAAGTTTTTGATGCTCTGAATGGCAGAATCTGTGCCTTAACACACTTTTTTAGGACTTTAGAACAGTGGTTCCTAACCTTTTTCCTTGAGGGAGCCCTTTTCTGTCATTGGGTAAACTGACTCGGTGACATATTTTATGGATATTTCATATTCTATTCGATGCATAACAATAACTGTAGAGAACAACTGATGAACTGTACAATGAACAGTGAACACAATAACTGCAGGAAGTTGTGTAAAACGAGTTTTACTGTGAATATTGCATCAGAGATGAGTTTTCCTGATATTCTTAGGAACTTTTTATACAATTCTACAATATCCTGTCTCTATTATGTTACATTTTCAACAATCATACAAACTTGATAGGCAGGTTCCAAATTTAACAGCCGCCAAGCACCAAATGCTGGTCACTCTTTGGACTGGTGGAAAAATAAATTGGGGTCAGGTGGCTGGTAAATAATTTGGAAGTACAGTGTGGGGGCATGTTTACATTGCTGTGGTTTTTATGTGTACCAGCTGAGACTAATGTGACCCTCACTGACCACCATACCTATCATAACATCAGCGAATCAAATCAAAGCAGCTTACTACTTTTTGACACTTGCACAGTGTCTTTCTATGTTTTCGCTGTAAGAAACCTCTGCGTTGGCTGTTATCAGAGATGTGGAGACACATTCACGGTGTTAAGCCACCAAAAAGAAAACATGAAGACAGAGATAAATATGTAGAGAAAGTCACGCAGGTCAGCGAGATCCTGGCTAGAATATGAAGCTCAAAAACATCAGGTAGTTATATTTAGTCAAATATTAAATATTAATAATTAGTTTTGGTTAGTAGATATTCCCAGTTAGAAAAGGGCTTTGCGATCCCCCAATGAAGCTTTGGCAACCCCTATGGGTTGTGTGGATCCTGACTTTGGTTTCAACATTGCTCTAAAGCTCTGGTTCCCAACTTGGGGGTCCCAAGTGTTTATAAAAGCCCAGATACAGAAAACGAGTGCTGAATCCCTCTTCAAGTAACTATGTGACCAGCAGAGCACAAAGGTCAATCTGTTTGTAATTTATCGTAGTATTTCTTCACTGACTGACAACTTACGAAAACAAACATGAATCAGTACTGAAGTCAGTTATAAATCAACAGTGCCAAAGATGTTGCTGCTGAAGGCCAGCATTCCTAAGAAAATGGCAAATATGTGTATTCAGTCTGTGTGCATTCAGTGCCTGATTTACTAATGCAGCAGCTCATTACGCAGTCTGCTCCCGGACCTGATCCTGATGCTGCCCTCCAGACGCTCCCCGCCAGTGAAGGAGAGCTCATAGATCAGTGGTGGGATTTCTACGAGACGGCTGAGCTCAGAATGATAACGCAGTGATCTCAATTACAAATATTTACTTTGGTCAACTCCACCTGAGAAAAAGTCTCGACCTTCGAAAACGAAAAACCTCAGAAAGAGCCAGAGAGGATGGATCACTCTTCCAGGATGGACGGGAAGACATGCAATACATGTGGAGTGTACAGAACAAACCAACAAAATCACATTGTCACTAATAACAGACAAAAATACAGATATTTGCAGATTGTAAAACATAAGTGAAAAGTAGGATCCAGGAGGACATTGAGCTTCAGATACAGGCCAAATAGTTCATAGATAACCACAAAGCACATAGTCCGTCCACTGTTCGTGCATTACAGTAATCACATATTGTGTTCATTAATAACAGCCTAATTTCTTTACTTTTGTTTCTAATAATCACTGACAGTTGCACTGACAAAAACTGACATTTGCAAATAGCGTGACCTCAGTGCATAATCAACCTCTGTTAACATGTCTCCTCCTGTTATTTGCATCATCCAACCCCAAAATTCACATGAGATGAGGACAGACACTCGCACAAAGGACATAAAACTGTGACTCCAGCCTGCTGCGTCTGCTTGATAAACACAGCCTCATTAAATCTGGCTCTGTGTGTGGTCCATTTTCTTTACAAACCTTCCCTGTCTGTTCATCCGATGTTGCTCCAAAATTTGTGACCGGTCACCCGTTTATGTGCAGCTGGAGATTTGACTTTGACAAACAGGCTGATGTGTCGACCAGATATCGACAGGTGAGGTGTCATCGTCTGCTGTGACACTGTATATCAACATTTTCCAATTTTATCTGTAGTAGTTTAGATTGGGTCACACATTCGCTCTATCTTTGTCACCTTCTGTAACACACCAGCTATCCAAACTAAGCATATGACCATGAAAATCAACCTTTGCAGTGGCAACAACAATGGTGACAGAATATCGCGTAACACCGGAAACTGACTTTTATGCCACCATCTTGCCAGTCCTGCAACACTGTAAGCAATGGCTTCTGTTTGGTCTCAAACCTATTAAAACCTATTCATTTCGGAGCTTTTCAACCAAATAATAAATAGATAAATAATCTTGCAAATAACACATTATAATGAAATTGGTATTCATGCTTTACATAATGTTAATCCATCCAATTCAAAAGAATTGCTTTGTTTTGAATGCTATGTATATTTATCTATTTTTAATGCCCTAACCCTACTTAAAATCTAATTTTGCTTATTGATACAGAACTAATACTTTATAATAAATAAATGATTTACATTCATAAATGAGCTGCTTTTTCTTGCTCTGATGTGTAATTCCAAAGGCTTTTTATGAGAATATACATTGTAAATCAACCCAAACCCACTAGACGTCACTTCATGGTAAAAGTAAGTATGGGAAATCATACAGGTAGAATACTTTTTCATCAAATATGTAATGGAATAACATTAAATATGATATTAGCAACAGTGAATTTTTTTGTGCATAACATACCTAAACTGAGTGGGTAGACTAGAGAGAAGAACACATTTTCCAATAAGATATAGTGACTCAAAACCATGTGCTCTCCCAGGCAGGCGAGCATTAGAGGGTTAATGGCCAGACACATAAAACCTGTTCGGCCCATCTAGTGTTCTTTGAAACTGACTTTCCACACTGTTCAGCAAAAACAGCCATGGCCGACAAATCTAAACTTTACATCTATTTCCAAATGTTCCCACTTGCAGATATAAAAGAAAACTCTGGGTTGTTCAGGTAATTGGTTGCCAGTTTTATGCATGAAACATATGGGCATATACATATTAATTAGTTGGCTCAGCGCATCCATTTGTTGTATATTTAGATGCTTTTGTTTTAATTGGATACAAGTTAAGAATCTGAGTGACCTCAAATACAGGGATCCACCCACATAAATCTTATCAACTTTCTTCAGAATGTGAATTCTGTGAATGCTTTCATTACCTCTGATTCAGGTGGCGTTGACCTGCACTCAGATCTGGTGGACGTCTGACGTCGGTATGGCGTTCGCCCGTCTGGAGGAGGGCTATGACAACGCTCTGAAGGAGTACTACAAGAAACAGGTGTCCCAGCTCAACACTCTCATCTCCATGCTGATTGGGCAGCTTACACCAGGCGACCGGCAGAAGGTCATGACCATCTGCACCATCGACGTCCACGCCAGAGACGTGGTGGCGAAAATGAACGCTCAGAAGGTGAATGGTATGAAGGTGGTGGATGAATCTGTCCGAGCAACCTGCATTGTATAAATTCTAATGCAGAACCCGTGATTGCTGATGTAATTTTTTTTTGTTGAGAGGCTATTACCTGTGAGTAATGCACTCAGGATATTCAAGGTATGTCATTACCATAATTAGAGGGTGGAAAAGCACAGATTATTTCTGGCTTTACCTCAAGCCATGACACTCTCTGTTCCACTCATTTCTTTTTTTTTTTCCCAAGGTGGAGAATTCTCAGGCCTTTGTGTGGCTCTCCCAGCTGAGACACCGCTGGGATGAGAAGGAGAAGCATTGTTTTGCCAACATTTGTGACGCCCAGTTTCTCTACTCCTACGAATACCTGGGCAACACGCCACGATTAGTCATCACTCCTCTAACAGACAGGTACGGAGGTCTCATTCTTGGGTTCTTTGTTCAGACTGAGAGGCAAGAAAACTTCACGATTGCTTGTCAGCCGGCTGATGCATGAAACTATTTCAGTTGACCATTAGCCTGCTGTTGCTACACCAAGCTTTCCATTCTTGTACATCACATGCAGTTAATGATAGCATTGCTTACAACTGTCCCTGGTAGATTTTATCAGCTGTAGCTAGGTAGCGAGGTAGCTAACTAAGCTAGATAGATAGATACTTTATTTATCCCGAGGGAAAGGTAGCTCCAGGAGTTGGTTGAAAACAGCTAACTTATTTTAATAAAGGAGGTCTTAGTATGCACATGTGTGATAGTGTGTTAAAAGACTAAAGCTGAATGTCTCAGTCAAAAAGTTAGCTTCCTCACCAACTGATCCATGTGGAGGACATAGTGATAAAGAAACAGCATTGTTCTTTGTCATTCCATAAATCATGCTTTCTCCTTAGCTTACTATGTGGACCTTATGATTTATTGTTTTTAAACAGTATGTTTCACTTTTAATTTTATAAAAGAAAAGCCTTGTAGGATGATGTGTTTGGCAACAGAAACACTATCTTGGAAAACATGTTTGGCTGGAGTTGCTGGAGTCCAAATCCAAAAAACTCTGTAGCTACTGTAGCTGGGAGCAGCTTCCACACAGTGAGAAAATACTACACGATGGAGTTGTTATTTGTGATAAGGGCCTTTTAAAGCCCCCCGCCACTGGAAAAAAAAAAAACTGTATTTCTTCTTGTCCCTACCGTGGGCTGTTTGAATGCTGTATGTGCAGAGTTTGACACTAGAAGGATGTTTTCACATTCGTCTGCTGAAAGTGAAATGTTTCTCTGTGCTCACTGAACATCTGATTTTAACCAGCATGATTTGTGACATCACAAATAGTTAGGAAGTCAGTCCTGGTCCAGTATGCAACCTCTACAGTGTGATGTAGAAACTTGAAGCCACCAGTGCACATCCACTGGACTTTACAGTGAAGGAGGAGACATCTTGTGTCCAGCAGGAAAACTTTAGAAATGAACTACATTTACATATTCAGAGATCCTGGAATTCTGGAGAAAAAATCTTGAAAACATTTTGGCGGAAAACATTGAAATGCGTCGTCAATGAACATTTTGCTGATACATTCAGTATAGACATTTTTGCAACTTTCTAGGTACGTTAATTAAAAGCATTTCCTTAATATGTTAATAGAAAACCTAATTTGGTCAGCATTGCTTTTCCTTCAAGCCGTATTTGCTGTTGCAGATGAGTTGTATATAAACTTAATTTCTGGGAGACAGGGCAGAACAGACACACATTATTGTCCCAAGCATACTATTTGTATACATCTTAATAAATGAGGGGATCTTTAAGGTAAGATGTAAGCCAATGAAATGTTAATTGGCAAGGAAGTTACGCTTACTACAGTAAGCTAGTTAGCCAGTCATGCTAATGATTGCATCTTATGTTATAACCGTTAAACACAGTTGAATCAATTCCTTGGACTTTTGCTCTTGTGTTTTGGGGTTTTGGAAAGGCTGAAAAAAGACCATCCTCCATACTCATTAAATTCTCAGTATCTCTCTTACTACAGTCCCATGCACACAGCTTCAGCATGTGGAGAAATCCAAAGCTTGACAGGCCTGCTGTGCCTAGTTATGGTTGCTAAGCTATGATTGGACAGTCGCACTTTTGGAAAGGCTTAAGTGAAGAGTCAGTTGGCCGAAGGCTGCCAACCCCTTCACTCCTGAAAAAGGTTAAGTGAGAAGCAAGAATTCTAGCATATTGTCCTGTTTATCAAATATGCCAGTTTGCATGAAGCCCATTCAAAACACATTATAAGTACATTTTCTAAAATCCATTTGTGTTGATGAAAATTGGTCTTTTTCTCCTTACTAGAAGATACAAGCTTCTTATCTAATAATAACCATCTGACGCATTCTAATGATCTTCATTTGAATCATTATGTACACCCACCTCAAGCAAAACCTTTTCGAACAGCTCAACCTGGGCGCTGTGCCAACAGCTTGTTTGTTCACATGCACATGTTTCTGCAGGATTCCCGATAAAGTTTTAACTACAGAGATGAATACCTGCCTCCCAGAGCCCTTTGGCAGACTGCAGCGTTTGACTGTGCGGTTTTCCAGACTGACCAGTATTCCCTTTGAAGCCTGAACAAACAGAAACAATGGGCTTTGATGGGCGGATCAGCGGCCGGGTAGCAAGACTTCACCATATGGTGCATGCCCTCGCTGCAACTCACAGTTTGCCACTGGCTTTCACATCAACAATAGACTGTGGGCCATGGGGCTGGGTGTCAAATCCTTTAATACACAGCTAAAAGCATGTTTGCTTCATGATATTGGTACACAAGTTTCTTTTCAACAGAGCCGGAGAGAAGAGACTACATCTTGATGCTGTTAAATGAAAACAGGATATCCCCAAATGTCACATTAGCTGGAAATAAAAGGATTGTTTATTTTGTGACATCATAGGTTTTATTAGTATATCATTATTTTAAAGGGTCAGTTCAGCTAAATAAAAAAACAGCACCTTTCAACAATTCAAAGTGCTTAACTTGCCCACCAGCGACCAGCTTAGGGTTAGGGGTATACAGGTGTGGTTGGGTTAGGGTGGGTCTTAAGAGGTTAAAGGTTAAACCAACTGAATACCTCTCACATTACAACCGTATTGGAGAAACTATGGTGGGCGTGAAACCAATTTGGTTTGTCCATTCTGGGCTACTGTGGAAACATGGTGGCCTTCATGGAAGAGGACCCACTCCCTCTGTAGATAAAAACAGCTCATTCTAAAGTAACAAAAACACAACAGTTCTTATTTACAATGTGATTATACACTAATGAAAACATACCTATGAATATTATATTCCATTTCTGACAATAGAGCCTCCTACATGTTACACACTGGACCTTTAAATATATAATATTTAAAATGAGATATAAAAGACACGCAAGGCAACATAAAAAGACATACATTTGAGAATAAGCTAAAATGAAGTAATAAGTATAACGGGCAAGCCGATCCTTCAGCCATGGTGGCTTAGGATCTTGGAATGAGTGGAAAGATGTAGGCTGCTCCTTGTCCCCTTGTCCAAAATAAATCAGGAAATTAATATAGGACTGTATGCTGGAGAGCTGGAGAGCTTTTTCAAGTCAAGCCATGTGAGGATATTCAGCATTATCATGATAATGCAAATCACTTTAATGAGTGTTTTTTTTTTTTATCACAATACGCAATAGGATTTTGTGTATCGTCATATCCCTAATCCATACATAACATACTGTTGCGGGAGATCAGAAATGTGCAACGTCATACATGTGACAACAGGTGGTTGTATATTTGGGGGGGATAGTAAGCAGTTCCATTTGCTGATGAAGACCACCATTTGACAAATTATTTTTTAAATTGGTTTTAAAACAAATACAGGGCAAATTCTGAGACAGAGTAGGATGGTCTCATAGCAGTAGCAATAGTACTACTAGTGATAGTTTCAAACTGGCAGTTTGTGACAAAACAAAGAAAAGGGGAATAAAAAACTAGGGAAAAATTGGCAGTGGTACTAAGAGAATAATATGAGAATGAAGTATTATGTTAAAGGTTGCCTGGCTACATAATGTGTTGTAGTGAGTGTCGGAGAGGGGGGGGGACACCACCCAGCCATGATGTAATCATAACGTCAGGCCTTTGAAAATATGCAAGACGTGTTCCCCAGACCCTGTAGAGCTTTTTCTCTGATCAGCATTAGAAAGCTTTAAAAAAAGAACAGTAAGTGGACCTTGACTTGAAATTTTCTGTGACACACACTGAACTCAGTCATAAATGAACTTGCCATGCTCAAATCTTTACTTATAATGTGGGTGAACTCTTCCCTTATAGGGTTCATAAACACTGACCTGAACCGTCTAATTGTTTGAAGTAAAAACATAAAGATCATCTAAACTAATGTTAATGCCATACATGTGCAGCTGCTGTGAAAATTCTTCTAATGAATACAGGCCCGTATGTGCTTGTTTACCACAAGCTGACTATAGTCAGTATGGTCTGTTCACCTTCTGCAGCAGTATAATTAGGCTAAAGGAATCACGCTCGCTAATCTATAACAGCAGGACTGTTATCGGCACAATGTTAGCATTCGCTCAATACTTACTGCAGGATCTCCAGTGCTGCACCATTATGCAAAATGTCAGGAATATTTTACCCAGCTCACACACACAGACCAACAGAGAGAGGAATGGAGGGAGAATGAGTCAGACAGACTGATATATAGCTGTTTCTTTTAAAAACGCTGTAATAAAACAAGTCACCTTGTCACAGCCGCCCAGTTCGGCTTCACACTCTCTTGTCTTCTATCTGGCTTTAGTTATTCCGTGCAGGACATCCTTATCTAGTCTCCTAGACGACTGATTGTGAGATTTTTTTGGGCCATATTTCAGGGGAGAGCCATAAAGCCTGTTGGCACTGGTATGTGGATGATACACTGTATACAGATGGGATCATTTGTCTTCTCTGAGCTTCTGTCTCTCGTTATGCTTCCCAATATTTCCCCCTTCCATACATCATCCATTAACCAGCAGCTCATTAAAATCATTGCTGTATTGATATTCAAGGCAAACCATTGTGTTTATTGCCCTGATCAATAAAGTCCTGATTGTCTCCATCAGTTCACGTCTGTGATGCCGCTGGTTTTTATTGATACTAGATGGGCAGACTGTTTGTTAGTCCTGACAGGTTCTGCGGGAGAAGCAATCACTGGTGTCGCTAATCAGCCTGTGTGATAATCAAAGCACAGGAGCAGATTATATTATCATATAATGAGGTTATGTACGATGACGGCTGAGCCGACACCGAGACACTGTCAGTGCTGGTTATAAGACTGTGTCAACTCAGGATTTGTCATTCGTGCTGTGTGCAGTTTTTGTAATGCTGCTGTAGAAATTAGGCCTTTTTTATGGGATGCATTTATTAAAAGTCAGTCTGGATCATTTAAAGGGGCAGCTTGTTGGAGAGATTTGTAGATGCTGGAGTAACTAGCATTGCAAGTTTTCCATTGTATTGAAATGATTTCCTTCTGGGATCACAGTTTACTTTGGAAGAGTGGGAATTCTCCTAAAACAGCAGATAATCAATCAGAAATGGGTATTTATTCACATTTTTCTCATATTTATTCGACTATGTGGTAGTATTGTAGGGTAGTTGGGGAAATAATTCCTCTTGGAATCACATAAGATTCTTTGATCTTGTGTTTGTCAGTACATTGTCTTACCTGTTACTGCATGCAGTAGCAGGCGAGGAAAATCTTTTGTGTGCAGCCATGTTGTTTGAGCGGTCTGAGGCACAGGAGATTGGCTGTAAGGTTGTAGTGATCTTCGGCACTCAATGCTCCACCTGTTGAATGCCGCTCCGCACTGATTGTCTGGTTAAGCCACTTGTTGAGCCATCTGTGTAGATTGTGTTTACACATTTTACACTCCACATCATTCATACTTATTCCAAAAACTATTTTCCCACACAGCTGGACTTGAGCTGGTTTAGAGAAGGCATCTTTTAGATGGAATATGGAGTGTGCCACCAGACTAATGATTTGTCACTTTGTCAGTGTTTAAAAGGCAATTATAAACTGATTTATTCAATTGCATTTAAATGATGTATTAATACACTCAAACTGAAAAACCAGAATAAAAGACAGTAAAATTGGCCATGTATTATTTCTGTTCCCTTATCCAGTATAATAGAGAATAATAATAATAATTTAACATTTTGAACTACCACTATACGTTTTTTCAACTTCTTTCCAAGATGAGATGATGATATATCACTACTATGCTTGTATGTTAAGTATAGAACCATACAGTCAAGAATAAGCCTAGCTTAGCATAAAGAATGAAAGCAGGGGAAACAGCTAGTACAGTACAGTACGGCTGTGGTGCAGAGGCAGAGCGGTTGGTTTGATCCCCGGCTCCTGGTGCCACATGTCGAAGTATCCTTGAGCAAGATACTGAACCCTGAATTGCTCCCGATGCCGTGCATCGGTGTGTGAATGTGTCTGAATGTTAGTTTCTGTTCGATGGACTTTGCCATCACTGAGTGAATGTGTGTGAAAGGGTGAATGTGGCACGTAGTGTAAAAGTGCTTTGAGTGGTCGGAAGACTAGAAAGGCGCTATACAAGTACAGGTCCATTTACCATTTACAGCTAGGAATCAGAGCCGGTGATCTGAGCGCCCAGTCCTAGCTAACACAGCTACATTTGGCAGCAGATACTTTACTGTCCATCAGGAAACTCTGTAAATCACAGAGAGTTGAGGCGGAGCAGCCGGAGGACAACAGAGGGAAAACTAGAAAAGATTTTATCCATAAAATATGATCCAGTTTCACCAGAATCAGTCACATAGTTGGTGGTGTGTGACTACAGCCGTAAAGCATTACACATCCACCCGGAGCCAAAAGTTATATAGTGCAAAACAGGTGTACAGGGCACAGAGTGGGAAAGACAGAGGCACCATTCACCCCATCAGTGCCCCTATCAGTGGAGCAAAAATAACTTTAAGTCTGTTATTTTAAGGGAGTTCCATAATGCTTTACATTTCTTTATTATTGCTGTCAAAATGTATAAAAATGTGCGTCATCATGCTCCTCACTGTGAATGAATGGAAGGCAGTGACCTCGTCCTCATCTTCATCAATGGAGGAGCAGTCGGTCGAATCACTCAAAAGCAATGTGTGTGTGTTAGCTGTCCACCACCTCATCAGTGTGTATCTCTTTAGATGCTACATCACCCTGACCCAGTCCCTCCACCTGACCATGAGCGGAGCTCCGGCGGGGCCCGCAGGCACAGGGAAGACCGAGACGACCAAAGACTTGGGCCGAGCCCTGGGCATCATGGTCTACGTATTTAACTGCTCCGAGCAGATGGACTACAAGGTGAGCAATGTGTGCACATATGCTAACGTGCATTCGCAGCAGCCCGTATTATGCACGTCTCTTTTCATCTTTGCCTTTGTCAGCGTTATGATATGCATTCGTCATTAAAGTCATCAGCCCACCTTTATGCCCTTCTCTTTTCATCTTTTTACTTTTCATCTCCCGTTTGCTTACTCCCCCCCGCCCCGAAAGACGAACTGATTAGTTAAACTCTGATTGTTATTTCTTTGCTAAACCTTGTCAAAATGCCCTCTCTGTACCCAGCCCCCACCTTGCTTCATTATGCGCTCTTGTATATTCTTGCACACACACTTTCTGCATATAGAGTGCTCAAGGGAGGCATAAACATAATCTTGTGATCCGGCTTCACAGGGGCGTCATTACAGTATAGAGGCGTACAGCACCCGCGGCTATACACACCACAGCAAGGTGTCAGAGAGAAGTGCTAATATACTCCAGGAGGTACACAAGGCAGTAGAAGCTGGCTTCAGAGGCCCACACTGTTACTCATATTCAGTCATGCGCACGCACACACACACACAAGCTGAATCAATCCTCCAGTCAGCTCCAGTTTGCGTCAGAGAGGGTTTCCTCCGCCCTGTAATTGGAGAGAAAAGTCAGCTCCCTGCTTCATCCTGGTCCAGCTGCTCTCCAGAGTTCTGTTCACCTGCTCTCAAGTTGATGTTGGCAAAGCTAGAATTTTCTCTTTTTGCAATCAACGCCTTGTTTTATTAGTGTGAGACCTTGTTTATGCATCATCCTGTTATTATTCGCCTACTCTCAGCCTGCTGTGTAGCTGCAAAGAATGTTCTTTTCCCATATATCTTCTGTCTAATGGCCAATACGTCTGCCTCACCACACGCCTTATCAGTCAGTCAGACAGGGTCTCCACCTGTGAGCCCGCCTGACTGACTTCCTGTCCCGCTGTGTCCATCTGAATGTCTGTCTCTCTGTCTCTGTCCACCAGTCTTGTGGGAGCATCTACAAAGGCCTGGCTCAGACGGGGGCATGGGGCTGCTTTGACGAATTTAACAGGATCTCAGTGGAGGTGCTGTCTGTGGTGGCTGTGCAGGTAAGAACAAGCCCTCCGCCTCAGGTACTCCCAAAATCTCATTCCGGCAGAGACTTCGTTGCGAGAGCAGCTCGTGTGTGTTTTCACCCCGGGCAGGTGGAGCTAAGTGTGTGAGTTTTCATCTAATTTGAGAAGTGGTCTATCCAAATCAAGTTGTGGTGAAAATAAGCCCTTGAAAACAGCACCGCTGTAGTAAATAGCCTCTTCATCACCGATTGCAAGCGTAAATTGCTTCAGATATATAAGACTAATCCAACAAGACTGGCACCTTTGCACCGCAGAGCCTCTTCATAATTGGAGCCTCCTCTGATCTGATTTGAGAGTTGAGGATGGAAAACCGCCTCCTTTGCTCGCCCGTGGAGCTGGTCACGATGCTCACATCTTACAGCGCTAATAACAGCAACTCTGACCAGACAAACTGCAAGCTCTCAAAGGATGTGCTGCAATTATTCTGGGGAATTATTCTTTGCTCAGTGTTTGTACATGCTTAATTTGCAAATGTGTATAAATAACAAATTATTTGCCCTTTATTTGAATTAATTTTCTCTGTGACATTACAAGCTTTCCTTCCACTGTTTTTGACTGACACCAAAATAGCCCATTTTGAGCCTTGAGCATGTCCCTTTTGTCTATCCCACTTAAATATGTATTAACAGTTGGAAATGTGGTACTGTCAAACAAACAAATACACACAAGCAACTTGGTTGCAAATATACTTGCATCCAGACAGTAGCAAACATTTGAACTTGATAACATTGTAATAATTATCAGTAATGGCCTCTGGGATTGGCTTATGGTGCTGGGAAGGAATTCCGAGTGTCCCTGTTATGTTCTTTGGCTGAATACAAGTGCAAGACAGAAATCAAGCGTTTGTGCCTCCGGGCATCTGCTTAATTTTTCATTTCAATTTAGTCAAACCAAAAACAACGGTCACGATAATGAATATTTATCTCCACAAGAGTCTTTTGGATAACATTAAACAGAAACAGTCTTCGTGTGTACATGACTATAATTACAAAGCTGTGACTGAATAAAAAGTTTGAGTCTGGTTGTAAAGAGCTGAAATGACATTTGTCTGTCATCAGTTATCAAGTATTATGTGCCGAGGTGACTCAGTGACCCTGCCAGCCTAAATCATACTAATTAGACAAGAGAAGTAGCCGGCAACTTTTCATTGGGTAAAAGCAGTATATAAGACAGTGTATATGGGCGGCTGTGGCTCAGAGGTAAAGTAAAAGACTGGTAGCATACAGCCTAATGGAGAAATGACCCTACTTCTGACTTGATTTATTAGCTCTGTCAACATTGTTGACATGTTGACAGAGCTAATGACATAAACTAAACTAAATACACAGCCAAAGCTGCAGTGTTGTGCAGATTATCCAGACTAACAAAGACACATTGCTTCTTAATTTTCAATGCTGTGAGCACAATGAACAAAATTCACCTGCCATTCACCTCCATTGTATTTGAGTGGAGGCAGAAATTTCAGGACAGAGATCATTACCTTAGAGAGGAGTTGTTTGAGACCAAAACAGTGCTAAAAGGAGAGTGCAATTGGACTTTTGGTGGACTCTGGATGAACTGAATGGATCATTGTAACAGTGACTTTGCCTTTGTTCTCGTCCTCTTCCTCCACTTCATGCATAGTGACATGAAGTAAAAGAAACTTTCTATTCTCCACACACTGAGCGCTGTATACTCTGGGCAACCTACAGTACCTACCCCTTTGATTACGGGAGTCTTTTGAGAAATCAGCCATATTCTGTGTGTTTCAGCTGATGCTCGCTTTTCTGCTGTCTTGCATTCTGTTATCCCGGATCAAACAGAGCCTCTTTCTCTGGTTTCTTCAGTCCCTGTGGTGTATTCAAATCCTGCATGCTGTTGCCCCTGCATGCTATCTTTATGCATGTGCACATACTGTCACAGCAAAACGTATACAGTTGATAAGGACGCTGATTATGATCATGATGATAATGGAGATAGAGGCCCTCAAAGGATCATTATTCACTGCTAGCCTCGCTCCTCTGCCCTTCCCTCCATCTCTCTTAAGCAACAATGAAAGTCATGCAGCCTTCTTCCATAAGCTGTGGAAGTCTACAGTACTTAGAGAATTTTAAAGTGCCAGAAGAATGAATAGGTGTTGCGTGGCGTAATGAATAATAAATCAACGATGGCTTATACTTGGAGAAGTAGACCTTGAGAACAGAGGAGCGTCAAACTCCCGCTGTGACAGCTGGCAGCCTGCTCCAGCGCTCAGCCCGCTTCAGTGGAGCCAACGTCGAGCCATCTCTCACCGCGGCACACACACCTAATCCATCCTCTTAAAGTGGGAGCAGCTAGCATCGCGGCGGCGACATACTCGGCTGCCGGTTGGGTCTGCTAACACAGGTGGCGGGGACCGGTTCTACATTAAATAAAGCAAACAGAAGGCCGCCAGACGTAACAACATGGAGATAAATTGGTGGAGCTCTGCCTCTGTTACAGCCAACGCAGGCCCGGACTGTGAATATATTGATGCTGCTAGCTGCACGTACACTCAAAGAGCCGGACCCCACTGGATCACACCTCTCAGAACGGTGTCTGTTCGTGAACTTTTTAAAAATGTCTTTGTGGCATTTTCCTTCCCTTCCTGTCCCTGTAGGCTGGCAGTGGTGGGCCGCTGTCATTTCACATAAAAAACAAGCCCCACTGATGTTCTCATGAAAACTTTTGTTCTTTTTTTTTGTGTGCTGCAGCTGCACTGTTTGTTTTTGCATTTCCTCCCCCCTCCTCTCCCTGTTGTGTTAGTATGACTGAGTGATCTGTAGCCGAGTACTCATCCATGAAGAGATGTTCCTCCTCTTTCCAGCTGTCGACTCGCTACGCTCTTTTACCACACGCATGTTAAATTCATAAAGCCTCTTACAGGCTGGGATTCAGAGTTTTAGGCCAAGACACACACACACACACACACACACACACACACAGAAAGTTCATTTCTGATATCTCATTCAATCATAATGTAGACAAACGGAGCCTTGGCAGTTCACCCATCCAGTAAACCCTGGCTGATAGCATGCTCATATTATTGATGAAATTGTGTCCCTGAGAAAAAAGGTGCATGTCGCATAACAAGTTGACAGGCTGTTACAAATTGACTCTGGTATGTGCGTAGTGATATTAATGATATGCTAATGAGTAATACCAGACTTTTGGGAGTATTGACAGCGACTAGGACTGGTCGTGGTTTAAAACTTTTTGATAGTGGTGACAATACAGGACTTTAATTCCTCTAAAACCTTTTTCTGCCATGCTAGCGGCGTGGCTTTACACTGAAGTATCTGAACCACTATTGGATGAATCACCATGACATTTTGTACAGACATTTTTGGTCCCCAGCGGATGAATCCTGCTGAAATTGGTGACTTTTTCTCTAGTTCCACCTGTTTTCACTTATCCTGTGAAATACCTCAACATCGACTTGATAGATTGCCACAACATTTTGTACGGACATTCATGTTTCCCTCAGGCTGAATTGTAATAACTTTGTTGGTCCCTTAAAGTGGAAGTCCATTCATTTTACTCAAAGTGTGTTTCCAGGGATTTGGGAGTATTATTGCATATGTAAAAAAAAGACATATAAATTATTGTTTGGCTCCAGAGGACGCTGCATGATACATTTCCTCAAGTGATGTCACTTGAGGAAATGTAAATATCTGCAGGTATGGAGTTTGAAAGAAGTGAGCCCACCAGATTTCTGTAGCCCGCTCCTCATCTCTGCTTGAGGTTAGCGGCTTGTAGCTACATGAGTCTACTACACCTGCATATCCATATCTATCCAACTGTCGGTGGTTGTGTTGCATTGTGGGTAAAGGATGTGCCAGGTTTCAACAAGGAATGTGTGGAATAAAGATGATATCTCTGGTTCGGCAGCCATTGAGAGTCCAACGTTATGGGAGCGCAGTGCTAATGCTTTCCCATCAGACTCAGCTGTGCTTTGTGTAAAATATACTAATTAGCTCATTTTAGCACGCTAACATGCTAAACCAAGATGGCAGGCATGGTAACATTATATCTGCTTAGCATCAGCATGTTAGCATTGTCACTGTGAGCACATTAGCATGCTGGCACTAGGATTTAGCTCAAAGTAAGGTTGTGCCTGATCGGTACAGGCTCAAAAAGCAGCTAGAATGGTTGTAGACTATTCATTTTATTTATAAAACAGTTTAACAAACACTTTTTAATACTTGCTGTTATGTACATATTTAGGTGTATTAAGGCACCGTGTAATAACACTGATAATTCATCCTACCCTGCAGGTCAAAAGCATCCAGGACGCCATTCGAGATAAGAAGCAGAGGTTTAACTTCATGGGAGAGGAGGTGAATCTTTGCCCCTCTGTCGGCATCTTCATCACGATGAATCCGGGCTACGCTGGCAGGACTGAGCTTCCTGAGAACCTCAAGGCCCTGTTCAGGTAGGCCAAAGGACTTTATAAGTTGGATTCATTTTTTCATCTGGGTTGATGTTTAGTTCATCAATTAAAGTTTAAGCCATCAATACCATAACACATACCAAATACCAAAAGAATAACTTTTCTACAAAACCTGTGACAGACATATCGCCACCTCGTCACTGTCCCAGTGGGAGCTGGGAAAGGCTCCAGTCCCCTGTGATCCTTTGCAGTAGATTGGGAAATAGATATTGACATTTAAACAATCAATGGAGGAGAACATGTCAATATTGTTGGGCAAAGGGTTGAATCTATATTAAAAACATCAAATCCCATACTTCTATTTTTCCAACCTTAGTATTCAAAACTGTCAGTTCAAAAACATAAAGACTTTTTTTCAGTATAAAGTAGTTCAGAAGTAATTTCTAGTCACAATTCCAACTCTTATTATTCTCAAAACATTTCTGTGCAAATATTTATGCATATTTCTCTTGTAAAGCCTAATAGATTGTGTATAAAATACCAGAAAAACATATCCTCATATACCTCCCCTGATTACATTTACATTAAATTTACATTATTCATTTGGCAGATGCTTTTGTCCAAAGTAGCGCATAAATGAGGTACACTCCAAGCCACAGTATATCAAGGAGAAGCTATTGATCATGAATGCCACAATACTCAGTTTCAAACTCCTCCTGACAGAGAGAGCAGGTTGTTAGGTGAATATTTACTGCCTTAATGGAAATCAGCCGAAAACATTTGGTGAATAAAGCGGAGAATATTAGCAAAGAGCGGTGTGACGTGTTTAATTGTGATGGACTGTTACTTGTATCGAAGCTTATGACTTTGGTCACATGTCCACACTAGTTGAGTGAATTGCGTGTATTGGAGATCAGTGGTTCCCAACCTGGGGGTAGGACCTCTACTAGGGGTCACCAAAGCTTCATAGGGTGTCACAAGGCCTCTATTTTATGGAATGTAAGAATACTTACACTCATCCTGTTTATCTGCATTTTATTCAAATCTATAAAGAAAACTAAATTAAATTGTAATTTTTAAAGTTTTGAAGACCTGACCAAAAACTATATTCCCAGAGCCTTCACTCTCTGATAAACAGCCTCGACTGACGTTAGAAAAGTAGGCAGTTAAAACAACCAAATAGCTATTAGAACAATGAGAAGAAAACACTCAATTTGTCAAAAAAGAAAAACTTCCTGCAGTTATTGCATTCACTATTTGGGTTCATTGTACAGTTCATCAGTTGTTTTCTACCGTTATTGTTATGTATTGAATATAATATGAAATGTCCACAAAATATGTCACTTAGTTTACTCAGTGATAGAAAATGGGTTGAGAACCAGTGCTGTAGATGGCAAAACATTTATTTATCCAGGATTATGATTATGAGCTACAGCTTTAATGCCTTCTGTCCATTCCTCCACAGACCGTGTGCCATGGTGGTGCCAGACTTCGAGCTGATCTGTGAAATCATGCTGGTGGCCGAGGGCTTCCTTAACGCTCGCGTCCTCGCTAGGAAGTTTATCACCCTCTACACGCTGTGTAAAGAGCTGTTGTCCAAACAGGTACTATCTGCTTCCTTTGTCGTTTACACATCTGATGTGGTTAGAAAAAGCCAGATCCATTTCCACATCAAAGCTGAACAACTGACACAATGTTCTTTTTATATTTAAGTCTTTTGATAAAGGAATGACTCAGAGGCACCACACAAGAGCTGACTTAACTGTCTGGGTGAAGTAGTACATGCATATGAATAAGAAGCTGCAGGGAGTTTGGATGTTATTTCATCTAAATTTTTCTTTAATCCTTTCTTTGGTCCTGTTTTACATGTCTTGCCATTATTTTAATTATTTAAAAAGGCAATAAAATCACTCGCAGTGCTGACTAATAGTTAAAGTGGAGCTCTTCGACTTAGGTAAGGGATTTAATAAGCCTTCAGTTCTGGATGAATTTCCCATGACCATGGGCCCATTTAAGTGTCATAGAACACTACTTCCTTTTTATGGCTGTTTTATGAAGCTTTGGTTCTTGAGACATTTTTAAATATCACCTTAATTACACTTTTTAGCTGCTCCACAGTTGTTTGCCAGAGTTTCATTGCAAGTTTTCCAGCATTAGCAACTTTGTGGCAATGAAGTCAAACGATAATGAACAGACTGCTTCTCTAAGCTATATTCACAGGGGCTGAAACTGCAAATCAATGGAAAGTGCAGATTCAGAGAACTACTGTCTCGAGTTAATAATATAATTGTGGATTTAATATTACATAAGTCCTGGTCCTGTGCAGAACGACTGTGCAGTGTTTTCCTGCCAGCGAGTAGACACCAGAGCATGCTAAGCGAGTACAGTGAAATATATTCATGCTATCAAAATGTGAAATAATGCTGCAATAATGTTTTTTAATAAGTTTGTGGCCTCTAGTTTCTTGGTAGTGAAATGCTGCTGCAGTGCGTGTTCTGCTGTTTGGGCCGGTCTGGGTGTGTTGGTCCTGATGTGGTTGTGATATGAATATTCTGCCTGCAGTGTTGAGTTTCAGTTGGTGTGACATTGCACATGCGTTCTTTGACTGTATTCATACTGCCTTAGCACTCAGTTTGGATTGCTAAAATCAGATTTCTTGTTTTATTTGGCTGTTGACATTATTTAAAAAAATGTGGCCCATATCAGATTCCAGTGTGAACAGGTCACGGTCCTGAAGTGATGATGATGAATGTTAATGTAGAGTGATGGAAATGTCATGTGAATTATGATATGATTGTTCACACTGAGGTCACATTGCAAAAACCTGTACCTGATTTGTGTTGTTTGTCCGTTCTGGAATACTGTAGAAACATGGCGGTTCAACATGGCAGACTTGGTATAAGAGGGGACCCGCTCCCTCTGTAGACCTTTTTAATACAAAATTGTCAGCAGAGACATTTTTTATTAATTATATTATACAGAGCTTAAAATCAAAAAGTGAGTATTTTTTGTTTCAGGTAGGAGTCATGGTATTCCTGGAGAGTTGTTGGTTGCAAAGGTTCACAGTCCCTATGACCCTATAATGCATGTAGCCATGCATTGGGCTACATGCTGATGTCAGCAATCTGTTAAATAGGCCACTTAATTAAATGAGATACCAGGCAGACATAGTGGACACACACCTTATGTTTTCAAATAATGGAGCAAGTGTTTCTCCTCAGATTTCTAGCAGCAGCTGGAGGGAAATGCAAGTTTGTTTGAAGACTGATGGATCTCAGTGGTGAACTGAAATTGTGCAGATAAACTGTGATGAGGTTCATGATATGAATAGCTGAGATGGTAGTGGGATAATTTTTAATGAGCTCTGCCTTTTCAATCTTACTGCCAGCTTTACTGCTCTGAATAGAAGCCTGTGTATTTCGCTCTGCTCACTGACCCCTCTCTGGCCTTCATCAAAGGACCACTACGACTGGGGCCTCCGAGCCATCAAATCCGTCTTGGTGGTGGCCGGCTCTCTGAAGAGAGGAGACCCCGGCCGAGCGGAGGACCAGGTGCTGATGCGAGCTCTGAGAGACTTCAACATCCCCAAGATCGTGACCGATGACATGCCCGTGTTCATGGGGCTGATTGGGGACCTGTTTCCTGCTCTGGACGTCCCAAGGAAGAGAGACCTGGACTTTGAGAAGCACGTGAAGGAGTCCATTCTGGACTTGAAGTTACAGGCCGAGGACAATTTTGTACTCAAGGTAAACACGATTCCTCAGTGGCCCCCTGACGCGCTTGTCTGCTGCAGTTTATCGGATTGTGTTTTGATTACAACTCAAAAAATGTGTCACAAGTGTTTCTAAGCCTAGGATGAAGGCAAACACAATCACAAGTTATCTGCCAAGTCCCCAAATGGGGGTTTCATCTTTAACAATTTAGACAGATATTACAGTTGTAGCACTTTCATTTAGATTTATCTTAGTTCTCTCCAAAAGCTATTTACCTCACGTCATAATGTTCCACTGGGAAATACACATTAGTGTCAGGCAAGTCTGCAGCTTCTGGATGAATTGGGCAAATATAGCAGAAAGCCAATGGTTGGCTGCGATGAGAGTTCAGGTGCCGGAGCTCCTGACCTAATTCTGGTCATTATGTTACATACAGATACACACACACACACACACACACACACACAAGCACACACACGCACACCTACACACACGCACACACTCACACATGCACAATAGAAGGCGGTATATGTTGGAGACAGATGAACGCAGGACCAGGGGAAATAAGTGCAATCTGCCTCAGGTCAAATAGACACGGGAACCACATAATAACACTCCATCAATGGAGGCTGGCGCTGCACCATGCCACTTAACCCTGACATAGTGAGAGACAGCCACAAAAATAAACAAAGAGGAGGAGAAACACAGTGAGCGAGAGAGGGAGAGAGAGAGAATGGCAGAGCGGTCAATAACAACCATCCACCCCCAGAGCCTGAACTTTTACTGTCTTTGTTTGTGCGACCAACCTTTTGATTTCAGACAAAGAGGAGGGGGGAGCAGGCAAGGTGAGAGAGATTGCATACCTTTAGCGTTAGCCCATGCTAGCATTAGCCCTCCCTACATCAAAGCAGTAATCAACCAGGGCCTTTGAGAGTGCGAAGCCGCCCGCGCTCCGGCTGAATGGATGGTGAGTAGGAGCCGTGAGGAGCCCGGTCGATGGCATTGATTGAGCTCGACATCTGTATGTTTGAGTAAAAGTGGGGAGGAAATCTCTCTTTCTCCCTTTTTTTCCCTCTCTGTTATTCTTTTAAACACACTGCAGTGTCACCCTAACATACCTGAATTGACAGAAAATGTTAAACCGCAAGTCAGGACAAAATTCAAAAAGTCAAACGTCAGTGTGTTCCCACAACATAAAATGTTTCTTCACCCAAGAGTCGTGTCCAGATGTAGAGAAGCATTACATCCTCGGTGCTAGAGAAACTGCATGTCAGACTGGGAAAGTGTCCAACTTACTGTAGCAGAGAAATATTTATTTATTATCTTTAGGATCAGACGGAAAACGAGCACGAAACACCGCAATGTAATTTAATGGAAAAGTACAATTCACAAAGTATAATTTATTAAGAGATTAAAATACAAAATTTCAATTTTGCAATAAAGTGATATTAAGGTAATGGAAAATTCAAAACAATTGTGTCATGCTTAATTAAAAAAAAAAAAAAGGTTAAATAGTTAAAAGAAATGAAATTAAAAGACTGGACTTGCCTATCTCTCAAGGTTTGTGGACCCAGTTTATAACACCGGCTTGTTGTTATAAATGTTGAAGAAAAGAATTTTAATATCATGAATAAACATACAAATATCTTTGAAAAACTGTAAAAACTTATTTTTAAGTCCCAGTTCCATACTACATACTGGTTGTTTATAGTTTGTACTGTACACTATACTGTTTTTGCAGTTAGTCAGTTTCATATTAAAGTGTAAAAAACGTGGAGACCTCAATAAGACTGCAACTTTAAATTGCCACTGTTAATTAAAGTTGAATATTTAATATTTTATTATTGTTTTTCTAGGTCTCCCTGGAGCTGTTTCTTTCACCACCACCAACAATTCCTAGTCATTTTTTGCAGCCGTGGACAATTCTTCCATTTCCTGTGTATTACCACAACAGCATATTGACAAACCAAGTGTTTTTGGTTTGCATTCCGTCTCACTTTTGATATTCCATAAACTTTTGTCTGTCAATCAACACTAACTGATGAGACAGTTATGTGATTGGTCCATCTGCTCATTCAGACCAAAGTAACAGCCAGTCACATTACACATTAAGTTAATTTATCTCAACAAAAGGCAGATTTCTTGAGATGAGACATTTCATCTTCATATTTATATTCACATTTATATTACATATTTTGTCTGTATTTATTTATATTTTATCATATATATATATATATATATATATATTTCATAATGACTTTTTCATTGGTTTAATTAATCAAACACTTTTGATCTCCATAGAAACATTAGAAGACAACTATTGACTACTGGTGCCCATGACAAATACACTGATCTAAGTGTGCAAACAGAGAATAATGAGGGTGCAGATATCTGTCCTTCCAGAAGACCACTGCTGTCATTTATTGTAGTGTGTGAACAGTGTACTAAGCTGCTGCGCTGCACTGCAGTGCATCACACCACCCTGTCATTCTGCATCACTTCATATCCACCATAAACCACAATGTTGGGACTGAGATGCAGTAGACTGAGTGCTACAGTGTAGTGGCCCATGAAATGCTACATTATCTACACTGCCATTGTAAAAAGAGCTGTGTTTATTTGTAATCAGCGTCCTTCATGCAACGTAAACAAAGCATAATGTTTCACTCTGTATGTGTGTGTCAGGTGGTCCAGCTGGAGGAGCTGCTGGCGGTGCGTCACTCTGTGTTTGTGATCGGGAACGCAGGCACTGGGAAGAGCCAGGTGATGAGGTCACTCCAGAGGACCTATCAGAACATGAAGCGCAGACCCGTGTGGGCGGACCTCAACCCAAAGGCTGTGACCAATGACGAGCTTTTTGGCATCATCAACCCGGCAACCAGAGAATGGAAAGATGGTGATTGCAGAGTCCTGCAGGAACAGTGTCTGATCAGTACAAAGTGTTTAATGACCTGACTCTAATATCCAGAGTGTGAACTGTCTTTTCCCTACAGGCCTGTTTTCCAATATAATGCGTGAACTGGCCAATGTCAGTCACAGCGGACCTAAATGGATTGTTTTGGATGGAGATATTGACCCGATGTGGATTGAGTCACTCAACACAGTCATGGATGACAACAAGGTGTGAGCGAGTTGAGAGTGTGTGTGTGTGTGTGTGTGTGTGTGTGTGTGTGTGTGTGTGTGTGTGTGGACTCTTTTATTCAGTCTCAAAGTGAGTAAGGTTGCACATTTTCCGTCTGTAGTTAGATTAGCATTCAGATATGAATAGGGAGATGTGGTTGAGTCATCACTGACGCAAGAGAGTAGTGAAGTATTTGTATTCTGCGGATGAGAGAATGAATGACAGTGTGTGCCTGTAATGCTAAGAATAGTAAAGAGCTGAGGAAAGCAGGTGACATAATCCAGGCTAACACTGTGTAAAATACGGTGGCCGATAAGGGCAAAACGCTTCAAACACGGGAATGATGCAAATCCAAAAACACACAAACACATAAAACAAATCCAACAGAAAAACGCAGCAACAGAAAAATGCTGCAATCACAGAAACGAAGCAGAAGCACAAACTTTGTACTTTTGAAGCGTTTTGCCGTTTGCCCTTGTCGGCCACCATAGTAAAAGGCACAAAAACACATTCTCTGTCAGTCACATCTACAGTACACACACTGTGTGTAAATACACTGTCTCCCTCTGTTAGGTGCTGACTCTGGCCAGTAATGAGCGGATCCCTCTGAACCCCACCATGAGGCTTGTGTTTGAGATCAGCCATCTTCGCACTGCTACCCCTGCTACTGTATCGAGAGCAGGTAGACCTTGCTTTCTTTTCTTTGTCTCATCCCTTTTTTTGGGCACTTTTTCACAATATTGTGGTTGTATTGGATTTTTTTTTTTCAAATGTCCCTTTACAGACGCACAGTGGCCAAAAGATTACCTTGTGTCCATTTTTTTTTTTACATAACTTGATTAATTGCTCATTTGTTAGCCATTAGTTTGTTCACAATTGTTTGACCACTAAAGAACGATGTGTTATTATATCATCTTGTGCTTCTGTCACATAGAAAAGCCCTGTGTCAGAACCTAGTTTTAAGACCTTTAAAGGAGCTGAGATTCTGTAGTTCCCCTCAGCTCTTCTGAACATTTTAGCATCTTTCAGATCATTGTTTTGATTTTGAGACAAAGTTATCAACTCACATTTATCAGCTAAAAAACATTTTTCTCAGGAATTGGTGGGGACCAAAACAGATCAGTTAGTTGGATACTGGACACCAAATGTTAACTCATGAAAATATCTCTGCAACACAAAACATAGACATGTTTGACATAACAGCCAAACTGTTATTTTATTATCTGTTGATAACTTTAATTGATCATTTTAATTGTTGAAGGTTTTATTTTGCACCTTTTAAACAAATTGCCTCAAACCAACCGATGCACTGAAACCCTGAGGCCAATATCTCTGGCTGTTTAGGAAAATACTGAAGCAGCTATGTATAGTCTGATTTATGCATTTCACTTATGTCATGGCACATAGACAGACGAACTGGTAAAAGGGGCCCAACAACACATTTTTGCCTTGGGCATCCATAACGGTTTATCCAGCCATTTGCAGGTACTGTAATCACTAAATGTGTTATATTCTCTGTTTTTCTTTCCAGGCATCCTGTACATAAACCCAGCAGACCTCGGCTGGAACCCGCCGGTGTCCAGCTGGATCGACAGGAGGGAGGTCCAGTCAGAGAAGGCCAACCTGACCATACTGTTTGACAAGTACCTCCCCTCTTGCCTGGATACTCTCAGATCAAGGTAACACAGCTCCTCAGCCGCTCTGTGTCACTATGAAATGATACCCATACAGTCAGTTGACGCAGGATGTTGGGGGTGGGACACAACATGGGGAGGGACTGTGTAAAAGTGGGCAGAAGCAAACAGGGACTGACTCAGAAGAACTGGATGCCATCCTGCATTCTATTGTACAGGACCACTCGCCTCCTCCAACACCTCCATCAGCACTGCTATTGGAGCAGACTAACAAAAACAGGAAGCAGAGGAGGGAGACAGAGAGGAGGAATAATTTGTCCTCATTGCAAGGCCAAAAATCCAGAAAATGTGTGCAGCACCATAATGCCACATAGATATTCATAGATACATTTGTCATCCGCTTTCCTGGACATAAACGTAATTGAATTTTGTTTTGACAAAAGAAGCTGTATTTTTTTCTGTTAAAAAATGTATGACGCAATTCAATACATAAGGTGAAACCATAATTGAACTTCTCTGGGCACAGTAGTTATTTTACGTGCTGAATGAGAAACCCAAGTCAGTGGTAATGCCTGAATCTGGTGATGTAATGTGTCTGTCTTTGTTCAGGTTTAAAAAGATCATCCCTATCCCTGAGCAGAGTATGGTCCAGATGCTGTGCTACTTGCTGGAGTGTCTGCTGACTCCAGAAAACACCCCGCCAGACTGTGCCAAAGAACTTTATGAGCTATATTTTGTCTTTGCTGCGGTCTGGGCCTTTGGGGGAGCCATGTTCCAAGACCAGGTACTGCGTGGGCCTCCGGGCATGTGAGACGCTTACTAAGTGGTTGCATAAAGAGGGAAAAGAATGGGACACAACTAAAACAGCTGAATGATTTTTTTTTTTTTTCTCTCTCTGCTTATAACTCGCCCCCCTGAAAGAGTTTTTTGCACTTGCATTATGGGTATTCTTGGTACTATTCAAGCCGTGATGGCTCTTATGCAACTCAACTTTGTGTCTCTATTTATGAAAAGTCATTTGAAAGTTATTTCCAGTTGAAGAAATGGCAGTTTTTTTTTTAAAAGGGAGAGATCTCCATCTGAAAATGAAGTGGACTCCATTCCCGCTCGACAACACACAGGCTGGCTGAATTTAAATCAGCAGGAGAGCTGTGGCGAGCAGTTGCTAAGCAATCCAGTTAGCGCCGTACAGTAAGCGCGTCCATCTAAGTTATGGGATAAAACTGCTCTCCCCTTGGTACAAATGTACTCCACTTTATTTTCCCATCACAGATGCATTTAAATGCTAAGTGGTTTTATTGACTGGAGAGTTGGTAGTGAATAGAGGAGACAGGTAGCAAGGGGTGGGGAGGTAGAGGAAGGCGAGGAACTGCCAGCCAGCAGGTGATGAGGCTACTCCACTGTCTGAATCCGACAGATGGATAGATAGGCCTGCCATCTTTCATTTTCTACCCTTCATCTACTGTGGCCGTATTTCTATGTTGTCGCCATTTATTTGTTCTCTGGTTTGTATTCACACCAGCGTAAATCAAACACACAGATCCATAGCTACTGTATGCGGGGAGAAAAAAGCAGAGAGGAAGTCATTTTAGAGTATTGACCACCCGCCTACCCTCTTTGTCTCTGCGTGTGTGCTCTGTGTGAGTGTAGCTGGTCGACTACCGAGTGGAGTTCAGCAAGTGGTGGGTGGCTGAGTTCAAAACCATCAAGTTCCCATCCCAGGGCACCGTGTTTGATTACTACATCGACCCGGAGAGCAAGAAGTTTGAACCCTGGTCCAAGATAGTGCCCAAGTTTGAGATGGATGCAGATACACCACTTCAGGTACAACAGGTTGTTTTAGTTTTTGGTGCATAAATCACTAGTTTTATGTTAAGTAAAACTAATACTGAAACAAATTAAAATTAAAACAAAATTTTTTACTAACTATAACAACTCTTGAAACTAACTGAATTGAATAAAAAACTATCAAACTATAATTACTCTGCGGCTCATCACTCTCATCAAACTACCTGCCCAGTACCTAATGCCTGACGAACAAAGTTCGCAACCAGCTGGAGCATTTATCGGCCAGTTATGTTCCTCAATACATACTATATGTTTATATGTACATTTATATATGTTTGTCCCCCATGTGCAGGCATGTCTGGTCCACACTACAGAGACCATTCGAGTTCGTTACTTCATGGACCGTCTCCTGGAACACCGCCGGCCTGTCATGCTGGTCGGGAATGCTGGGACAGGGAAGTCTGTTCTGGTTGGGGACAAACTGGGATCATTGGATGCAGAGAAATACATGATTAAAAATGTCCCATTTAACTATTACACCACGTCTGCAATGCTCCAAGGTAGGAACCATACTTATTATATTGACTGATTCAAATTAAAATGTAATAAAGTTCAGAAATACTGATTATCTGTTTGTGGTAAAAGCGCAGTATTGCACATTGAGCTGTACCAATATAGGAAATCTTGAACAGTGTTTTATTTTCTATATTGGAACTAGGGATGCACCGATCCACGTTTTTTCACTTCCGATCCGATCCCGATACCTGAATTTGGATATCGGCCGATACCGATACTATTCCGATACCAGAGCTGTGTTTGCTTTAATATTATTATTATCATTATTGTTGATTTTATATGAGGCTGAAATAAACTCCTCTCAACAGGCAAGTATGATATGTACGTATGTATGCATGTATGTCCCAAAAGGCAACTTGAGGTAAGTATAAGGTCAGAAAAGAAAGTCAGAAAAACAGGAAATCCTGTTAACAGGAAAAATCCCATCCTGAAAACAAATATGCAACTGTAAGGGTTTCAAATTTATTGTCATGTCAATATTTATTAAATTCCCAAAATGTCAAATATTTGAGTCTTGAAATATAAGAAAAGTGTGTAAACATCTTACACACACACACACACACACACACACACACACACACACACACACACTATCAATAAAACGGTGTGCATCTGAACACCACAAGCACTGGCTCTTGTAGCATCAACAAATCAAGGTTTTAAAATGTCAATAATCTGAAATATAAGAAAAGTGCAATAACTGTAAACATCTTACGCACACACACACACACACACACACACACACACACACACACACACACCGTTGTCTGCCTGGAGTTTACCTTGTTTTTGGAATGACTCCAGAAGTGATTCCTGACAGCTCGCCTAAAAAATCCTCGTGCTGTTTCGTGTGGTGCTTTTTTTAAATGTTTGATTGCGTTCGTAGTGTTGTACGACGCGAGGGAGCTTCCGCGTCTCTGAATTACGGCTTTGCAAACATTGCATTTTGCTGTCTTGCTCTGCGGTGTTTCTAGTGTAAAGTATTTCAACACAGCGGACATGTTGGCTAGCCACAATGCTGCTCAATGCTATCCTGCTAGCTGGCTGCAAACTAAGGAATGGATTTCCTGAGCGGGGGCGTGTCTCATAACTCTGTGTCTCATTGAGCCGCGCCTCCGTTCAGGAAATCCATTCCACAGTTTGCAGCCAGCTAGCAGACTGGCCGGCAGGAATCACCTGTGGAGTCATTTCAGCAGACAACGTTAACGCAGACATGGCTCATGGATATCGGAAATCTGCGCAGGTTGGATCAGGAAATTATTAAATTAAATTAAAAATTAAATTCCCCCAGTGTGGGATCAGTAAAGTCTGTCTTATCTCATCTTGTTTACAGTCTATATATTTTGTTGAGTTGTGTACCTACATGATCAAAAATGTTTCCAACAAATCTGTCATTTCGGTGTGTTTCCTACTTTTGTGTAGTTGCTTTGACTTCTGAGTAAATACGGGATAGAGGGATACATTAGAGGGAGGAAAGTAGTTGGCGGATGTCACTTAACGTTATGTGAATACATTGATAGATTTCCTCAGCCATGAACATGATTCCTACCTTAGTCACGTCAGCCATGGTGGTTGTTTACCAAAGAAGACAACAATTCCCATGATCCCATGGTATATCACACCGTCATCAAACTATCTTTTGCTATTGTTTTAAAGTGATTGACCCCAAAGTGTCAGAAATTACATTAATATGGTTGGACTCATATTAGCCAAAATAAGTTTAAAAAGGACATGATGGTTTTTTAATTCTGCTGTTGCGATTTAGGCTGTGGAATGATGCTAGGAAAACTACAATAGTACCCATAATGCTCTGGACTTGGTTGTGTCCATTATTTTCTATATTGGAACAACACACACAGGCTTGTGAACACTTAACACGAAGAAATGTCTACTTGCAACCCCTCGTACAGGATGCATGCCTATACGCTGTGAGCAAGTGTGATTTTCCCTTCTCAGACTGTTTCATGTGAATAATAGCTAGGGGCCTTAAAGGTAAAACTATACAGTGTTTCAAAATAAAATAAAAAACAAAGGCAAAGAAAGAAAAAGAAAGATAATCCAATTTTTATGTAGCAGACTTTAATGTCTTTTCTTCTTTCCAACCCCTTTTGTGGGCCCCCCAGGTCAAGACCACAGGCTTCTGTACTCTTCCAGTTGAATCAAATGTCTCCACACTGACTCTCCAACTCTAAACTACTCCATAAATATTGATATTCAATTACACCTTCCTCAGCATTCATTCTTTCTTTCCCACATTTCTGCTCTCTGCTCATCCATTCGTCTCCCACACAGCCGTGTTGGAAAAGCCCCTTGAGAAAAAGGCCGGACGCAACTACGGACCTCCAGGCAGCAGGAGACTGATCTACTTCATAGACGACATGAACATGCCTGAGGTGGATGCATATGGAACGGTGCAACCTCACACACTCATACGCCAACACGTGGACTACAACCACTGGTGAGGCTCTGTCATTGACATGCAGCTATGCAATATATATGTATGAGCAAACATGAGTACATGCCTGGGCTGTTTAAACAGGAAGACATTATGCCTACACTGTGTCTTTGTAGGTAATTTCCAGAGAAGACCACACCAGCAGTGGAATTGTTCATCACTTTAATTGCTTCAATGACGGACACTTTCAGAGAATTTCCCCATGTATTAACAGAGAAAGGGATAATTCAGATAATAGAGTGCCAGCAGCTGATAGGTGTAATACCCTAATAATTCAAACGAACAGGCTTTCTACTGAAAACATCTTCCTTTTAGTATTCAGACAGATCCCCGCCTCAGTATCAATATGCTCCAACTTTTATGAGTGTCAGAAGTCAAATGTGAATACAGGGTTGTATGAGTCCCCTTAAAGGATTTTGTTGCTCATCTCTCTGACATAGTGAGGCCATTCTGAACATGGTTCCACTGCGTCAGACACAGGCTGACTGGCTTAGACACGGTCAGCCCATTAGAGATATGCTGGGAGGATTTCAGGTATGAAATTGAGAGGATGGAGGACGCTAGCGAGCCACGCCAGCTTATGTAGGAGCTGAGGCGTCCATATCGGCAAAAGCATGGGGAAGGTGTGTGTGTAGCATGTGGGTGTTTGTGTGCGTGCAAGGCTGTTAAATAATGTTGTTTTTTTCCTGCGTGTGTGTATGTGTGTATACTCCCAGGTATGACCGTAATAAGCTGCTTTTGAAGGAAATACACAACGTTCAATACGTGTCCTGCATGAACCCCACAGCCGGCAGCTTCACCATCAATCCACGACTGCAGGTACACACACACACACACACACACACAAACACACACACACACACACACACACACACACGACATGTCCTCACAGCACATTGTGTTCCACCGGGTTATGCAACACACTGCTGAGCTTACATGTGCACTAATTCCTCTTGCACATGTTATCATGTTATCATCTTTTCTCTATATTTACCTCCTATTATTACAAAACGTTGGACCATCACATTGTTTGTCTGCAGTCATTTTTTTCAGTGTTTGTTTGTTCATTCATTTGTGTGGCCATTCATGCACAGTTGATCGGTTTTAGACAAAACATTCACAAAAAGCAAATCACGGCGTGTCTCAACATTCAGCATTTAGTAAATTCCACTGCTTTTTGCCCGAGGGTGGTGGCACATTGTTTTTACTTATTCTTTTGTTTGTTCATGTGCAATATCTCAGACTGAAGTGTGTATCAAAACTTACTTTAAAGCACACGAAAAACACAGGAAACGCTGGATGCCATAATTATTTTTTGTGTTTGATCATTGTTACATTGGTCTAATGTGACATCTCAGACATTACTTAGTTCGTAGCTCACTAGGCTACTTCCAAAGAATTCAAGTCAAAAAAATTATGATGAAATGAGGAAAAATATCTAAATGACAAAATATGCCTGTTGTCCGGACTTCACATACAGTATGAGTGTTACAAAAACAACAGTGTTTTGTGATCTGCTTATTTTTAGGCAATTAAACTCGCCTTTTTTAGAGGATAAGCCTGCCATCAATTTATGTTTCTTATTGTGCACAAATCCCATTAAAAGGCCTAAATCATGTGTTAGTCCATTCCTCAGTACTTTCAAGATTTCCCTTGACTGCAGCACAAAAGTCCATTAGATCCTTCTGAAGATCTAACTCTTTAAAAAATCCTCACAAATTAATAGATTCATTTTAAAAAAGGCTCTGTAATTTCCTAAAACAACTGGCCACTGTAGTTATTATCAAACGTTACTATGACCTTCTCCCATCTACTCACACACATGCAAATGTGACACCACCATACAATAAATTAAACTTCTTACCTTGAAAATGATTAAATTCCAACATAAAATGTATGCAGATGTATGAAAGTGTATAATACACCATTAAAACTGAGGAAAAAATGAGACATTTACAAACAGTGCAGCAGTGCTGGTAGCTGCTGATTGCAGAGTTGAGTGTGGCTGTTAAATGACAGCAGCAGGAACAAAAGAATGCTTAGATCTTGTAGTTGTAATATCGTCCCCCATGGATCAACTGAAACAATCTTATTCAAAATAAAGTCATTATAAAACTGTTCTACTGAAGTCTGCTCAATACCAAAAGTCAAAACACTCTAACACTGACTTTTAAAAAAGTTGAAGGACATCAGGATCCTAAAGTTGGATTGGATTGGATTCTAAAGTTTCTAAAAGCATTTATTGTTGCAGTCTTTTGGCCTCGGACCGGCGCAGCCTATACGTTTTCGATTGTCAGCATCATTTCGGAGGTATTTAAACACTGGGACTCTTTCAATCACATTGCCCTTCTTTAGACCTGAACATTGACCTGAAGATAGTTATCCCTGCACCATCTGACAAAAATCTTTCTCAAAATGCACTGTAGACTCAACATTGGTTTTTAAAAAATGTACCAATGCTGTCGTAAAAAAAAAAATGAATTGTCTGTGATGACTGGCATTGGTAAAGTGTACAAAACAGGTGATAGGTACTTATTCTAGGAGATAACAGTATAGAATTTAAACTTGTTTGCCACATTTTACCCTAAAAAAATGTATCCACAATTAAATGAACCAAGCGCAGTGTCAACCTAAGAAACAGAAGGTGAGGCAGAATGGTGTTAAAAGCGCTTCTAATATCAACAAACAGTGTTATGAGTCTGTTCAAGATGTGCCTAAATAGTGTTCGACATAAGCAGCAGTGTGTCTTCAGCGCCCGCTAGCTTTGTGATATGCAAAGTGATGAGGACTGGGGTGAGAGAAGGGTGATTTAAAGGGATAGTTTGGGTATGTTGAAGTGGGGTTGTATGAGGTAGTTATCCATAGCTACAGTAGACGCCAGCAGGAGTACCAGCAGGGAAGCTAACGTTTTAAAACACCAAAGTCACACAATAACACAACCAGACTAACCGATAGAGGCAGCGGCAGGCCCGCAATTTTTGTCAAAGGAGTCTGGTGGATTTGAAAAGACGGACATAACTGCTTCTGCTGTTTGACAGCAACGTATAGTGGTGAAGATCTAAATATAGCGTACACGTAATATTGATTCCTTTGATGTGGGCCTTTTTCTAAGTTGCTACACATTTTTCTGCACAGCAGTACATTGCCTAGCTTCCATGCTGGTACTCCTGTCTGCTTCACTTGGGGCGCGCCAACTGCCATCTACTGTTGTCACAGTTGTGCAAGTTGAGTTATGGAACATGACTGGCAGAGCAGAGCAGGTGCAGTTCAGATGGTTTAATTGCAAACAAGGGTGGTGGAGCTTAAACCCACAAGACCATGAGGCAGTTTTCCTAAACCGGCAAAATGAGCTGGCAAAATTCAATAAGACAAGTAGAAAGTCTATAAACTCAAAGTAGTTCGTACAAAACTGAGAAGACATTAGGGGAGAGGTTGAAAGTTTGACATACGAACAAGGACAAACTCACAATGAAATAAAGAAACATAAACACTAAATACACAGGTGAGGGGGAGGATAACAAGACACAAGTGAAAAAAATAATCAGGGTGGGGCAGATAATCCAAACTGAAGGGAAAACAGACAAAGATGGGAAGTGGAGAAAAACAAGACACAAGAGGACAGGAAATAAAAAAAACATGGCAACTGTAGGTAGTAGATTGAGATGGGTAATTAAGAATCAGTACTGGTGCCGGTTCCCGACTTGTGAATACAGAAATATCGATAAGCTACTGGACAAACGATACAGCTATCTGCATTTATGTAATGTTACATAACCAGCAGACGGAGCAAAATGTTCAAAAGTGTGGGCTCACTTTACTGACTGTAGTGAAAATGGAGCTAAATTCAACTTGCAAAAAAGGAATAATAAAACTCTTATCTTTCCATGTAATTTCTTTCTTTTTTGGACCAAAATATGGCAGGTAGTAGTAATAGCAGTATTGATGAGCAGTATCAGTATCAAGGAAATGTATTTATCATTATACAACACAAGGTTGTACATGGAAATTATACTTTGCAGTCCTTTCATGCTACACACATAGAAAAAGATAATTGGATTCATAGAATAACAGAAAATAAATAAAATGAAATGAACCAATATATACAGTTATTAGCCCGGAGCAGCCTTAAGTCCAAGCTGGGCCAGCATGGTTCCTATCTGGCTCGCTTCCCTCTCCTCCTGGAGCAACAGCACCCGCTGTGGTGGGTTGGTCCCGCTGATAGGGGTGGATCGTCTCAAAGTCCTCTGCTCTTTAATCCAAACCCCATGCTTCCTTTTCCGGTCCGGCAGGCTATTTATGTCTTATTTCAGCAATAAAGCCACAAACAGATTCCAAAGACGAGGGTTGAAGGAGCTAGCCAACCAGCTGCAGCCGTTGTCAGTCAAAATCTGCTGATTCAGTCGATGTAAACAATTTTAGCTTAGCCCTTACAAATCAAACTCACTCAGACATCATTCAATGATGAGTTTGAAGGAGCTACTGGCCTCTATCTACATCCACAGCCATTGCCAGTCTGTATCAAGAGACTGGAATAAGATTATAATAATTATAAAGTATACATATATATATACGCATATGATCAAAGGAGGAAATGACTTCTAACTGGGGTATACAGTAGATAGTAAACTTGACTAAACTTAGAGGACTACCTTTCTGAAGGAGAATCATATAATTATAGGTCAAACTTTAAGTTGGTCTTATTTGAATTTAAAAGGCTCACTTAACAGATCTACGTTCCCTCTTTACTTACTGCTGTAAACACCCACAAGGTGACCCTTTCTTTTAGTATGGCAGATAATTGACTGCCTCATTAGCGAGGAGCAATATGTTTACTGTCGCCTTGTTTGCACCGTGTCTCCCTCTGCAGCGGCACTTCTCTGTCTTTGCCCTGTCGTTTCCCGGAGCCGAGGCCTTGAGCACCATCTACACCTCCATCCTGTCTCAGCACCTGAGAGGAGAGGGCTTCAGTGCCGCCCTGCAGAAGAGCTGTCCCAACGTGGTCCAATTAGCACTGGCGCTGCACCAACGCATCTCCTCCACCTTCCTCCCCACCGCAGTAAAGTTCCACTACATCTTCAACCTGCGGGACCTCTCCAACATATTCCAGGTGAGACACAGATAGAGTATATACCAGAGGGATTTATCTACATATACATTCTTTTAGAAGAACGACCTCAGGTTAATCTTTTCACAATGAAGTGTCAGAAGTTAACTCGAAAAAAGTTGAAAAAGTGAAAGAAGAAAACGTTTTTTCATATCACTACCCTTTCCATTTCAAACGAGGAGTTAGATATTTTGCCTAGATTCTCTCTGTTTTTACGGCTCCCACGTGGAGAGAACCAGGGCTCTGTCACTAATTTCTCATCTAAATTATTATTGATTTAAGAGCTGGGTCTGAAAGCTGGAAATAAGTCTGAAATAAGTGTAACAGAAAATAGAATGAATTTGCACTTCCACGGGTGTTAGTGATGATTTAATGTATTTAAATGAATATAATATCAGAGCGCGGAGGCTGTCAAGGGAGAAGCTTTTGGGGCGATATTTCTGTCAAAATCCTCCACGGTTTCATGGAGGGCAGGCTCTCTCATTTAACACACTCCGTTGTATAATTAATGCTTTAAGCCACTCAGCTATAGGAACTTCATATTTCATAATTCCATCTAGGAGTTTTTAAAGGCAGCTCTACTAGAGTTCCTACTAAACTGTTACTATACAATGTATAAAATACAAAGTATGCACTGTATCATATTGACCCTTTTAAAGCTGCATTAATCTATATTTTTGCTATAAACATTAGATCAAGTTACTTATGTGTTATGTAAAAGGCGGGTTGTAGGTGTCTGCTGTGTCAAACATGCAGGCAGAGATTGACAACAGGCTGACAGTCAGGACAGGAAACTGAACCCAAAGGGGTATAAACTAGGGATGGGTCATGGTTTTCAAATAGTCACTAGATCATCAAATCAAATAGGTTGTGCAACTGTCATCTTGTCTTAAAAAATATATTTTCCTTTGTTTAAAACTTGGCTGGGCACGTTCATTTCTTCTCTTTTCTGCACAGGTATACAGATACTGCAGTTCTGTGAGACAGCTAGGTTGCACTCTTATAGTGGTAGAGGGTTGTGTATTGTGTTTGCTGCTGCAAAGGAAAGAAAGTTCCTATTTATGAACACTACCGCAATGTCTCACTACCATCCCTTTATCAGCAGAGCAGTCTGGACAGCTAAGGGTAGTTACTAGCCACAAGCCAGGCTAAATTAGAAACCAGTGCCCTCACAAGACTACAGTGCTGATGGGAACGTCATTAGTTTTGCAGGTATTTGGTCATAATCTGAAGTATTGGACAAGTTGAAATTTTGACTTGCTAATGACACTAGAGGAAAGTTTAAGTGATCGCCACAGTGATTACATCCTGATGGGAGCATGGATGAGTGTGTTTCCATCAATCTGTTTAATGCACATTTTCAAATTGCGCCTAGAAAAAAAAGTGGAAAAAAAGTTGAAATATCACAAAAGAAACTTGCCTTTTCTATCCATACAGCAACTTTTTGACCTCAACCAAAGTGCAACAGAAACAGACTCGACGAATGAAACATGACATACATGAAGCATGTGATTTAAACGTCCAGTTAAGCTTCTGTTTAAAAAACAACAACAAATGTGTTGGTGTCTTTGGATCACCAAAGTTATTACAGATCATCTTGAGGGGAATGTGAATGTCTGTACCAAATGTCATGGCGATCCATCCAACAGTGTTTGAGACGTTTCAGTGGAAACCATAAAGTTTTCACTTATCCAGTGAAATATCTCAACATCAACCAAAAGGCTTGGTCCCCAGACAATGATCCCTAATGACTTTGTTTCCCTGTGATCCCCTGACTTTTCCTGCAGCGCCACCACGACACTGACATTTGTAGTTATGAAGTCATTTGTGGAAGGAGCTGTGTGAAGAATGAAAACAGAGAGCTTGAGAGAGAAAGAGAGAGAGAGAGAGAGAGAGAGAGGTTTAAACCCTGCTTACTTTCACCTCAGCACACTTGACCAATCACAGCATAATACGCATGATTATGTCAAATATAAGTAACCATCCAACCACTACTTCCTTTTAATAATACTGAGGCCTTAACGGTGCCATTTTACTCCATTAACTCTATTTAAGGAATGTTATTGTTAACCTTATTTCCTGTATGATTACTGGGTTTTCGCAATTATGAGTTAATGTATGGCAGGTTTGAGCCTTCTGCACTTTGAGATTAAGCATAATTACCATCCCAGAGCTCAAGCCCTGATGACCCAAGACTTTACTTACAGACCCTTGATCACGCACATCACTGCTTTGAAACAGTAGGAAGTTTAGCCGCACCATAACACTTTGAAGCCAGTGTTTGAAGAAGCATTTTTCCTGTTTTGTCAAAGTTGTGGCCTTTTTAAGGAGTCAACACAATGTGACTGGATGTCCAGTAACCACAGAGAAGAAACGGTGTCAAAGCTTCTTGCCGTTCCTCTCTCCACCTTTAGAAAGAGTATAAAGAAAGCCAGAAAGGAAGCTTGTTTGAAGTTTTTCCTGCCTAACTTATTCAGCTCCTGGCTCTAACACCTTAGAACAGCCTGGAAGAGGTGAGCAGCCTCGCAGCTCTCAGCTCTGCCTCAGCTGTAACTCCCCCACCGTACCTCTGTGCTTTTGCACCCTCAGAAGTGGGAAAGTATTTGGCAAGACAGTACAAACGCTTCTTCTAATTTTCGAGCATGAGGCCTAAATGGTTGTCACTCAGTGTTTTCTGGCTTGACGTTTCAGATGTTGAATCCTCAGCCAAAATAATTGGGGGTCTGTTTTGTGATTCGCTTTGTTTTGTAAAACTTTGGAACTTGATGTGGCCAAAGGCAACCGTCTCATTATGAGAAACTCTAATGAGCCAGAAAACTCAGCTCAGAGACTCCATGTGAGCTTGCAACACTCCTTGAAAAGGTGTTTTTAAATGTGACAAAAGGGGTCCAGACAACACTCAAGGTTGCATCTCTATCAGAGTTTTGTTGCTAAAGCCCTTTTCGAGTTTAAGGCAGACATTGAGGCAAAAAAGCACAACTAACCCAACAAATAGTAAGTAGGAGCTAATGCCGGCAAATTGACTTGCTTTTACTTCAGTACTTTTTCCACTTTGTCCCTTTTCATTCACTTACTTTCTTATAGTAGTCCGTCTTTCTCCTTCATACACTCTGTCTCCATAAAGCTCCACTTTCTCCAAGGCGATCATTACCGCCAGTGGATGTTAAATTAGACGTACTATAAGAGAAGTACAGTAGCCAAATTCCCCTTATAGGGCAAGACAAACAGTTTGGCATCGGACTGGGAGCGTTGTCAAAGAGCTCTATTTGCCAGTGCTCGTTCTCTACCATGACCAGCGGGCATATCCGAGGGCCTGTCTTCCCCACGTCAGCCTAAATGAGCTCCTCGAAGCTCAAGAGACGAGGGAGGAGATGAGCCAAAGACGGATGAAGCGTAAGAGGAGGACAAGACAAGGGAAAGAAAGAAAGAAAGAAAGAAAGAAAGAAAGAAGGAACGTACATGTGGTGCAGAGAGCCGAACTCTACTGACTGCGCAATATGTCTGTATGATGTTCTGTGGATAGTCAGCTGGGTGCATTTGTTAGCCGAGGAAGCATTGTGTGGGGCTCAGAGCAGCTGTCAGGCTACGAGGAAAGCGCGTCCGCTGCAGACAGCGCGACAGACAGACAGATACATGCCGACACCCAGAACTCTCTAATCCCTCTCCTCTGAATTGAACAAAGCAATGAAAGATCAGGGACGAAAAGGATGAGATAGTCTGCCAAAGTCGACTGGATAGAAAGAAAACAAAGTTCTCTGTCCTTCTCAGTTTGTTCGATTGGTACGAACAGCTAAGCCTGCGAGTATGACCATTATATAGAGCTGCCATATGGTGTTTTGTTTTGCTCAGGCACACTTTTACACAATAAATGCAGGGTGTCATGATTGACTCCATTAAGCAATGAAATGGAGTAGAAAATGACAGATCTATTAAAAGTCAAGGGATTAGATCATCACACATACTCGTGGAAAACATCTTGGCTTTTGTAGACCTAGAGTAGCGGCGCTAATTCTGGCTCAGTTTGAATCTTTAGTACACACATCCACGCAAAGTATCCAGACACACACTGGCACACCTCCCATCTGCACCATTACACAGTGGATTTAGCAGCCAATTGTCACATTCAGCAGGCTCAGATATGAAGGCAGATCAGATTCAGCTGGCTTTACCCCCGGAGATGATTCTGTTGATTAGAATAAGTTCTGGGGCTGGAAACACACAACATCTGCTTGCCTCTGCCTCTGCCTCCTGGGTGACAGTGTGCAGAGGGGAACAAACAGTGCCTGGGCGCCTCTTTGTCCCCTTCCTCATCCTGTACGGCACCTGTTATGTGAGGCACCTAGATTACGCCAAGTTCTGCCTGACTGCGTCGTGAACGGCCCTGTGGGAACTCTAACGCGTCACACAGGCCTCCTCTAGAGACACATTAATCATCAATCATCCACTAAACACTCATCTACACATTGTCATGATTTTCTGTTTTAATTTTGGCTTTTTGGGGAGATGAAAAGAAGTATGAATGACATAACAGAAAAACACATCTGTTTTCGGCCATGCTAGCTGAATGGCTCCCAGAGGATAAAGCCTTGATACTTTGATGAACCTGTGACTTTTCTTACTGTCCCGCCATGAGGTTGACATTTTGGTTTAGAGTAAAATATCTCCACAGCTACTGGAAGGATTGCCATGAAATAAGGTATGGCATTCAGGCCCCCCACAGAGTGAATTGTATTAACTTTGGTGATCCCTTGATTCTTGTCTAGTGCCATCATCAGGACACAGTTTACGTTTTTTATGTCTATGCTGGTCAGACCACAGTAAATTACAGGGTAGGAAAGGCATTCCTCTTCTTAAAAAGGTGTGGCGTAGATGAAGTGGCTCTTGAAAACACCCGTCTGGCTGTAGCTGAATGGCACAGTCCAATTATCCAGCCTCATCTACTTAGGCTGGATGCAGCAGCTCAGTCTGTGGCCAGATTGCCACGAGGATGGTTGGCCACAGGACACCAACAGGGAAGTTATTAGCACTTTACATGAATACCCAACTGAATTTAACTTGATTGCATGCGCTCAATCTAGAAAAATAAAGTGGACTACAGAGTCTGTGTGTCTTGTATTCTGATCTCAACCAAAAGAACTACCCCTTTAATATACCCTCCCTTTAATCTACAGTGGCCCTGTCGAGAGCCAGTTTCATTTGGCCAATAGCTCCTCCTAAATGTTACACAGTGGAACTTTCCATTTTATGTCAAAGCCACACTGGAGAGGGGCTGAAGAGCTGCAGGTTGCCTACCCAGGGTATATGGTGTAAAAGTCAGTCTCAGAATTCGGACAGTCAAATAAAATGGCAGACAGCCAATTTGGTAAACAGGGAGGGATTTTGGACACAGCCTTAGTCTTGTTTGAAAATAAACACTCTGGAAGCATTACAGTCACATGCAGATTCTACCCTTTTTAAAAAAAATATAATTCTTCATCCAGCACCTTCTCACAGAACTTATCTCCACATGCAGCAACACGTCTGAGACAGTGAGATGAAAGAAAGGCGTTGCCATTATTTTCTGAATTTCTCTGACAAACCTACTAACAGCTTGCCCACTCAGTACCCATTGATTTACCCACACTGACTGTATTTCCCTCCTTGCTGCAGTGTAAAAAGACCAAATCAGCCTCTGGAATGAAACTCTAAGCCTTCCCTCTCTCCCCTCTCTGCCTGCCCAGGGCATTCTCTTCTGTACCGGCGAGTGTCTCAAAGCCCCTCCGGACCTGCTGAAAATCTACCTGCACGAGTCCAACCGGGTCTACAGAGACAAGCTGGTGGAGGAGCAGGACTTTCAGGTCTTTGATAAGCTGCAGGCGGACACAGTGAAAAAGTTCTACGAGGTGAGAGTTTTACAAAGTTCAGCGGAGGAAGACAAGAATGAGAGAGGCTGGAGGATGGGGGGGAGGTGGAGGAGGGGGAAATCATTAGGCTGCCTGCTCTGTGTCTGGACCTGGACATCAGTGGCCAACACAGCGAGGAGAAAAAGGAATGTTGGGGGGGGGAGTGCCAGGAGAGGGTTGGAGAGAATATTAATCAGTGTGGTATGGGGGTCTGGCTGTCAGGGTCTGCGCTGTCAGCCCGGCAAATTGGAAAACATTTTAATGGTTTTCTGTCCACCGCTCCCCTCACTACCCTCTCTGGCTCTATCGCATGCACACTAGTCATGCCACAATGAAGAACTTGACAAGTATATGTGTACACAAACCCACAGAAAGGGTAGGAGAGGGAGAGAGAATAATACTACCCACTTCAGAATATATTATTCAGACTTGGCACCTTCTGTAAACTTAGGACAGTTTGCCCCTGTGCCACAGAGCAATATGCAGCATGTTTTCTTGCTATTTTTACATGCAAACAAGGAAGTCTTTAGAGACTGTTGCACTGTACGGAGATGCACTCGATATTATGACAATGAAGACTGCACCAGAAAATATTATAGATGTGAATTTGTAAAAAAAAAAAAAAAATCCCCATTTATCACACCTAGTGCAGCTTTATGCCAGTGGAAGTTAGCAAAGAAAACAAGCATCCCGAAGAGACGCACAAAATCTCTCCAGTGAAATATTCGTGGCCCAACAGTTGCCAGGGTGAAAATGAACTAGGTCACCCTCTGCGCAGCTGTGATATTCAGCTGTGTCCCTGTCCAGACTGTTTAAGCTTAACACTAATGTTATGCTGACAGGGGTAGTGTGTGGGTCTGTATGTTTACCGCTGCAATATGTGTGTGTGTGTGTGTGTGTGTGTGTGTGCCTCCCTCCCCGAGGACGTGGAGGAGACTCTGGAGCAGACCAGGGAGATGAACCTGTACTGCCACTTTGCCCGTGGGCTGGGGGAGGCCAGGTACATGGCTGCGGAGTCCTGGACCAGCCTCAATAAAACCCTGCTAGAGGTGCTGGACAGCTACAATGAGGTCAACGCCACACTAAACTTGGTGCTGTTTGAGGACGCCATGGCTCACATGTGAGTGGAAGTTTTGGAACCCCAGGGACTGTGTGAGGGAGTACAGACAGAGTAACGAAAAAAGTGTTTTTGTCAGTTTCTTTATTGTCTGTCAAGAAAATCAGCTTGCTTCCCAGGTATTTTAGGATTTGCAGTTCCAATTCACCGACTGTCAAAAGCAGACAGGCAAATCTGTAAAAGTCTTGCAGCATACGTCATGGCAGCCTAACAAAAATGCAGAGAACAGGTTAGGTTCTGCTTCAGGCAACATCTACCTCTTCCCTTTTAATTACTCTTTAAGGTTATATATACAAAATTAACTGCTACTAGATGACCCACTAGGGCACAGCATCTCAGACCATAACAACTGGGCTCTAAAACCAACCAGACTCTATTTAAAAAAACAGTAATTTTACATTGCAGATAATAGTAAAACACACAGGGACAGAAACTAAATAAAACTCACCAGAACTGCCGGTGTTATTCTTTCCACAGTCTTTCCAACAATTATCCACAGTGGTTATGAAGTATCTGACAACATTATGGAAAGGGTCCATACAGAGATAGATCTTTTGTTTCACCAGAAACAGCCATTTGCCAGACCCGAAACTGCTATCGCTCGCCACCAGACTCCATAGACAACATTTTACCTAGTAGGTCATTGTAATAAAACGTCATGCAAAGTGGAACAAACAAAATAAAACTCATCAAAACTCTTCTTTGCACTGTTCCAACAATCACCAACTCTGGTTTTGCTGAAAGAAATCCTTAATTCATAGATAAAAAACAGCAGCTTTAGTCACTCTCCTCAGTTCCACCCAGAGAGACTCAAATGTACTAACATGCATGGGTGGCCAGCCAGGCTTTGTAAACAAAGCACAGAGAGGCTAGGATAGCAACACAAGCTGATGGAGTGTGGCATTCTCTGCTACACCATGACTCCACTATATCTTGACATAGCTAACAGTTGTTTGCTTCTATATAAATGTTTTAATTCTCATATATAAAACCTTTAAACCGGATTTGTTGACAAGAAGACAAATATATTGTCTTTGAAGAAAATTACTTAAATCATTAAATGCACTGCCTGCAAGAGCTTTAATGATGTGCTGTTTGAACTTGGAGGAACTAGTTCAGTATAACCTGACAATAGCAGATAATATTCTACTGTTTTATATTTATGAATCTGCATTTCATATCATGAAAAACACTACTAACTTCTTGTTTTAAAAGGTCAGTGCTTTTATCTACTTGATGCTCAACAAAGTGTTTTTGAAAATGTTAACACGGATCTACCAGGCAGATAAAGTAGCATTTAGATTTTTCATAATTTAATGGGTAAGATGACTAAGAAATACAAAAAGCAAGTGTGCTCACCTACATTGAAAATTGCAGGTGCAAAAACTGTAAGCAGGTTAAATTGAAGTGTCAGTTGAAGTGTTATCATTGAGTGTTGGCTGAAAGTGAAATTGCTGAAAGCAAGTGAACTTTCAATTTAAGCTCAGTAGGAAATTTCTATTTTAGCAATGAAAGTAGTTAACATTTGAAGAGTAAGAGCTGATAACAGTTTAACTGTTACCTGAATATAAAAGCAGCTGAAGTGTCAGTCAATGTCCGAGCCATTAAAATAAATGAAATACCAGTGGATGTGTAAGCACTGAAGTGTAAGAGGTGAAGGTTGAACTTTAAAAGACTGAAGTGTTGAAGTGCTAGAGAAAGTTGATATTAGTAAGTAAGTAGTGACAGTAGTTGAAATGCCTTACTCGTGATCACTCCAACTCTGCAAATGCTGCTGGTTATTCTGTGGCCCTACGCTTCAAAAAATGTGTATGTGTAGGGCTTCGGGGTCAAGTTGGATCAATAGGTATGCAACCTCAAGTCAGATTTTCGAAAATAAAACTAGCTGACGTTTCCCATTTTATGACTATGACAAATAGTCGCAGTTTGGTTAGGTTTAGGCACAAAAACTACTTGCTTAGGTTTAGGAAAAGGTTGTGGTTTGGGGTAAAATAAGTATGTTAGTGATGTAATGCAATGTCACATAAGTTAAAAAGGAGTCGAAACTGAGTTTTCGTTTTACACGGGACAAGAACAGTAGCCTACTGCTTGTAAAAGTCCTCTGTTTGTTATCACCAGTCCAACCGGGGACTTTCTTTCTCTTTATACTACGTAATTCAAACATTAAGCTAGACAGACGTCCAGACTACTAGTTTGAATCTTAAGGCCACTGACCAAGCTGCCATATTTGACAAGTCTGAGTGAGGCCTGAAATGTCAGTTAAAGTGTGTAGGGGGTGTATTACTTTTGGCAACAACCTCACATGAAGCCACAAGAACTCAAATGAAGTCAGTTCATTTTAAACATTGACACGAGGAATATTCATCTTGCTATACTGAAGGCATAAAGGTTCTCAGTAGCACAGTACAGCTCAGTCTAATGTTGAATACATTTTGTGCTGGTGCATCTGAATGAAACAGAGCATAAAAGCAGAGAGAGGAGACAGAAACTACCTGTTTGTTTGTCTTTTGCTGTTTGCCTTATGAGTCACATATTGTCTTTATGAGTCACATATTGTCTTTGTCCGGCTTGCCTCCCCCTACCTTTTATCTCACCCTCCCTTACACCTTTTCTCTTCCCCGACTGTCTGCGCCTCCACATGCAGCTGCCGTATAAACCGAATCCTGGAGTCTCCGCGGGGCAACGCACTGCTGGTCGGAGTGGGCGGCAGCGGCAAGCAGAGTCTGACCCGATTGGCCGCCTTCATCTCCAATCTGGAGGTTTTCCAGATCACCTTGAGAAAAGGCTACAGTATCACAGACCTCAAGGTTTGAGTGGGATTACACTGCAAAGACATACCACGCTGCAAAAAAAACCTCCATCTGAACAGATCAATTAGTCTCATATTAAGTATTATAAAGTTTCTTACCGCCAGGTGAGGTTTAAATTTAAACACGGAGGTGTATCAGAGTGAAATAGAGACATAATCCCCACAGTATGTAAACACAGTATCCTCACAGTCATTCAGGTCTCAGGCATGTATTACTGCAAAATAACAAATCTTTAGCCCTCTCACAGCTCCATCTCATTATGTGTGTCACTCTCCCACTCCATCTCCTTCTCTCTCCCCGTCACCCAGACTGACCTGGCATCCCTCTACATCAAAGCTGGCGTGAAGAATATTGGCACCGTGTTCCTAATGACTGACGCCCAAGTGGCAGACGAGAAGTTCCTCGTTCTGGTCAACGATCTGCTGGCATCGGGTAACAGCCGGCTTCGCTAATTACTGCGTGTCATGTTTTGCAAGAGAGGAATGCTTTTGCTTCGCCACGGCGACAAATCACTGCGGTGCCATTTCTGCGGCGTTACTCATCGACTACAACACATCACTGTGAATGATTGCAAGCCTCAGCTTCACGTCTAGAATTATTCTCAACATTTGAAGGGTGCAACACATAGCATTATAAAGTACCAATATGAAATGATTCTCAATGTGATTCAGTGATCAGTGTGATTCTCAATTCATATTTACAATGTTTTCAGGCGTTGGCTACTGTTTAGAATATTATGGGATAGATTAAGAATGGGGACATCATTTTACTGTTGTTAGATTGTTGTTAGATTGTTAATGTAATTGTAATTTGACTTAAAGAAATATCATCTTTTAAATCTAATATTTCTTTGATTTATCATGAAAAACGTTAAGTCAGCTGCTCCTAGCAACTGCTTCAGTAGCGTGTGTCGAGCACCCCTTCCCTAAACAAAAGTTAGCTACAATAAACAGAAAAAACACACAACAAACAAAATGCTCAGTCTGGTTATCAAGCTAGGTTTAGCTAATATTTTTTGCCCTAATGTAAAGCCCTTTTTGCTCTGTGCTGCAGTAACAGTTGAGTAAGCCTCAGTCACAACCTCACCCACTGTATCATTAAAAATAGATGTCGTCTCTGTGACGACACCCATGTGCCTATGTTGGAAAGCCAACCAAATTTTGAAGATGGTTAAAAGATAAAACTGACACATATATAATCACTTCTTATGTTAACTAATTTTATCAGAAGATGAAATAATTAGCCAACTAACATTTTATGTAAATTAGCTACTTAGTTAGCTAGTGTTTTGCTAACATTAGCATTCAGGTGTAACTAGTAAGCTAACAATTGATGTAGATTAACTAGCTAATTAGTGTTGCTGACATTAGCTAGCTAATTTAAGATGTGGCAATAGTATATGTCCCTTTTTATCATTTAACCTTCAATATTTGGTTGTCTTATAGACGAGCCTAGCACATAGCATATATTTTTAAAAATACTTAATTACAGTAAGTCATGATTCAATACAACCACCAAATCAACTGTATGTTTGTGAATAATGGTGTTAATGTTAGTATGAGTGTGAGTAACATCGCACACAGCATATCTAAGTACAGGAAAGGGAAAAGTTGACCATGGCCCTCTCAACTGTTATTGGAGCACAAAGCAAAAAGGGGCGGGACTTAGGAAGGGTCAATTGGACGTGCCGAAAAAAAACCCTTTTAGAAAAGAGCACAAACATCCAAACTTAGATCAAGCTACATACTGGCAATTTACAGGTGCTGTATTTATGTCGACATACACAATCTTTGCTTTACTCATCTTTACTCCTGTGAGGCTGTGACTTAAAGCAGATCTCTGCATTAGCAGAAGCCCTCTGTATGAACTCCTCCTGCCACCCCCTCTATTAACGCGCCTAGATTTGATATAAGACTCTCAGTGTCAGTTCAGATCCTCACAAGATACGAAAGTTCTAGAGTTCTCGCAGGTCTGGACAGGAAAAAAAAATCCCAATGACTGCTTCCCACAACCTTGGTGGTCTTCCCAGTGTTCATGTGGGTGATTTTATTCATTCAAGGAGAGATTCCTGACCTGTTCCCAGACGACGAGGTGGAGAACATCATTGGCAGCATGAGGCCAGAGGTCCGCAGCTCGGGATTGATGGATACAAGGGAAAACTGCTGGAAGTTCTTCATCGACCGGGTTCGCAGACAGCTCAAGGTGAAGCAGCCAGACAGTGCAGGACAAAGAGCTGTTTGTGTTCTTGTTACTGTGCATGTCACTACTAATCATGCAGAAAAAAAGTTGTCCTCAGTAGTTCTCCTTAGGGGGGAAGTTTGCCATTAATCTCTCTCATAGAACTGCGTCAGTATTTGATCTCCACCCTCTCTTAATATAGCAATAGCATGCCGCCTCACACTCTAATTTACTATTCCAAAATAAAAAAAAACCTCTCTTACTTGGATAAACATCTGGCTTTATGATGAAGCCTTTCCCTAGACAATTTTCTTTCCTGACATTTTCAGATGAACTTGAATGCTTTCGGAGGCAGTGGACGTCGTTATAAATCACCGGCATGAGCAGAAAAGCCGCCGTTTAGCTGCAGATAATTTCACCAACGTGTAGCCGCTTTGTTCCCCCTGGGGAGAGAGACAATTCCAGGGGGTTGCTTATCCTGTCATTATTACAGTGTGCACCCCCCCCACACCACCACCCACATCCTCCACCACCGCCTCGCTCCCAGCTCAAGCCTCCCTAGGCTGGGGAGTGAATAAATGGGGAAGGCAATCCCACGGGCACGGGCTTGTAAAGAGTGGATTTCTAACTATTTGGCTCTCTGGCTCACAAATTGTCTGTCTGGATGGAAAGGGCACTTTGCCTAAAATGTTGGTAATCTGAATCAGAATGTTTTTTGCATGGAGACACAAGCGTGTGTCTCTGTGTGTGACTCTGCACGTTGAGCACCAGTTTAAATCCTGAGCCAAAAGTGTAAATCGTCAGTACAGTCAGACCTTGGAGCAGCAATTTGGTTTGGACCAGAATTCTCAACCTGGCTGTCGAGACTCCTTACAAGTGGTTGTTAGATGTCTCTAAAGGGGTAGCAAGATAATTACTGGGTAGGAAATATTAAAAACAAAACCTGCCAGACAAGATTATCTTCATTTTCTGGACTTTTTTCTTGTGAAATTCTGAAATAGTTTTACTTCTTTGGGCCTCTAAAAATTCCTCTAATGAAACAATCTGAGATGGGAAGATCACTCAAGGCATGCTTCAGGGCCTCAGAAGCTCCACACTCCATTTGAGTCTGTTTGTGGTGATTTCATTATTATAAAATGTATTTGGTTGCACTATATCACCTGCATATCAACTGATGGGTTCTGCATTATCGCGAGTACCTTTCTTGCAGAGGGGCCAAAATGTAGTTGTGAAAAGATCTGGTTTTAAGACCTTTATTACTTCAGTTTCTTTTTGCGTTTAGTGGTGCACATTCCCAAATAAATGTTCTTTAATTGTCAAAAGCATTGATGCATGGCAAACCTAGAGCCAGGTGTTATACGACGGCAGCATTACTGAGGGGAAAATGCTATTAAGAGTCTATGCGTGTTATGCTGTGGGCATTGCCCTTGATGGATAATTGTATTGGGGTATAAATTAACACATAAATATTAGAAACCCTATATAGTAGTCAGAGATACAGCTACATTGATACATAAACACAGATCCAAACCAAATCCTGTGTAAATCCATGCATCTGTCAAAAAAAGCACATCTTGCCTGCTCTCTGTCTGGGTGCTCGTATGTGCGTGTGTCAGTGCTAGCTACTTACATTCCCCTTTCACACACATACTTCAAGCCCTGCGCTTCATTAGAAAAAATTCACACCGAAAGAAATTTCAGCCTTTACTCTGTCCATCACTGCCTGGAATCTGTACATTGCCTCTACACTTGTTAACAAACGTTGAACGCTTTGAAAAAGTCTCTGCAGACTTGAATATTTCACGTTCATCAACTATTATACCTGATGAAGGTCGAACAGACAGAAACCTGGTAAATTAATAAGTATTCCAGCAGTAAGGAAGACAGTGAGATGGAGTGTTATCATTTATATTCACTTTAAAAAAGTGCAGTGGTATCGTAAAGAATATGCCAGCGGCACCATAAACAACACTGCTCATTTGAGAACACAACTTGTACATTCCAGTAGAGTTACCAATGAGTAATGATAGAGTTAGCAGATACGAATATTTCCGAAGTACAGTGCCCCACCCTCCACCCAGCTGAAGGCAACAAATGAAGCCATGAGCTGTTTTATTTGCAGCAAATGTGTGTAGACACATCTGTAAATGTATGCATAAATGTGTAGACACATCTGTAAATGTGTGCATGTATATAGTAATGGCTGAAGCATTTGCTCCTTGAAGTTGAAATACAGACACGTCATCAGTTACAACTCAGGCTGGCCTTTTACACGTGACTTTTGCTACACTTCTACTGTGGCAGATTTACAAATGCATGTGGTCATCTGTGTGTGTTGATCTGTGTGTGCTGAACTGTGTGTGTTGATCTGTGTGTGGTGATCTGTGTGTGTTGATCTGTCCGTGGTGATCTGTGTGTGCTGAACTGTGTGTGTTGATCTGTCTGTGGTGATCTGTGTGTGGTGATCTGTGTGTGGTGATCTGTGTGTGTTGATCTGTGTGTGGTGATCTGTGTGTGGGGAGTACGCATCTCAGTACGCATTGAGAGATTATAATACTCATGTACAAATCTGATTTGTGATGCACACGGATTGAGATACATCTACACAACTCTCCACTCACATTTGTAAATAGTTACTACAATAATACATATATACACATATATAATATTGTATCTGTATCACTTTTTTACTGGATTGTGGACCACGCATCCAGATACATATTGAATAGCCTGGGAGATACACACACCCTTCCTTGTGTACACTAATCCACAGTGCAAAGAATAGGGGGCCGTTAGGGGCCCACAGCTCATTTTCGATCCAGGGCCCACTGGTAAGTCAATTCAGCCCCTGCATGAACCTATGACAAGATGTCACATGTAGACAGGGCTTCATATAAAGTGGTCCCTTGCAGAAAAGGCTGCAGTTAGAACAAGCTGAATGAGATGTTTGTTGAATAAAAAGAATGCTGTAACCTGATGGCACTTTAAAGAAATAAATGTGTAAAGCAAATGTCACAGGGAATGTATTATATGCATGCAGATGATTCTTTCTCCAGAGTTGATTATTATCAGTAGTGTCTGTGGGTGTGCCTTCTGCATGTTTGTTTCTTTAGTGTAATGCTATCGAGCATCTGGCGGAGCCTCTCAATGAGCCAGCTGTTAGTCTCCAACAGTGAAAATCAGTCTGACGTAGCCCACAGCTCAACACACTCTTTTAATTCACATGCTTGCTAGAGGCTTTATTTGCTTAATGATGTAGCTGCAAATAATTAATTCGCAGCTTTCCATTCCCCCTCTTGACCATGAAGAAGTGCTAATCAGAGCTGGATATTCCCCGCCTTTCTTTCTTCTCTCAGGCTGCAACTCGAGTTGTTGCTCACACAGAGAAAGAAAATGACTATGATGTCGCTGCTGTATCAGACTTCACACTCAATTTTGTTTGACCTTGCTGTGTGTGTTTGTGTGTTTGTGTGTGTGTGTGTGTGTGTACTCCAGGTTGCTCTGTGTTTCTCTCCAGTGGGTAGTAAACTGAGGGTTCGCAGCAGGAAGTTCCCCGCCGTGGTGAACTGCACAGCGATCGACTGGTTCCACGAGTGGCCGCAGGAGGCTCTGGAGTCGGTCAGCTTTAGGTTCCTCCAGGAGGTGGAAAATATTGAAGTGAGAACAGCTCATACTTTAATATACACACAGGGACGAAGCCACCCACAAAAATGATGTTCACACTCTGAAAATATAATTTAAAATGTCAGGCACCGTGACACGACGAATGTGATATTAATTTCAAGAGCAGACCGGAGGCCCCGAAAATTAAATTCAGAGCCTGAGAGCCACAGGAAATATTGCTTTCCAGCTAAATCTGCACAGTCATCTTCTTTTAATGTGAAGTAACCAGTTCTGTGATTTACAATTCTTGCAGCCTCAAGTGAAGGAGTCGGTCAGTAAATTCATGGCCTACGTGCACATGAGTGTCAATCAGACATCCAAGGAGTACCTGGCCAACGAGCGGCGCTACAATTACACCACGCCCAAGTCTTTCCTGGAGCAGATCAAACTGTATCGCAGTCTGCTGGGCCAGAGGAGCAAAGACCTCACCACCAAGATGGAGCGGCTAGAGAACGGCCTGCAGAAGCTCAACAGCACCTCCACTCAGGTACCGTCCACAAGCATCTATTTAAAACATGGGGTCATACAAAATGTTCCCTATTTTAGTCTCACTTCTCAAAACAGTATCACACACAGCATCTTCACCCTTTGTAGCCATGTAGCCGAACATGGTAGTCAGTGAATGGGAGCGAGGGGGCGGCATGACAGGGAGAAAAGCAGTGAATCAGAGAAATAGAACCTTACTTTCTGATTGTTTCTCAGCAGTTACTTTCTAAAGCGCACACACACACACACACACACACACACCTCCGCACTATAATCCTGCAAAGGTGCGCATTGCTGGATTTTGTTTGAAAGCTCCACTGCCTGCTCTGTGTAACTCAGCCCCACCCTCGGTCAAACAGACACACACACACACACACACCACAGCCTCTTATACATTCACTGTCTTGCACAGACCTTTCTCCACACTTTGTTTTAGCGCTCTGTCAGTGCTAGAGAGCAGAGGAGAGAGACGAAGACAGCAATCTGCTCGCTACGAACTCAGACCATGTGCACTGCAAAATTAGAAAATAGAGGGCTGCAGGGTCTCTGCTGATACAGACACCGCCACACACTTCTAGAGGGTCATAAGTGATGATTGAGAGGGATTATGTTTTTATGAGTCTCTGCATTGTTTTTTAATGAAAATCCTCCTCAGTATGGCTTTAAAAGTTAAGCTTGAAAGTTTCCTCTTGACCTTGGAAACAGAAGTTGACAAAATAATCTCAGTCTTGAAATTTTGAAATAGATATCTAAAAATAAAACCAACAGGACATTTAAACATGTTATTCTTTTACGATTCAACCGGCTTCATGTGGGGTCATGACCCCAAGGTAAAGACACTCTGGTATTAAAATGGGCCCATACTATAAATCTTTATTTGTGATAAATGCATACGAATCATTGGTCCAAAACACACATTTTGAGTCCATTGGAGGTATTTTATTTTAAAATGTTACATATTCTGGATCCTAACTTGCTCAATACTAAATGCACCTAAACGTAGGTAATAATCTGCATTAATTACATTTCCTTATGTTTAAAAGCAAAATTCCAGTATTTACCATCTTGGGCTTGTTCTAATAGTGGGCCATGTGTCCTCAGAAATGTGGACTCCAGTGAAACAATGTATATCACAGCAAGCAGTGTGAAGCTTTCCAAATAAACTGAAATAAAAAAAATCTTTTCAAACGTTTGTGTCGGAGTTCCGCTTAAAGTAAACTGAAATTAGCCCCTTGCATTGGTAATTTTTGGCATCTACTAGCAAACCAAACTTGCCAGTGTGTTTTCCTGTGTGAAGCTAAGGGGTGCTCTCTATTTTAGTGTGTATACTTATACACACTTATACTACTAAATAAGTAGTTGCTGGAGTGTTTCCTGAATCGCCATAACAGAGGCAGAGATTGCAAAGTTAGCATGACTCATTGTCAGAATGACCACAATCATGAGACTAAGACAGTGTACACATAAACAGAGTTGCAGTGGTTCCCTCTGTGTTGGTTGGGACCCTGAGTACTGCTGGTTTCCTATTATACCAGGTAACGAATGCCCCTCACCTGACAGTCCAGGTGTAAATTGGTTGCCCTTAGTTGGCTAGAATGAGAGGCAATGGCAGCAGCTGAAGTTAAGTATTTCCCTGTACGTGTCAGCTGTTAATCTAATGGTTGACTTGTTTTGGAATGAAACATTTTGATTGTATCCAGTTGTATATTAAGTCTTTCTACCTCTCTATAATTATTGTCTTTTCATAATAAAAAATTCAGACATCTTTTTATATCCTTGCCTGGACTGTTCAGATTGTGCAGAATCGCGCAGCCGGGATACGGATGAAGGCCCTGATCTGACCTTCTTAGCTCTTGCACTCCATTTCCATATTTGACATATTACAGTACAAGGTTTACATGGCCAGTCACCAGATTTCACCATTGAATCAGTAAGGTTTTATCTTTTATCTTTTTATTTGTTCTCTCCATGGGCAAAATGTAATCATTCAGTTTCTTTATTTACTGTCTCTGTGTTTAAATATAGTTTTTATTCTTTAACTGCTGTTGTTTTAATGGTATCCTGTGATTGTAGTTTATTTCCCTTCACTGAAATTAGTATTACTACTATTAGTAATAATAGTAATAGTAGCAGTATAAATAGTAGTAGTGGTGGTGGTGGTGTCGTAGGTAATGGTAATATAATAGTAGAAAAGTAGTATTAGTAAGATAATAGTTCATAAAGTATTAGTAGTAATATAATAGTAGTAAAGTAGTAGTACTAGTAATGGTAGAAGAGTAGCAGTATTAGTTATATAGCAGTAAAGTACTAGTATTATTAGTATAATATAGTAGTAGTATTAGTATTAGTAGTGTAATGCAAAGTGAAAGTAGACCGTTAGACTTCTCTTTATTTTGTCATGAGAATTGTTATTTTGCATCATTTGGTGTTTCCGTCTTTAATATCGACACCTGGATCCATTTGTCCAAATGTTTACCTTCTCCACACCTTTGCAGGAGAGAGCTGTATGAATTATGCAACACAAGGTGTGTGTGTGTGTGTGTGTGTGTGTGTGTGTGTGTGTGTGTGTGTGTGTGACGCAGCTCTAATTATAGTGGGTCTACTACACTGTGCAAGTCAATGGTAAACCACACACACACACATACACATACATAATATCACTTTTAGATACCGTGCGTTTCCACTGCTTTGCATAAACATGCCCACACACAGCCGCCCGCTCGAAATGACACACATGCATAAACACCCTGTATACATAAGTGACATCAATGTGTGGAAAGCCCCAGAGTGTCCTTTGTTTTTGTTTCCCATTGCTCGTTTACTGTAGGAATAAGCCAGCACACACACAAACGCGCACACACACATATAGGGGCTGTATGGTAATCGAGGAGCCTTCTAATTAGAGAGCAGACCCTTTACAGCAGCAAGAAACCATTAATGCACCCTGTGTTTGTTAGTGCATCCACACTGATGGCCGCGCTGCTTTAAGTGCTGTTATTTAACATTCTGTGCAAGAGAATCCGTGGCTCACCAGGGGCTGCTGTGGTCATGATAAACAACGAGGGTAAAAACACAGGATCTGTGTGTGTGTGTGTGGTTGGGGGGGGGCGGGGGGGTTGGGGGGTTGTAGGAGATGCTTTATAAGTGTATGAGTCATCTGCTCCCCAGAGGACACATTAGTTCCATGTTTTTTTCCTCTTCAATATTGTGGAGGTAGTGTCCTACCTTTGGCTAGTGTGTGTATGTTTGTATTCAGTGCACCGCAGCGCTCGCCCACTCATTGTCTCATAAACACTTGTTAAGACACACACCACACACGCACATATACACATATGCACACACCACAATACTAGTACTTCTGGTAGAAATTGTAATATTAGTAGCAGTTGTAGTAGTGGTAGAAGTAGGAGTAGTAATAGTAATAGGAATGCTAATAGTAATCCAAGTAGTGGTGGTAGTGGTGGTAATCACAGTAGTCACAGTAATACTAGCAGTTACAATAGTTACAACACTATACAAGTTGCAGCAGTTGTCGCAATTGTAGTAGTACTAGTAATACTAGTCGTAGTGCAAGTAGTAATAGTATTAATTGGAGTTAGAAGGAGAACCTAAACTAACCAGCTGCAGCACTTTGCATAGGCAAAAAAAATAGCTTTAAAGGTTAATAACTGGAAACATTTAACTTTTCCACACACAAAGCCAGATGTCTCTTTGTTGCATGAATGAAGCTATACTTGAGTCATAAACCATCACACATATGGGTGAATGTGCATAGCCTCCTGCGTTGGTATCAAATCCTATCTTGCCTTGAGAAGCATCTACATTTGCAGCAGCAGGGAGGGAGAGCGGGCCGTTTCATACAGGCAGTCAGGAACGGAGATGTGTTTTCCTGCTTGGGTTTCCATCCGCAGCAGATAAACACAGAGCCCGCTCAGATGTATTGAATATCATGTCTCTTACCAATTAGTTTGTCCTTCTTCTCGCTCTCCCTCCTGCCCCCCCCATTCATCATGCTGATGGCTCACTTGGTGCTCGTCTAATAGTTCGACAGGATCTTCTGCGCGGAATCGCCACAACCCGAAAGGGCCGTCTTCCCTGCAGCCTGGTTTCCTGTTTGTTAATTAGCTGAAAGACAAGCGTGAAAAACAGTCTGTTTTTATTTCCCCAGTGCAACATTTTGATGGAGTCGGACGGTAATGCAGAGCCCTGTTTGTCTGGGAGTTATGAGGAGTTTGTAACAGCTTTAATTTCTCTTTACGACCGTCCTTGGTCTGTGCGTTTGTGTGCGTTTGTGTGCGTGTGTGTGTGTGTGTGTGTGTGTGTGTGTGTGTGTGTGTGTGTGTGTGTGTGTGTGTGTTTGTGTGTGCCGATAGCAGCTCTTGATCCTAAAGCTTTAATTTTTTTCCCAGAGATGCATGCCATTCATCTTTCTCTGCCCCTTTATCTACTTGGACAGAATAAGATTTTTTTTTCTTGGAATGGATTAAAGGTCACCTGCATGGTCCGTGGCATGATCCAGCAGGGCACAAAAATGTTATTTGCAAAGGTTGAGGCCCTTTGTGAAGCTTGTTTGTTCGACTTTCCTAAGCCACAGAATCCGCTTTATTGCTTTGAAGAACCAAGGAGATGTTTGGGTTTCAATTAAGTTGCCATCGAGCTCGATCAGCGATTGTATTACTGATAAAATCCAACGAGGATACAAACAACAAAAACAAATGATCAGTCCTTCAAATACGCCTGGGATTCAATTAGATGGTAGTGATTCATTCATTAGTGCCCATGATATACACACTGATTGCTACTTATACCATTTAATGAGACAAAAATAGATTATTGTCAGCACCCCCCCATATGCTCTATTGATTACTGCCCTCATAATAATGCATGTGGTCTTTTCTTCCTCCCCTTGTATGTACACTGGACTGATTAACACATGTCCGTACACAAATGTAAAAATGACAGTTGGGCACAGCGACTTCCTGGAGTGTTGTGGTCACAGTGAGGTTGCAAGGTTTTGGTACCATCATCTGTCAGGTTTCCCACGTGTCCTGGAAAACTTAGAAATCACAGCTGTGTTTACTATTTCACGTCGACATGGCTGCTGTGAAAAAGGAAAAGCAGAAAAAAAAGGCTGTGGTCAGAACAGCCAAACAAGTCACAAAAGCAAGCTAACACGGACCATCCCATAAATGATGGCTATCGTTTGTGAGCAAGTGCTGTCCTGGACTGCCAACAAAAACTACTGGAAAATGTCCTGGAAAGGTCCTGGAAAACAATTTCTTAAAAAGAATGGGAACCCTGATGTCTGTATTGAGACTTACACTAACGCTTTGCTCACTGACCATACCTGGTAGTGATGCAAATGAACATGAATAGATTATGCGGATATGAACAAATAATCCAAACAGATACAGTAAGTAACTCTTACACCTGAGTGTCATTACTAATGAGCTCTGTATCTGGATATTAAATCTTGCAAGCAACAAGGAAGTAGATGTGATTGTCATTATGTAAGTATTAAAAAGCCAGATTTTTAAATAGAGTTTGGTTTGCAGAGGAGCAGAGATTTAAAAGAGTAACACTGATGTAGTTGATGACTCAGAGAAGCTCTCAACTTTAGGAAGCAGATGTGATTTCTCTGTTTTGTAGTCAGCAAACTGTGAGTCAATCAGTCAAGCTTTAGCATTTTTTAATCATAGACACCAACCTAACATTCATCTAGGCCTCCTCCCATTATATACACAACCTCCACTTTTTTAGGTGGAGCTAAAATTTAACTTATAACTTTATATTATTTTGGTATTATGTGTTAAAACTCGTCATATGTTTGTAAAAGATCATATTTTACTTCAGTAACTAGTAATTATGGCTGTCAAATAAATATTGTGAAGTATAATGTAGCATAAAATAGAAAATATAAGCTCTTTGAAATTGCACTTGAGTGAATGTATTTTCCACCACTGCTGATTGTTTATAAGAAAACGCCACAGATTAGATTAAAGTTTGAATGAAGGGTAGATTGAAAAGCCTACATACACACTGTAGATGTATGGAATTTGAACTGGGGGAGGCTATTCCATTCTGGTGTAGTGTTTATGAGCTACAGTTCATTCATCCAGATCTCCAGTCACATCTCCTGACCTCTTGGTCTCCCTGTCTCATCCTCTGATAGGTGGATGACCTTAAGGCCAAGCTGGCTGCTCAAGAAGTGGAACTCAAGCAGAAGAACGAAGACGCTGACAAGCTGATCCAGGCAAGAACACGTTTTTGTTTTCTTTTTTAAAGTCTGTTTATTGGATTTTTAAGGACAGGTTGTGCATACATGACAATGGCCACACTCCATGTAACACACAGAGGCTAGATAAAGTAATGTTCATTTTAAGCACAGCACTAGGACTGACACATATTCACTGGTTTCATTTGCTCAGATATGTCTCCGAGATTTCCACATTGACCCCAATAGAATGGGGATGAATGGAATTTCGCTTGTGGTGCTCAAAGAAATGAAAAATGACATCTAAAAAATTCAGCACCAGCTTGTCCTTCCAGGAACAAAATGTCCCCTTTACTCTGGATAATCCACAGATGGATTCCTGGTGTTGGGGGGGGTAGAAACTGCTCACTACAGCGTGAGAAATTCAGAGAAAGCTGGACTTAAACCTCTGATCTTTTTCATCTTCTCTTATCTTCTGTTATGGATTGATCTCACATAGGTCAGAGGGGTGAACAACAATGTTTTTCTGGGTATTACCTTCATGTCAAACTTTTCTTGCAGCCACTCGGGGTTTGTCAGCATTTAAAGTTTCCTAGTGCAGATGTTTAATAGCATATTAAGTCACTTTTTGTAAATGTGACTTGTTTGGAAGGTTATTTTAATTCGCTTTGTAAAACTGCATCACAAACTGAGCTTTCACCATTAAAGTGGCCGTAGGTAGCTTTTATAGAGCTAACCTTTTGTCATATTTGCTGTAATTTTCATTGTGTCTTGAGAGCAGTAAACGAGACAGATAGTATGTGAGAAAATCAGGCTGCTCTGACTCCTCCTAGTGCTTTTCACAGATTATCTGTCTCATGTTCTACTGTCAGGATATAGTGAAAGTTTCAGCAAAAAAAATATTTTTATAATGATTACCTACTGCAGCTTTAACATCAGCAATATATCCTTTGTGCTGTCCCCAGGTGGTCGGGATAGAAACTGAGAAGGTGTCCAAGGAGAAGGCAGTCGCTGACGAGGAAGAGGAAAAGGTGGCGGCCATTGCTGTTGTGGTCAGCGGCAAACAGAGAGACTGCGAGGAAGACTTAGCCAAAGCTGAACCAGCTCTCCTAGCTGCTCAGGATGCCCTTAACACTCTCAATAAGGTCAGTTACTCTCATAAACCACTCTGTGTCTTATCGATTTGCTCTGTCATACTCTTCTCCTTTAGTTTTCTTCTCTTTTAAGAGGGGTTGTGTCCTTTACTCTTTGTTTGATTTAGTTTTGCCAGCTTCAGTGAAATAAGTTATGTCCACACAGGCCTTGAATTGTATAAAAGATTATTGAATCACAGGATTTAGCCGGGTCTTTGCTAAAATAATATCTTCTCTATGTTCTGCAGGCATTTTACTTCATCCTCGCATCCCGTGTAGGTTTATGAGCAGCCTTGGGGATTTTCAAAAACACACTCTGTGTTTAAAAGGTGCTCTCTGTTCAAACAAGCAGAACCGACAGTTCAATCACTGCTTAGAGCTCTCTAAAGATGCCCTAATTAGAATTCTCTGTTGTCTTCTCAAAGTCAGCACAGGTTCTTCTTCCTTTATTCTAATCCTTTCCTTTTTCGCTCTCTTTTTCCCTCAGTAGACCACAGAGATATGCAGTTGTTCAAACTCAATTAAATCGTAGCTTCTATTATTCCCTCTATCTCGCCTACTTCAGAACAACTTGACAGAGTTGAAGTCGTTCGGCTCTCCGGTGGCGGCGGTGACCAACGTCACGGCGGCCGTCATGGTCCTGACAGCACCCGGTGGCAAAGTCCCAAAGGATCGTAGCTGGAAGGCCGCAAAGGTGATGATGGCCAAAGTGGATGCGTTCCTGGACTGTCTGATCAACTTCAACAAAGAGAACATCCCAGAGACTTGTCTGAAAGCTATTCAGCCTTACCTGCAGGTGAGCCTTTCAATTAGCCCCGATTCATTAAAATCAACGCTAACAGCCCACAGTGTGCATTGTCTGCCTTGTGGCAAGTTTAACTAATAGGTCATAAATTTAGCAGGGGCGTGACTACAGTGACAGTGGCACATTATGGCTGCCGAGTGTCCAAATGACAGCCAGAGAAAATCAACCAGTTAATTAAGCGTTACAAATTTAACAGCCGCCCTGATTATGAAGTTCAATGGAGCGCATGGTTGGTAAGTCGGTGAATTTAAAGTGAATTTTGGCTTTACCTGCTGCACCGTGTACACCACACTGATCCAGTTTCCAGACCATTGATCTAACATGATTTTATATATTTCTTTTAAGACAGACCTTTAATATTTAAGAGTAGTGGTCAAAAACAAATGTTAAAACATTTATGAAGAAGTTTATGAAGAAAAGTAAACCGTAACGTTAAGAATACTGGAAAAAAAAAATTCTAAATATAGATTTTTAAGAGTTTAGGCACACATAATTCACTAAAATCAGTGACACTGACATCACAAGAGACGTTCATGTTTTCCATTTCATTCCATTAATTACAGTCTGTAATATATTATGTAGTATTATTTTTATATGGAAGAACAAATGTCAGAAAGACAGATTCTGGTCTGAAAAGTATTATTGCGTTCTGCCACTGCAGAAAATTATAGCAATACTTTCAGAGCCCTGATGATGCGTTTGATCAGTGTTTTACTCTGCATTTGTGGATTTATTGGTTCATCTTTTCAATCTCCTTCAGGATCCAGAGTTCCAGCCAGAGCTGGTGGCCTCCAAGTCGAACGCGGCGGCCGGCCTGTGCTCCTGGGTTTTGAACATTGTCAAGTTCTACGAGGTTTACTGCGAGGTGGAGCCCAAGCGTCAGGCTCTGAGCAAGGCCAACGCAGAGCTGGCTGCTGCACAGGAGAAGCTCTCCGCCATCAAGAGCAAGATCAATGTAAGCCACTGTATTGGACTGACGACACAGGAAATGAAAAGTTTATTTGCTATATGCCAAGTATCTATTTCAAAAGAAGGCAATTTCAATAACTAAAATCCAGAGGATATATTCTATGAAATTGCATTACCATTTTATTAAAGAAAAGACTTACTGTTCTTTGAAGTCTTGTTTTCCAGTCATTTCTTTGACACAGAAACGCACTGACACAAACACTAAAGTGTCTTAAAACTTTAGTTGTTGGGTTGACTTCTGTACAAAATAGAATGTGGGCTGAGAAATGACTTATGAAAGCACCTAGCCATAAAAGATTTCTGAGACATCAGCGTGGATCAACTACTCTTATCAAACCCAGAAGATATGCAGCATAATAAGAATTTGATGCTACAGAAATAAAACAAAAACAAGAACCAGAGGCTATAAGCTGGAGAAAAAATTCAGGATATGAATTATTTTATCATGGCTTGAGTGACAGTTGACACATGAGCTCTGCCAGTAATGATATACCACCAGCATTTCATCAATACAAAGCTGGTGTAAGTGCTATTAAAGGCTTTTACTGTTCATTAATCTAAAACCAAATCCATCAACCTAAAAACCCTATTGATAAAAGCAGCTGTAAATAATTGTTTCTCAGTGGCGTTTGACATTCAGCACATCAGAGCGCCAGAGAGAGCCCCCAGCAGAGCACGGTGCCCGGGATGCTGCGGTGGCGGCGGCAGTGGCGGCTGCTTACATCAAACCCTGCAGAGTGCAGAGTGACGACTCTTAATAAGATCCAGCATGACTTCTCGCTGTCATTTTTCAGCCCTCAGTCAGATCGCTTGAGCAGAGAGTGGGTTCGGAGCCAAGGGGAATTAGCAATCCTCAAACTAATCTACTGAACCTGTGTGCCTCTCCACCGATTAATCCTGTTTGTCCTTGTGCTAATTGCTTCCATATGCCAAATAAATCCATAGCGGAGGGAATGATAAGTTTTACCCAACTTTTCACACACTCTCAAGTTTCTTTCGTGGAGAGACTTTGGCTATCTTTGTTCTTTGTCTTTGAAGATTCTTTATGACCATGCTGTATTTTAACAAGTGCCAATTTTTCTCTATTTCTGTGTGTGTCTCTGTGTGTGTGTGTGGCCTATCAGCACCTTAATGAGAACCTGGCCAAGCTGACAGCCAAGTTTGAGAAAGCCACTGCAGACAAGCTCAAGTGCCAACAGGAAGCAGAATCAACCGCGCACACCATTTCCCTGGCCAACCGTCTGGTGAGGAGGGCAACAGCGGGGTCACGCAGAGCACACATACACACACACACACACACACACACACACACCCACACATCAGCTATTATTATCTCTGCTCATTAGTGTGACACTGTTTTTTTAGCTTCACATACAGGGGTGTAAACCTATAAATCTATTATTTGGACATGAACAGATAATGCATTCTGATCAGATACAAACTGAATTAGAATTTTTACACTAATATTTGTCCCCAGTTGTGACCAAATGTGCCACAAACTTCATCTTTTCAGTCATAACTCAGTCAAATAAAAACACACAGGCATCCTGCGCACCTTGCAGCAATAAACTGAAGCCACACTTTACTGGTGCTGTCAGGGTCCAAAAATGTTTAGAAAATGCTCAGAATTCATAGAGAAAAAGTGTGCAACTCCTTGCACCCAAAGCAGTCTAACATTTCATGATTAGAACTGTAGAAAAAATCTGAGGCACTCAAGAGGGCAGTGATTTTAAAAAGCTTATACTATCTCATGGCTATTTACTCATAGTAACCGTTAAAAAACATGCCTACGCTGTTCAGCCATTCAGGCCTCCATCAGGGCAATTTATAACATATATCTCTTAGCAAGTACTCACATGATCTTTGTACAGGTAAAGTCACATGACAGATCATGTTCAGCAGGGAAAACACATATCAAAAATCACACAATATGTCAGTACAACAGACAAAACTATATGCCTTCTTAACATTTCATTTTTCTCTACATCCAGGCAAGAAGGCATATGCCTCAGATGCCTAAAACACAAAAAACATGAAAAACATGATTGGACAGTTACAGAAAAGGAGAGAAGTTAAAATAACTTTTCATGGAACTTTTCATCAGTCCCTGCCAGATTTTCTGTGGATTGCTGGAGAAAGCCTGCCTGATATTCAAACCTCATGGTCTGATATTGATGCCTGGCAACTTGCATGACTTGACGGTAGATGGAAAATGACAAGCTGAAGTTAGGGATTGTCTCAAAAGTGCATGCAAGAATGGCCAAGATGCAAGCATACAAGATATCGGTCCATAGCTTTCTCCTTTTTTTTTTTTCATAGACACTACAAGCCAATTTCTTTTTTCTTTTTTGTCCATTGAGCTATTATAGCCTGTTCTTCGTCAGTAGTTTTGAATTTAACATCATCTGGGCTTCCTCTCATTACATACACATCCTCCAGTAAGAATAAAATTATGGCCCAGTGGAATTATGACTTTTATATTCCCACTGTTAAAACCTCCTGTTCTATTTCCATTATTCATTTCCACCTGGACCATTAACATTTACACAGCTCTTGTTTACACCCAGTTTAGACTCCCTTTTTAGCCATGCTTGGGATGGAAAAGTTGGTCCACCACTTCGGTCCAGACTGAAATATCTCAGCAACATTTTCATGGATTGCAATGGAATTTTGTGTAAAAATGTCCATGGTTCCCTCAGGATATGTTTTTATCCACCTCAGTGATCCCTTCACCTTTCCTCCAGTACTATCGTCATATCAAAAATCCAATTTGTTCAGGACCAAATACCTGATAAATTAATGAACTACTTTGTCTTCAGGACTAACTAGCAAATACCAGCATGCTAACAAACTTACAGTATATTGTGAACAGGATAAATACCATATTCTACGCCAAATTACGAATCCTTCGCCCCTACACTGCCTCTGATTGGCTAGTAACCTTCATTGATTGGGTTAATTAGGTTAAGGGGTTGAGGAGTGATTGGTTAGGGCAAGAATATCAGTGTAAGCCAATCGGAGTAGGCTGGGTCATACCTTCACCATAATTTCATTTCATTCATTTGGGTTATATTGTCCTATAAGAGTTATTTTGTAAGCAGCTTTACTTATACCTATATACAGTATGCAGTACATGGTATAAATGGGTATAGGAAACAATTCAAACTGAAATTGAAGCAATATAGATGATTTATAACTTCTGGTATAAATCTGAATAGAGATATTTTGTATGAGTAGCTTTTGCATCCTACCCCTAGTGCACAAACCTGTACTTATGCACATGTATACCGAAAAACTATTTTTACCTCTGCTCGTTAGTGTGGCTGTCTCTTACCGTAGGTGCACAATTCATATTTTTACACACACACAGACACACATAAATCCCACCATCATCTGACAGTGTGTAAATCTCTTGCTGACAGCAGCACAACAAAAAGATGAGTGTTGACACTGTTTGTATGATAATCTAAATTATTCAGAGGAAGTTTTCAAAAGGCCTGACAGGAGCAACAAAGGGAAGAGAGGTTGTGCTCATCTGCTAGTCAATCACAAATATCAATGCAAATGGAGTCAACCTGCTGAAGTGTACAGTGTTTCCGTGCTGTATGCTGAGAAGTTACAGTCTGTATCAAAGTGCGGGGCCTCGGAAGAGATAAGATATTAAGGTGAACTTTATTGATCCCTGAAGGGAAATTGGATCATTTCCGCAGTAAAGAGTAGAGGTGTTGGTACGCGAGCTGAGAGGTGATAAAGGATATGAAAACCTAATAAAAAAAGGACTTGAAGGTTGCGAGGCATTGTTGTTCTGGAGATTTTCTGACGTTCACAAGGCTGCTCATCAACGACTGCAGCCATAGATCCATTTAGATTTGATTTTAAATGACGCCCATTGGGAGTATGCTATAAATCTGTAAAACAGAACGATGTGCTCTGTCTGCCCCCGCATTTCAGGTGGGAGGTCTGGCATCTGAGAACGTCCGCTGGGCGGAGGCTGTAGAAAACTTTAAGAAACAGGAGAGGACTCTCTGCGGGGACGTCCTCCTCATCACCGCCTTCATCTCCTACCTGGGATACTTCACCAAGCGCTATAGGCTCCAGCTCATGGACAACACATGGAGGCCTTATCTCAGTCAGCTGCAGGTGGGTGGGATTTATACTTGTGCGTTAACTGGTGGTACCTGACACGCACTTTCCCATAAAATGTAAGTAGATGTTGGAGACCTCAAGAATGATTGCGTGCATTGCTTGTGTTTTTTCAAGTTTTCACTTTTTCACCTCACTCAGGGGGATTGCTGAGCATGAAGACAACATTAAATGAAACTTTAAATGGTTTTATTGTTTTAGCTCCAGCCAGTGTTGTGCAGGTTTACACTAAACAAGAGATAGCTCAAAGTTAAGTTTACGCAGATTAAAATGAACTCGCTGTTCACAGTCCCAATAAATGTACAGTGCATGTTAATTTTTCCGCTTTTTTAATTGAGCTGCTTTAGGAAATCCTAGGTTCAGTTCGATGAACAGTGCTCTTTTTGCATAATTTCTGCAGGTTCTTATAACATTGGAATCACTAAAACAATTAGTCCCTAAACCTCAATGCAGCAATGGTCAGATGATCAGACAGCAAACTTTCCATGGTTACTCTATTATTAAACCAGAGTGGTATAATTCAAACTTAGCATGTACTCATCGATATCTTCTGTAAGGTTCCCATCCCAGTGACCCCCGACCTGGACCCTCTGACCATGCTGACAGATGACGCGGATATTGCGGCGTGGCAGAATGAGGGGCTGCCCGCCGACAGGATGTCCACCGAGAACGCCACCATTCTTACTTCCTGCCAGCGCTGGCCCCTCATGGTGGACCCCCAGCTGCAGGGCATCAAGTGGATCAAAACCAAATACGGCGAAGACCTGCGCATCATCCGCATTGGACAGAGAGGGTAAGAGGCTTTGTGGTGAAAAAATATGCACATGGTCATTTTTTGGAGCAGATTTGGATCGAGGGATTCTTTTGTTTTGCCCTGAAAGGTACCTGGACGCCATAGAGAGAGCACTGGCAGCAGGCGATGTGGTTCTGATAGAGAACTTGGAGGAAACGTTGGATCCTGTTCTTGGACCTCTGCTGGGCAGAGAAACCATTAAGAAGGGCAGGTAAAGAGCACTTGAGTCCGTAAAAATACTACCTTTCACACAAGACAAAAAACCCACTAACATCCACACACATCTGGCGTTTGTCTTCAGTGGCAACGGGTATAGTCGGCATTCATTCCCGGGTCAGAGGACTTTGCAGTAGTTATTTGTATTTTTTGGCTCCAGCTCCAATCAGCAGTGATGGAAACATGACACCCGGGTGGACATGCAAATTTCTTAACCCTTTTCCAACTGGCGTGCGTTGTTCCGGACGTTTGTGGGTAAATAGCCAGAAACATTATTGTTGTTTACAGTTAATTTTGTTCATATCGTTCAAGATGCAACGCCGGCCGGACAGTGAGGTGACAGAGCTTCTCCTGATTCATCAACGCTGAGTTTAAAGGGGAGACTGAAGTAAAACATATTAAAAAAATGACCATTTTAACATTGCTGCTTTCTACTGTTTACTGTTTTTGGCATGTCCTTGATATTGGATACAGAAAGCCTAACTCGTCTGTTGGCAATGGGAAAGGCGTCAATTGCCTGTTTTTTTTACCCACATTTAAAGAACCCTCCATATATGCATTAATTTTATTTAAAAAGGGAACATTTAGAGCTCGGTATTGAACCTTCAGACAGTCTCACCTGTGTTCCATTCATTACTGGTGGTCAGTCTTGTCGTATCATCTTCATCAGCAAATGGTGTTTGCCCATTTGTCATAGAAGTGTAGATGTACAAATTATTTCTCATCCATGTCACCTTAAAATTTTAGTGTCAAAGTTCATTCTTGACATTTGAAACAACTCAGCGTTTCAAACAGAAGTTGAGATTGTTTTATTATCGACTATTTCCAAGGTCAAGAATGAACTCAGTGTTTTTGGCTCTGACTTAAATGTGTCTGTTACATCCAGTATCCAAAAGTATGGAAAGGTGGCATTAAATCCTTGCTCAGATTTCTAATCTTGTGTACTTGTTCTTTAATAAGATAGTTCCTGATTTAAAAAATAATCTATATTATAAAAAATCCCATTTGGAAAATGAACAGGATTGTCTATTCTAATCATAGTTTTCCACATGCTGTGATGCTGTTATGGGACATTAAAGACGCAGGTTAGATAAAAGTTCCAGTTTACTCGTATTCAAAAATAAAGGCGGCAAAAGTCAAAACCAGGCAGGCAGATCAAAACAAGCAAACTTATCCAAGAAGTGGTCAGACAGTCCAGAGAAAAGGCTGGAAAGCTAAGATGGAAACAATAGACAATCTGGCAGGGAATGAGTGGAAATGGGCCAGTACATACACTGCACCGCTGATGAGAACGCGGGTGGGCGGGGGAGGTCAGGTGATGGAGATTGGTGTGAAAGGAGTTACTGCAGGGCAGGAGGGAGTGGCTGGCTCTGTAATGACAGAAGAGCTAGTACGTGGGAGGGAAAGCAGAGCAGACAAGAGAATGAATGAGTAGAGTTGGCTGGAGTTGTGACACCACTAGTGCATTACATGTCTGGCTGAGACATGAAGTGAATCACTAAAATAGTTTTTGTTGTTTGTTTCTTATTGGCCTTCAGCCTTGTCATTCACCTCTGACAGGATGGATATGTTGCAGTTTGTTCTAAAGTTGAAATGATCAATACTGCTTTGGTTTATGGAAATCATAATTGATCGAAATGCATTTTGAGTTCACACCAACACACAACATAGAATGTCACAGTCATTAGTTTGAGTGAAAAGTTCCAGCGTCAAACTATAGTCTATACTCAGAACGTTCCACTAGTACATAACAGAACAGGATCAGCAAACACGGATCACTTGCTTTCTTATCTTTAAAGGGGAAACCTTTGCTTTAAATGAGCGTTATCAACTAAGTGCTGATTGCACAGTGTACTGGCTATAGAAGAATGCCTGTTTAGATTGGTTCCTTGTTGAGCCTCCCTTTTATTATGCAATAGAACTTTTTCACAGTAGCCATTTTAACATGAAATAGTAGGGTTGTTCTATTCAGGACAAACTAGGACAGACTGCTAGTGTGCATGTTGGCTCACTGAAAGGCTCTGCTACACTTAATGGAACAGAATCTTAATTAGTATCATTGGTAACCCTACTGTTTCATGTCAAAATGGCTGCTGTGAAAAAGGTCTATGAAGTCTGCCACCGGGAACATGAAGACTCGATTTACAGCACAGAGGAAGAGGATCATGCTTTTTCTAGGTGGAGCTGATCGTCATAGCGAGGTTATTCCAGAAGCTGGGAAACAGCACACACAGAAGCTTAACGTTGCTTTTGAGAGTGTGCCACCTTTATTCACTGACAATCTGTGACCTACACTGTACTTTTACTGCCAGACTGATACTTCACTGCTCACCTTTTCCTCTGCACCGCTCACATTTACCGCTATGCGAACAAAAAGGAGCTGCTACTCTTAACAGAGGATATGAAGTGATGGTGTTCTTGATACGTCGACCCTTCTTCAACATTACTCAAATAATGTTGTTACTATGCAATGCACATCATTACAGCTGCTCCAAAATTCTATATAAATTGTTACAATTTCAATTCACCTCTTCAGTGAACATGCTTGTTTCTTCCAAAATGTTGGTGATGATTTCTTTACTCAGTTAGGCTCTGAGGAAAACAGTTGTCTTACTGTCTACTGAACAATAATACAAACAATAATACCACAAGGAGTCACTGGAGGGGGGTTTGAAAAGTTAGGGAAAGGAAAAGATTAGAAACTGACACAAAGTACAGATCCAATCAAAAACAGTATTGCTAGTAACAACCTTCCAAAAGATACCAGAGAGAGAGAGAGAGAGAGAGAGAGAGAGAGAGAGAGAGAGAGAGAGACAGAGAGAGAGAGAGAGAGAGATAGATAGATAGATAGATAGATAGATAGATAGATAGATAGATAGATAGATTCAATTCAGTTTTATTTGTATAGCGCCAATTCATAACAGAAGTTATCTCAGGACACTTTTCAAATAGAGCAGGTCTAGACCGAACTCTTTAAAACATTAATTACAGAGACCCAACAGTACCACCATGAGCAAGCACTTGGCGACAAGGGCAAGGAAAAACTGCCTGTTAGAAGGCAGAAACCTAGGACAGATCCTTCGGCTCTAGGTGGGTGGTCGTCTGTCTTGACCAGTTGGGGTGAGAGAGACAGACAGACAGACAGACAGACAGACAGTCGCACAGATAGATAGAGAGATACTTTATTTATCCCGAGGGAAATTCAAGTATCCAGTAGCATACAAAATACAAAACATACATTAAACATACATTAGACTAAAATTTAAATGCCTAACCTATAAGAATTATAGGTTATATATATATAAAATTAACAGTAGCTACAATAAACGTTGCAAACAGTAAACAGTGCAAATGGATGTGCAAAATACAGATAGAAATTGTCCATTGTCTATTATCTGTTGTCCTCCCTGCCTTTACTGAGAGCTGTTGTACAGTCTGATGGGGGATGAAAGAGTTTTTGAGTCTGTTGGTGGAGCTGGACTGGGACAGCAGTCTGCCACTGAACACACTCCTCTGCCTGGTGAAGGTGTCGTGCAGAGGATGGTGGGTGTTGTCCAGTATGGACAGCAGTTTGTCCAGGGTCCTTCTTTCTGCCACTGTCACCAGAGAGTCTAGCTCTGTGCCTACCACTGAGCCAGCTCTCCTCACCAGTCTGTCCAGTCGACCGGCGTCTCTCCTCTTGCTGCTTCCTGAGTCCCCAGCAAACCACAGCATAAAAGAGCATGCTGGCCACCACAGACTGGTAAAACATCTGCAGCAGTTTTTTGCAGATGTTGAAGGACCCCAGCCTTCTCAGGAAGTACAGACGGCTCTGCCCTTTCCTGTGTAAAGCGTCCATATTTGCTGTCCAGTCCAGCTTGTTATCCAGCTGCAGCCCCAGATATTTATAGGTCCTGACTACCTCTACATCGACCCCCTCGATGGACACAGGTTGGAGATGTGGTTTCTTCCTTCTGAAGTCCACCACCATCTCCTTGGTCTTGGAGGTGTTCAGCTGCAGATGGTTGGACCCGCACCACCTCACAAAGTCCTCGACCAGGCTCCTGTACTCCCCCTCCCTTCCATCCTTGATACAGCCAACTATTGCAGTGTAGTCCGAGTATTTCTGCATGTGGCAGAGCCCCGGGTTATACTGGAAGTCAGATGTGTACAAGGTGAAGAGGACGGGAGAGAGCACGGTCCCCTGTGGTGCTCCGGTGCTGCTGACCACAGTGTCTGACGTGCAGCCCTTCAGTCTGATGTACTGTGTTCTCTCCGTGTGGTAGTCCGTAATCCATGTCACCAGGAGTGGGTCCACCCTCATCTCTGTCAGCTTGTCTCTCAGCAGGAGCGGCCGGATGGTGTTGAAGTAGGGCTGCTCGATTATGGAAAAAATCATAATCACGATTATTTCGGTCAAAATTTAAATCACGATTATTCAAACGATTCTTTTTTTAAACTTCAGAAACATGCTGCATTAACTTCAGAAACATTACTGCGCTGTTATCCTCCTTCTGTCATGTTCCATTCAGACAAGTGTAGCTGGCCGCGTTACCTGTTCCAACGAAAACAACGTGACTGACTCATGTGCAGTGCATGCTGTGGCGGAGGGACGAAAATACACATGCGCGAAATACGCAGACTGTGGCTGTGTCCCAATTCAGGGGCTGCATCCCTGAAGTGGGACACAACAGAAAATATTTTTTAAAAAATCGTTTCCCCCCGATTGTATTAGTTTTGAGATCGTTTGGCCCCAAAATCGTAATCATGATCAAATTTTGATTAATTGAGCAGCCTTGTGTTGAAGGCGCTGGAGAAATCTAAAAACGCGATTCTCACAGCGCCGCTCTCCTTGTCCAGATGAGAGTGGGCCCTATGGAGCAGATAGAGGATGGCATCCCTCACGGCCACCGTCCCCTGGTATCCAAACTGCAGTGGATCTTGTACGTGGTGGACCTGGGGTCTGAGGACATGGAGCAGCAGCCGTTCAAAGGTCTTCATAATGTGTGACGTCAGTGCTACTGGTCTGAAGTCACCCGGCTCCCTGGGGTGTTTTTTCTTAGGAACCAGGATGAGACATGAAGTCTTCCAGAGCACTGGAACCCTCCCCAGCTGCAGGCTCAGGTTAAAGACATGCTGGAGTGGCTCCCCCTGTTCAGCAGAACAGGCTTTAAGCATCCTTGGACACACTCTGTCCGGGCCCGCTGCTTTTCTTGGACGAAGCCTCCTCAGCTTTCTGCTCACCTGTTCCTTGGTGATGGTGGTGGGGAGGGGGGTTGAACTGTCCGTGGGTGTGGAGGGTGGGGGTGGTCTGCAGTCTGAGGTGGTGGAATTGGGGGAGGTGATGGACATGGTGGGGGTGTGAAGTGGGCAGTCGCTGGTTGTGGGAGCTGGAGTATCAAACCTGTTAAAAAACAGGTTTAGCTGCTTTGCTCTTCCAGCATCCCCCTCTCCTGTGATGCTGCCCTTCTTCTTGCAGCCTGTGATGGTTTTCATGCCATCCCAGACCTCCCTCATGTTGTTATGCTGCAGCTTCTGTTCTACCTTCCTTCTGTAGTCCTCCTATGCCTTTCTCAGGTGGACCTTGAGTTCCCCCTGTACGCGCTTCAGCTCGTCTCTGTCACCATCCTTGAATGCCCTCTTCCTCCTGTTCAGGATGTCCTTGACATTACTGGTTATCCAGGGCTTGTTGTTGCGGAAGCAGCGTACAGTTCTGATAGGGACCACAACGTCCATACAGAAGTTGAGGTAGTCAGTAGTGCAGTGCGTGACCCCCTCGATGTCCTCACCATGTGCTTCCTGAAGGAGCGTTTGGTCGTGGACTGTCTCTGGATCTGTGGTTTGTACTGTGGCGTGAGCAGGACCAGGTTATGGTCAGACTTTCCCAGTGGGGGCAGAGGAGTGGCAGTGTAAGCTTCCCTCACGTTGGCATACAGGAGGTCTAATGTCCTGTTCTTCCTGGTGGGGCAGCTTACAACACCTAGTTGTAACAACTGTCAGCATCTATTTTAAATACAGGGTTTGGACAAATGGCTCTTTTACAGTCCCCACTGCAATACACATCAACTGTGTTTATCAGAGAAATTAACAAGAAATATAGTAAATTAACAACTACCCCAAGCTATAAAGAAGTCAATACATACATACAGGGAAAACACCCTCTCTCATTTAAGTCATAAAACAAAATTTAACAGAATAAAAAAACAGTATAAAATAATGATACAGTAATATAAGAGACATTACTGCATTGGTGTACTTCACATGAGCTACAAAATGAAAGGATAAGGCCTTCTGCCACAATCTCACTAGACCACTAAATGTGTATTAGTCCGCCATTGAAAATAGTCCCCAACAAATGCACTATTTACAGCTGTTTGAGTGACGTTGGCTAAAACCTACAATGACCAGCTGTTTTGGGGAATTACTGAGCCTTTTTTTAAATGAAGCTATATATATTTGTGAGCTGTTTTTAGAGGCTTGCATTGTCAGAGGCAGGGTAGAGAAGTCAGGAAGTATTGTGAGACAGACTAACATATTATTGGTTTTGATCTTTCCAGGGCATTTGTAAGTAAGTAAGAAAGAATAACACCCGCATTATACTTTAAGTGACATTCTTGGAGAACCACTGATTAGACAAGTGTACTAGACATAACAAGGAGGATTCATCTGTCTTGATACGAGATCATTTATGACAGTTTTGAAAAAAGAGACAGATAATTATAGGATTGCTCTTAATGATGAATCCCCTTCACTGGTGACTGCCTTGGTAAGGTTTAGCCATTTCAAAATCAGAATCTTTACTTCCGTTTAGCGACTCTCCATGATCAGAAGATTTCCCGTCCTTGTTTACCCAAACAGGTATATAAAGATCGGAGACAAGGAGTGCGAGTACAACCCCAGCTTCCGCCTCATCCTGCACACCAAGCTCGCCAACCCTCACTACCAGCCGGAGCTGCAGGCCCAGTGCACCTTGATAAATTTCACAGTGACCAGAGACGGTCTGGAGGACCAGCTGCTGGCCGCGGTGGTCAGCATGGAGAGGCCTGACCTGGAACAGCTAAAGGTGAGGAAATCAGTGGCGGTGGAGAGAAATGCTACCTGATACAGATATTTTACATCACAGAGGGTATTTTGACAGATCTCTGTTCATCTGATATGTCGCAGGAATGTAAAAGTGTACCTGAGGAGACATGAAGGCAGTATCTGTCACACTCTTCAGGTGCTATCAGAGAACAAACAACCGTTCCACATTGGAATCTTTTGAGTTCCTCTCCTAACATCTCTTCTGTGCAGGTGTAATTAAAAGAAACAGTCAGAGGAGTCGGGGGCCTCCAGAAGCCAGGCATAGCACTCTCGCTCGTCATTATCCATCTGTAACGCGTACACGTCGGCAAGAAAACATCGTCTGTCTTTAAACATCACAAGAGGCCTGAGGTCCTGGCTCTTTGATTCCAAAACAATCAGCTGGCTCCTTTGATTAACGGCAAACTAAGTGGATGTGTGATAATTATGGGGCTTTGGGTCTCTCACTTAGGGAGAATGGGACACTGCACGGCTGTGTGTGAATGTGTGTGTGTGTGAGTGTGTCTGAATTTGTCACTGTATGTGCATGGGTGACTGTTCACATTGGCATGTGGAACATGGAGCAATCAGAAAATTAGATTACCATTTTAAATGTGCATTGAATAGAGTTTTTTAAATTAAGTGTACCTTCACATCAATTTTTAATCAGTATCACAATCACAGTATTGAACTTGCTGGGGCATTTAGCAGTTAAAGAGCCAGATATTTTTCTCAGGAGTTGGTAGAGACCAAAAGAGTTAAAAGAAAGTGAATATTGGATGCCTGGCGGCCAGAAACATGACACCAAAGGAAGGATAATTTTGCTCCACAACTAGTTTTTCAAATAAGCAATTCTTTGCAAATAAGTTTATCAAACAAATATTTGATAAACACAACACGTATCAAAGTGGTGATTTTTTTTCCAAATTTTGTTTCCACTGCCCCCCAAAAAAAGACATGATAATAACTTACAATTAAAGGAAATCACTATCACTGTGTTCACCAGTTAGTTGCTAACTTCATCGTTTGCGGTGGGTCTATCACAGCATTTTGCTCCTGTTGAATAGGAACTGAAGTGCTGGGCGTATTTGTGTTCAGTTAAGATGGCACAATGTAACACTGTCCATCGATAAAAGGGTGAAAAAAATACTTTTTTTTTAGCCCCTTCAACATATAACATATAATAGCTCACACACAGATTACTTTGGTCTTGTCAATGGAACCATTTGGCAACTTTTAAAAGTAAACTTTCCATTCAGAATATTATTGGCATCCATTTCGGCGTCTCGCGCTCGCCATCCACTCAAAACGTAACGTCTACTACTCTTAAACAAGTGTGTGCGGCGTGCCTGTTGTTTTGTTTCCGGTCTAGCTAGATCCGGTGTGGTGTTGTAGTTTTTCTAACGTTACTAGTTGTTGCAACAGCATGTGAAAAAAAACGACAAAGTGTGCTAGGCCAAAAAGAACGTTAATCTCGTGATAAAAAAATTGAAATGGGTTTGCGTTAACGCCGTTAATAACGTTTTTAACTGACAGCACTAATGTTAAATGATGATAGACATTAGCAAAAGATAAAAGTATTTATATTTGAATGTCATGGATTGTTACTCTGTTGCATCTGTGAAGAATCACCCATAAAGGCAATAATCCAATAATCCTAAATCAAAAAATCAAATTAACTTTTGAAGCACTAATAATTTACCATTGTGTCACAGTCACCCTGGGTACTGTTCCTGAGACATTCTTCCATTTATCATGGAGCTCCAGGAGTTGTGTAATTGTGTCTTGATGCTATCCTCAAGGGAGTTTCATCTTTTTCTTATCACTTTGGCAGACTCATTTATGTTCACACATCCACGTCCGCCTCTCCAAAATCAAAGGAGAGGCGGATACAAAGCGCTTTAAGGTGTGTTTTCCTTTTTTAATGTAAATGACTGCCTTTGTTGTGTGGACCTTGGACCCTCGACTGCGAGGAGAGGCGAGCTGTTGTTCCACTGTGCTGATAAGCGTCGGCGTCACCGGCTGTAGCTTTAAGCTGTCACTGCTGGTCAGAGTTAATGGCCGGTTCTGTACGCTGTGTACGATACAGCAGGTTCCTGGCAGCTGTACGGCTGACTTTCGAGGAGTAATGAGCAGCAGATAGTTAGGATATCCACAGCATGGTCCACGGTGTGAATGTAAATGTTTATAATTAAGCGGAAATTCACTTGATCAAAGCTCCAGCTCCTAATGATGCCTCACGCTCGTCTCATCGACAATCTGCTCTTTTCATGTCAGCTGTTTGAAATGGATTGGCCGGTGGCGCTACTGTACCGCAGCAATTAGACAACACATTGACACACTTCCACTGTTCCTTAAATGCGGCTCTTGTTAGTGGAGGGGGAAAAGGAAAATCATAAATCCCTATCCGTTCAGAACATGTCTGGCTGACGGCGGCGTCTCAGAGAGATCAGAACGGAAGATAATGTGGGAACTCTGTTAACGGGTCGGGCAGATTTACTCCAACACAATCCCATTTGCATTTTGATGGTTTTCTGGAGGTGTCCTTGTTTGCGTTGGGCCTCTGTTAGGCAACGCTTTATTCAGACCTGTAGGCTTTCATCCATCAGCATTTTTAATAAAGGGAGAGAGGAGGAGGTAGAAAAAAAACAAAACGCCAAAATGCCGGAGTTATTTTAAGCCTTATGTCCCTTCAGCAAAATCCAATGGAGAAGAAGTGAAATGTGATTTAATGAATCTTGTTTAATTAGCATTTCACTGAGATCGGAGGGTGTGAGAAAAAAACAAGATCTGGAACTCACTTATCATTTTAATTAACACTGAAAGTTGAAGGTGGGTGGTGGTGGTGGGGGTGAGTGTCGCTCTGTACACTCCAAGCACCCTCCTATCAAAACAGGGCCCGTAGAATGAAGTGCTGAATGGCTTTTTGTTGTCAGTAAACAACCCCGGACCGATAACAATCACCAGACTGATAGCAAAGTGCAAATTGGCTGTACCTGTTTATATTCTCTGAATGACTCGGTGCCATTATACCTTTAATGAGGTTAGCGCTGCTGCTGAGCCGTAAGACGACGGCCGGGTGAAAGAGCTCTCATTTAACCGAGCCAAAGACGGGCTAAGGAGCTTAAAATGTCAAGTTGCCTTTTTGGAGAGAGCACCCGGGGAATCAGTGTACAACCTTTTACCACAATAACTACCTCCGCCGGTCCTCCCTCTGCGCATACGAGTGTATGTCTACATCCTTGTGTGTGTGTGTGTGTGTGTGTGTGTGTGTGTGTGTGTTTTGCTACACACAATCCTTACCCAGACCGTTGCCGTTAATGAGAACTAAAATGCTCCACTTCCCAAATTACCTTTAACAGGGCTGCTCCGTGGCACTCAGTAATCATTTGCCTAAAAAAATGATAGATGCAATATCTCATTTTAATCCCAATTAGGGTGTTCTGCTGACTGGTTAATTGTTTGTTTTTCCCAAGCAAGGGTAATTACAAGTGCATTGTGCCAGAGGAAAGCTAATCGTTAAAAACTGACTCATTACTGGATCCAGTTGGGAATGTTTTAGTGTGGATAGCTCTTTCCCCTCAAGAGCAATGAGTCTGGGCAAGTAGAAGGTCACAGTTGACTCACACAGGCAAATGTCCCCAGTTAAATGTCCACCACTCAAACCCACTGTGCACTTTTTCTCCAGCATGTCAGGTCTTATCTTAGAATGCCACGAATCACATCTTTCTTTTTCCCCCCCTGTGCAGTTTTGGCAGAGGGGAACTTTTCAACTACAGAGTGGGTAATAACGTCAAACTCAGAGCATGTAAGATTTAACAAGGCAGAGGCTCGATTAGTTTTAACAATGGTGTAAAATACCTCTCATCACCGCAATAGGAAATACTGTCATAAAGAGAGCAATTAAGCAGTGTGATCTCTTAAACTATCTGCTCCCCCGGCGCGATCTGAGCTAAGTATGTCTTTTGTCATGGGAACATTATGCCACAGGGAGGAGGAACAGCCCCCCCCCCCACACACACACACAGCTCCCCCAGTGATTACACGGGGGCAGAAACAGCACTGCCAGAAACTTATTACCACCGTCTGTCAGGGATCACGCCACTCAAAAAAAACCCTCTGCTATTATCAGTCGCTGACAACACCCGGAGTAGGCAAATCTCACAACATCCCACCCTCCCGTAATTACAACAATTCAAAGGTCACAGAGGCTTCTATTAAGGGAAACTTCAATAAGGCAAAGTCATTATCGAGCAGAAACAAGGAGCTACAACAGACTATAATGAAGGACAAAGCAGGATGAAGCAATAAAGAGAAGTAACCGTGCCCTGTCGACTTTGTTCTCCCAACGCCGCTCAAACGCCAGGCTTTGAAAAAGTGAACGTTTTTTTTTTCCAGCTAGAACAAAGACAGGAAAAAACTTTGAGTTCAAGCTTTATTAGAGGATGGGGTGCACTAATCCATATGGCGAGGTGTGAATAAAACCCATTATGTCTGAGCGTGTGTGTATGTGTGCATATTCTGCTATTGGTTCATAATTGAATACGTAATGTCCTGTAACAGATGATTCATAGAAGGTGTGTGCGTGAGTGTGTGTGTGTGTGTTTGTAGTTCACCATCAAAGCTCCTTCCCCCTCTTGCTTGAATCGAAGGTCTCATCAAATCGAGGGTTAGGTCGCTCGACAGAGGTTTGATGTTGGCAACCAGACGGAAGCTGGCTAATCCAGCCCAGAGTGCTCCCTTCATGGGTCCGGATAGCCGATGCAGAGCATATCGATTAGTTCCTCCTTTGAGATGCCCTTTAGTATTCATGTCCTTATATTGACCCACACCTTGAACATCTCCCACCACCTCAGATTATGACGATAAGGCCAGAAAAGAACCTGACAACAAGCACACGGTGTATCTGAGAAACCCTCATTGTTGAAGTCCACAGATTATGTGGGAATCTTGTCAAATGGAAGGTTTTGTGCATTTCTGTGTTCGTTAGTCCGACCTGACCAAGCAGCAAAACGGTTTCAAGATCACTCTGAAGACGCTGGAGGACAACCTGCTGTCCCGTTTGTCCTCGGCTTCGGGAAACTTCCTGGGCGACACAGAGCTGGTGGAAAACCTGGAGACGACCAAACGCACCGCTGCCGAGATTGAAGAGAAGGTCCTGTTCTTTTTAGTTTTATCATCACTTATCTACTCCTCTCAAAGGTCCAGTGTGTAACATTTAGGAGGACCTATTGTCAGAAATATTATATTTCTAGCTATGTTTTTATCAGTGTGTAATCACCTGAAAATAAATTTGAATATTAGAATGAGCTGTTTTTATCTACAGAGGGAGCGGGTCCTCCTCTACAGAGGCAGCCATGTCGAACTGCCATGTTTCTACAGTAGCCCAGAAGGGATAAACCAAACACTGCTTCTAAATAGAGCTTTGTGCGTTTTTTGCAGCCACCATAGTTTCTACTACATGCTTGGAATGGGAGGGTGAGGTGTGGGCATTGTAATCTGCAACTGTACCACTAGATGCCACTAAATCCTACACACTGGTCCTTTAATGTTTTAGACTGCAGCCTGCAAATCACACTGTAACTACTGAGTGCATAAAGGGTCAATAAAATACTTACTAGGTATATACTAAGTAGAGCAGAACATAAGAATACTTTAGGGCATAGCTTTGTGTTTAAGAGGGATAAAGACATGAATTACATTGTGAATATTTCTTAGAATCTATTAACCAATTATAGTCTGGGTAACAAGATAAAAAAAACGTCCCTTATTCATACATTTTATACTAAAATTACAGTTTAGTTACAGGGGATATGGGTTGTTAAATGAAGCTGTCCCTTGTCCAGACTTTCTCACTGTAATTACAGTGTAGTTAACAGTGTATAAGGGCCATTAAGTAAGCTGTCTCTTGTTCACTGTAACTACAGTGTACTTACAGCGTATGTGGGCTTTATAAGCCCTTGCTGACCCCTTTTTTTATTTAATATTTAGCAGCTAATTTTAAAAGCATTTTTACAGTGTAAATTATTTCTTGGTTCCTCCTAAACAAAAAAATATTAACCCCTTATTATCTGTACTTCTTCCATTTATACCAACTTGCAGATACCAAGTAAGTATTTCATTGGTAATCCGTATGCACAAAAAAAATGCATTTTCTTTCTTTTGTTTTTCTATTTTTGCCAGATCAAGTCACCTTAGCGTATTATCTCTGCTAGAAGATAATTCCTGATGTTTCTGGTACTTCAGAGCACTTTTGAGAAAGTACTATATGATGATGTGAGAGTATGTCAGTGAGGAGATGAGCTCTGCCTTTGCAGATGTTCCTTCTTAAGCATAATTGCGCAGGCATTTGCAAAAAAGAAAAAGGGGGGGGAATGGCACGTAATTGTCATGTTCCACACAGTGTGAGAACATTTTGGCTGGAACCGTGAAATTGAAACAGCTCTGCTTTTCACTGGAGGGTGTTTTATTGGGTGGTGCACAATTTCATCATTAGCTGATTGATGAATCCTGAGTGTGTGCGTGTCTGTGCCGATGCACGCCTGTGTCTGTGAGTGTGACTCTGTTTGTGTTTGCACTGTCTTTACTGTAGGTAAAAGAAGCCAAGGTGACAGAGGCTAAAATCAATGAGGCTCGGGAGCACTACCGACCAGCAGCAGCAAGGGCTTCCTTATTGTACTTCATAATGAACGACCTCAATAAAATCCACCCCATGTACCAGTTCTCTCTCAAGGTAGCCTCTCTATTGACACGCCATGTTTCCTCCCCGCCTCCTGGGCCCTCAGTGAGACCCCTCTTTACACTCATTCCTCTGTTCCTCCCCTCCTCCTTCCATTTGCTCACTGTGTTTTATGCTCTTTGCCCTGCTTTTATTGTGTTTGTGGCTCCCTAATGTGGTTATGTAGAGCGTAATGTCTTTCATATTGTCAGCCAGCGAGCGCTGAGAGGAGGCAGCCTGAGATATGGTTTGCAATCACTCCCGACTTCGCAGGTAGCTGCCCTGTTAGTTATTTCCCAACATAATCAAATGAAAACACATTCTGAGTATATATACACCTTTGACCTTGTGAATAAAATGAAATACGTAATATGTGTTCTTCACACAGGGTTAGAGCAAAGTGTGATTCTGCTAAACTGACAGAAATGACACCAAAGATAATGACAATTATTCTATTTCTTTAGCTACATTTCAATTCATAGTCTCTCCAATTTACACTTTTTCAAAGAACAACACTATATTTTACACATACAATGCTTTGTTTGAGAAATTAATTTGTGCTGTTTTCACAAAACATTTCAAAGGTGACTGCGCTAGGCTTTTTTCTGTTCACAGCCTATTCAAAGAGATCCTTATACCACTTATACAATTAACAACAGCCAAGGTCTCAAGGTCAGGGCTGGCATTCTTGTACGTTTTGCTTCTTGACAACAAATCCCTTGAAAAGAGCAAAACTAACAATTATAACAATTACAAGTGTTTCCGAAAGAGTTTTAGTTTCTCTTAGAAAACATTTCTAACCAAAAGGGAGGCATAACTGTAATCTTACATAACTTGCTAATACACAATATCTGAACCTTGTATTTAGAGTACATGGAGACATTAACCCAGCAAAACGTTTTATTTCCACCTGAGAGAAAATTGAAATCAGACTGGATCACTAGAATTGTTTTATTACTTGTCTGCCTGGGCATCCGTACAGATGACTGTGTGTAATCTGAAAGAGCTCAATAGTAATCCTATTTTACAGCAAATTCTGAACCCGAATCTGCAGTTCCCCTCACACAGTACTCATCAACCTTGTTTCAAGCAGCAGCAGGCAGCTGTTTTCAGCAAAAAAAAATCCACTGTACACTACCTGCCCAGCACCAAACAGCAGACTAGCTGAGGAACATGGAGTCAGATATTTTTCTCTGAGCTGGTGGAGACCAAAACAGAGCTGAATGTAAAATGAATATTGGGCTAATATTTGCTGTGTGGCTAGAAACTCAGCATATCCACCAGATAAACTCTGTAAAATAATGACATGTCAGTTGTTTACAGCTTGTTTTGCTGCCCCCAAGCAAAAGGGTCACAAATATAGATTTTTTTTATCTCAATAATTCCCCAAAACAGAATACGTCAGCTGTGGATTAATACACATGTGGTGCTCTGGTGGCAGCAGGACAGTGTATGTGGGATTGAGTCAAAATATGCTACAGTGTGTATGTTCATGCTAATGAAGGAACATGTCACCCAGTGCAACAATGTGGCTCACTGATGTGTTTTTGATAACAATGGAGCTCTATGGCACAGAGGAAGAAGGACCAGCTGTGGGATACACACACAATACTTGTTAGTAGATACATTAATTGTTGGTCTTTGTTTATTCATGGGATTTGTTGACCATTAGAAATATAAAGAAAATCAGAAAATCTGCTGTATAACACATTCATGAATACTTGCATGAACTCAGAACACATTTCAGTCCATTACAGTTAAGGGCTTTCTATAAACAGCCAGAGTGTTATTGATTAGTTCATCTTTAGAACAAACCACATCATATCCATTATGTCAGGTAAATGACACTGACCAATTTATAGTTAAAAGCCAATACAAGCCATATATCAACACTTACTGAATACTATTTGATTTATGGTATATATTTTGTGGATATTAAACAGTATTGTCACTTTGGTACTTCTAACACTTTGATGTCAGATACTGAGACGGTGCTAAGTGTTGTACCCGCTCCTGTGCGTCCCCCAGGCGTTCAGTGTGGTCTTCCAGAAGGCGGTTCTGAAGGCCGAGCCGGACGAGGCTCTGAAGCAGCGGGTGTCCAACCTAATTGACAGCATCACCTCCTCGGTTTTCCAGTACACCACCAGAGGCCTGTTTGAGTGTGACAAGCTCACGTACATCGCTCAGCTCGCCTTCCAGGTAGGAAGGGAAGCCGGTTTCATCTTCTGCATGGTTTGTTTTGAGAACAAGCTTGCCACTGAATCAGTTGCTCCTGGGACCAACGATCCTGTTTGGATCTAATCAAGTGGAAAGGAAATGTGGTTTGCACTGAAAATACAGCATTTCGAAGTCCTTCCTGTTTGTTTGTGTCCCCAGGTCCTGCTGATGAATAAAGAAATAAACCCTGCAGAGCTGGACTTCCTTCTGAGATACCCTGTCCAACCAGGTGTAACATCACCAGTGGATTTCCTATCCAACCACTCCTGGGGAGGGATCAAGGTACTCAGCGAGGCAGAGATGGCTGTATTCTTACCACTGCTGAAATGTAATTACAATGGAAAAATGCAAAGGGTGCAACCAGATCAAATGTATTCCTAGTGCGTGGTCAAACCAGAAACAGGTGATGCTGGAAACATGGTGGTGTGTGCTACAGTGGCTGCTGCTAGGGCTGAAAGTTAGTCTGTTAATGGACTAGTTAATCAACAGAAACTTAAGCTTCAAAAATGATATTTGATTCATGTATTTTGTAGTCATTTATCAAGGGATTTAATTTTTAATATATTTAGTTCCTGTCTCATAAAAATCTGGTCAGAAGACCCTTAAGACATTGCTGATTGCGTGATGAATCTAGTGACTTTTCGTTTTATTGTGGTGTGGCGACAAATTTCAACATTTCGCCATAAAACAGGAAGTTGCCATAACTTCAGCATAGCAGTCAGCCACTAATTTCACATGTTTTGTAAGAATCCCAGCCCAAAAATGCACCAACTACTGGAAACAGGAAGTAAACCTTGCATGGCAGTCATCATCTGATTTACGTAAAATTTTCATGGTGTGGTCTATATGCATGATGTGCTGGCACATGACACAACCGGGGAGTCAGACGCTCTGTGTCTGCATGCCCTAGAAGGTCAGCAATTAGTCAATGGCAATTCATGTGTCAAAGTTCACCGAAGGTTATTTCTACAAGAAAGTATTTGTAACATTTCAGCAGCTTATCGGTTTTGAGATTCAACAACCATTTTCTGATATTACACCACTGTGATTAAGATATGTTCCTGAATTGTCCCATATTCTCTGTAGATAATATGTTAAACATCTACAGACAAATGTTACAAATATAAATTATCTGTAGGCAGACTATCCACATATTGCTATCGAACGCTCTGCACAGATAATCGTCACCTCTGCGAGTGAAATCCACCGATTGCTGCAAGTCTGTTGACATGAATTCATTTATTTCTGAAACGTTGCTGTTATAAATGAAACGAAGGCTGCCAGCTAATTCAGACAGCCAATTAGAGTGCATCCCGGCATCCCCCTGTTGACCCTGGCTTCCCACTCTCTAATGTGCTGAGCTTGTGCTACCTTTTGGGGAGTGACGAGGTCAGAGCCAAGATGCGAAATATTAATGCTGCGCATATTCTATATTCACATAATATTCCACTCTTTATGAGCTGAGTGACTGAGATTCCAGAGTGACTGGACAGTAAATGTAAAATTCTGCACAAAACTGCAATATAAAGTTTTTCATACCATCCCAAAATAGTCTGCTCTTTCATAAAGACAGAACTCTCCTACAATCATAGAGATGTATTAAAAAGATGCATTAATAGTGTTAAATTGTACATCAGCTCTATCTTTAGAATCCCATTCTAGATGGCCTTCAATGTTGCAATAGCCTCCACTAGTAAAAGATTTAATTGACTCTTATGTCTTTTGAAACTAAGTTATCCTGCAGCCTGCCATGTATGAGAGGCTTGACTGAAATCCACTGTTTCCCTCAAGTTATTTCAGCACTTAGCTGCTTTGTGCAGTGTGCAGTTTCTTCCTATGATGCAATTTGTGCAGCCCAGTCTCCCTGCAACAACTTTGCAGAAAAGTGAAAACACACTTAAAAGAGCTGGCAGTACAATTGAAGTCTCTGTTTCACCCGAACCTCCACTCTGACAGCATGTGATTCTCCGGGGCTGGGCTTAGCTCTGTGGCCCGGGTGCCTTTTTTACATTGAAAGAGCACTAGAACAAACTCTGCATACCCGTAATTCCTCTTCAAGAACAGACGTCTGGCAGTACAGCCCTGTGGATGCCAAGCAGCAGAGGTTCCCTCTCTTGTCAGATCAGTTTAGCAGCAAAGTAAACCCTAACGGCAGCATGTTTTTTTAGCCTCTCATGCTCATGAATTTTTCAATCTGTACCGCCTAGAATATTAACTCAACCTAAACCCCTCGGAGGGTTAGGAGACGGCCTTTCCCCAACTGCACTCAACCTACTGTGGATGTTTAAGGCCCCGCTAATCAAATCCTGTCACTCGATTTTCTTATCGCAGTTGGAAACATAATCAGTTGGAAAGCTTTAAAGCGGGATAAGATCCTCTGATTGTTTGGCCCTCTTGATGATATTAGTGGAGCGGGAATCCCATGAGACCCAGTGTATTCTCCCCTCACCGGGTCTGAGAGGTTGCCAGCCGCCTGTGGTAATTAAACAAACTGAGTTGTGTGTGCTGAGCCGCTCTGTCTCACTCTGCCTCACCACCTCATGCCCAGCGGTGAGCGGTGGTAGAAAAAGCAGATTTTATGAATTCACATGGATATTCTTTTCCATGACATCTTGTACTGTATGTTTCAGCTATGAGAAAGTTTCGGGACCTTCCTCATAGTTTATACAGTACACGAGACGGCATACACCCTGCATGTGTGTGTGTGTGTGTGTGTGTGTGTGTGTGTGTGTGTGTGTGTGTGTGTGTGTGTGTGTGTGTGTGTACACTCGTCAGGGAGTGTACCTGCTCGAGGCTGCACTGCATGACACTGCTGTTCTCCGCAGATGAGATAAGGTGTCTGTCAGCTGGGGCGTTGCGATGAAGCCCCTACTGCTTCTGCAACGGGTGCATATTCAGTCCTCCCCAACCCCCCGTCCCGTTATGAAAGGGATCGTGTTTATTCAGCGTTTCCGTTTGAATAAATGTTATTTATATAGGCATGAGGAAAGATAAGCACTCCTTTCTATTTTTTTGTTTCCTTTTTTTCTTCCAACTTCTGCAAACAAAGTTAGTCCTTTTGCTGTATACTGTGAAATCTTTCTGAAGTGGTCAGAAACTTTAATGTGCACCACTGATCACACAGTACCAGCACTTTTGAAAAATACAGTACTTTTTCTGTATGAATCATTTTTCTTTCCCCAACCACCAGTCCCTGTGCTCAATGGAAGAGTTCAGGAACCTGGACAGAGACATTGAGGGCTCGGCCAAACGCTGGAAGAAGTTTGTGGAGTCGGAGTGTCCAGAGAAAGAGAAATTCCCCCAGGAGTGGAAGAACAAAACCTCGCTCCAGAGGCTGTGCATGATGAGGGCCCTGAGGCCTGACCGTATGACGTACGCCGTCAGGTAAGGAGAGGAATCGTAGGGTGCCCTTTGCTCTGTGATCTGTGAAGCATTTTACTGACCTGTGCTGTTTGGTGAAAGGGTAAAGGTTAAACATCTTAACCTTTGGCTTATAGCTTGAGTTGACAGGGCACCTGCACTCACTGCTGCTGTTTGTCTGTTGCTGAGAAGTAGCGGCAATTACACAGCTCTGCGGGTACAATCAATGGGCCTCATTATTGAAGGAGACCTCAACCTCTGTCCAAGAATGTCATCATATCAAACTTTGACCCCGTTTCCTCTTGGTGTTAACAAGCAAGCTCTACTTGGTTATCTTATCTGGATATTAAAACACAAAAAAGAGAATATATCTACCCATGTATTTACTTTATATTTTTACAGTTAGAGAACAAATATTAGCTAATCAATAATTTTCTAAGAACATATGACAAAATGACTGCGTATTGTGACAAGTGTAATAGTGAACCAGACTTTGCAGTTACGCTCTGCAGATCATTGTTCTGGTTTTACAGCCCCCGACTTTGCTGTTGTGGTTCACTCTCGCAGCCTTCTACCCAGACATAACTGGCAGCTGTTCAGCTAAAAAGATCTGTCAAACCCTGTTGTACACTATCTGCTCAGTAAACCAAACCAAACAGACACAGTAAGTTACTAGTGAACTACTGGTGAATAAAATGTAACATTAAGTTGTTAAAAGTCCAGTGTGTAAGATTTAGTGGGATTTATTTACTGAATGTGGCAGTAATTGTGCATGTTGCATAACTCATAACTTCATTAGTGTTTAATCACCGGAAAATAAGAATTGCTGTGTTTGCGTTACCTTAGAATGAACCTGTTATATCTACTGACATCAGGGGTTCTTTTCAACAGAGTCCACCATGTTCATACAGTAGCCCACAACAGACAAGCCTTTTGCTTTTCTGAAGCCATTCAACAAGCAGGAGAATGTAGGAGAAACTACTATGGCCATGAAATTCATTAAAAACGGCAAAAGCCCTATCTAGAGCCAGCGTTTGGTTTGACCGTTCTGGGCTACTATAGAACATGGTGGCCCTCTGTAGATATAAACAGCTCATTCTAAGGCAACAAATACATAACTATTCTTATTTCCTATTGATTATAGACTAATGAAAACATACCTATGAATATTATTTACTGCACCTTTAAAGCTACAAACAACCACTTTTTCAGTGGTGAAAATGTAAGTCAAGCCCATAAAGCAGCATCATTTTGGGAGACTCTCGAGTAGATGCTACAACATGCAAGAAATAGTCACTGCCGGGGTTAGCTGAGCAAGCAGTAGTGCTTGCCTGTCTCCATCTATGACGCTGCTCATGGACATTGTACTACAAGGGCTGCAACGATTATTTTCATTCTTGTTTTGTGCACAACCAAAACAAATTCAGTTTACTGTCAGAGGACTAAAGAAACCAAAAAATATTCACATTTGACAATCAGGGAATTTAGAAATGTTTTCTTAAGAAATCTTTATATAAATATTCGACAATTAATCATTGCAGCTCTATGCACTACTCTCTCAAGAATATTCCACATCACTTCCTCATTGCACTATATCTCGACCACCAATTCTGCATACAGCGATCAGCCATAACATTGTGACCACCTGGGCACCCTGGTGGTCACAATGTTCTGCAGCCCCATACCAACAAACTGCTCTGCACTGTGTGTTCTGACACCTTTCTATCAGAACCAGCATTAACTGTTTCAGCAGTTTGAACTACAGTAGCTCGTCTGTTGGATCGGACCACACGGGCCAGCCTTCTCCACATGCATCAATGAGCCTTGGCCCCCCATGACCCTGTCTCCGGTTCACTGCTTTTCCTTCCTTGGAGCACTTTTGATAGGTACTGACCTCTGCAGACCGGGAACACCCCACAAGAGCTGCAGTTCTGGAGATGCTCTGACCCAGTCGTCTAGCCATCACAATGTGGACAACACATCAACTTTGAGGATAAATGTTCCCTTGCTGCCTAATATATCCCACCTACTGACAGGAGCCATGATGACCAGATAATCAGTGTTCACTTTCCCTGTCAGCGCTGAGAATGTTACGGCTGATCGGTGTAAATAATTTGCATATTGTGATATGTTCAAAACACTGCAAGAATTTAGAGCAAAGTGCTTAATTAATTTAGAGTTAATACCAGGTGTAAATACAAAGGCCATCAGATCAGCTCTCGTTACCCTGGTAATGATTCCAAATACAAATCACATGTTAATATCAGGTGGAAATTGGGTCTCAGAATAGGGTTATATAGGCTTTAAGTAAGCTGGCTTAGTGAAGAGGTAGACCTCTATGTTATTCACCTGTATATAACCTGTATATTTCTGACATATATAATTGATACTATTGATTAATAGCAACAGCAGTGTTTGCTGACATCATTAAAGCATCTGAAATATGAAGTTTTGAATTGCTGTAATTTTGAATCATCCATCAGTAAAGATGGATGTGAGATTTGTATTGTCAAATATTCTGCCAGCAAGGATTTACATAAAGTATATATGTAATTTCTATTTATTTGAGAGTAAATGGTTTGGTTGGAACAAGATTAAGAAAATCATTATGTTTTAAAGGCTGAAGGGTTTAATCAGGAGAGGTTGGGCAGAGCCGCTGACAACAGTCGTGACTAGAATTAATGTTTTCTCTATAAGCAGCTGTCTGTATAAAATTCCCTGTACTACAGAAGATCCCCACTCCTTAAGTTATTCAGGTTGTCGGTCAAAGATAATAAAAAAGTGTTGAGAACTGAGTCATATTCTCCCTGCAGAGACTTTGTAGAGGAGAAACTGGGGAGCAAGTACGTGATTGGCAGATCACTGGACTTCGCCGTCTCCTTTGAAGAGTCGGGTCCGGCTACGCCCATGTTCTTCATCCTCTCTCCCGGAGTTGACCCTTTGAAGGATGTGGAGAAACATGGTAATACTCTCGCTTGTTTTATCTTTAATAAGCTGTAAAACTCAGCCTTCGAGTGTGTTCTGGACTTTTATCAGAGCGTACATATTGCCATTTTATCTGTCATTTCTTTGTCGTGGGAAAATACAGGATTTTGGTGGAATAGCCTATTGAAGTCAAGTGCATTCATACCTGCATGCATGATTTCCACTTTGATTCCTACTGCATAGGATTATCAGTCAGAACAGCAGTCATCCCAACACATCTGCTATGTGTCTCCGCTGTGATATCAGCCATCACTGCCAATACACAACAGGCTCTGGGAAGATTGAAGGGATTATACTAAAGGTCAGGAATATATGAGACGACACCACTGGTGTATTAGGGACAGCAGAAAGTAAATGTCATTGGTTTTAGAGTTACTTTACATTCCTGTATGAATAATGCGGATGGCAGCAGGACGAGCTGTTTTGATTTTTGACCACAAATGTGCCGAAAGTCGAAGCTTTTGTACTGACCTGGAACGGGAACGCCATCACAGCCTGACACTTTTGAATCTGCTGCCAAATAATTGAGTCTGTGGGTATTTGAAGTCAGCTCTATGAAATATTCAGATTGCAGGGATTGTATCAGTTTACTGGAACAAATAGAATTCCTCAGTGATTCTACTATAACCCCCTTTCATTTTCAAATTTCAGCAGCTGGGAGATAAGCGGCGGGTTTGCTACGTGGCACAACCTCTCTTAGCTTTAATATGCAAAATAAACTGTACACATTCTGAATTTAAGTTCATCTCCTTTACCGGACCAAAACAAGCTTAATTTTCTTGTTAACTAATCTTAAAACGCACTTCAAACTCGACAGAAACAAAATAAAACTCACAAAAACCAGTTAGTCTTTAAACTCTTTTCCAACACTAGCTCTGGTGTCTAACTGCCTAACCGAGTTAGATGTGAAAATATTCTGGTTCTACACACTGTCTGATGCCCCACCTCCCTCTCAGTCAGAGTCTTGGTTGGAGCCACAATAAGTCACCTTGCAACTTTATTCGCTGTTGTTGAACTGATGAAATAAACCCTTAATTCATTCAGTTAGATGGGGAAAGATTGTAGCTCAACACCTGCTTTTCCACAGTGGCTCTCGTTCTTCGGAGGCAGACCAATAAATTAGCAAAATAAAATGACGAAAATTGCCCAGCAAAGCCCAACCAGGAATGGACTGGGCTAATCACTGAAAGATTCATCCAACCGTTCAACCCTACAAGTAATTCATCATTATGACTGATTTCCTGTTTTTCTGTTTGAATTTCTTGGATTTCTGTTTCTGCTTGAAAGTTCCTCTTAAATGAATCCGTACCCTAGATTCAGTTAAGAATAAACGGTCTAGGGATGCACTGATACCAGTATCTAATGTTAGGTCTGACACTGGCCTCATGTACCTGTAATCATAAAACTACTCTAATACCGCACCTGATACCACTTTATGACAGCGTGACGTTACCTAACCTCTTGTTGAGTTGAGCAGCTAAGCGGAGGAAAAGCAATGTCAGCAGTTTGGAGATTTAGGCAACTTTTAGAACAACATGAGCAACATTTTATTTGATAGAAAGTGAGGAATATCTGATGAAAATAAAACATGTCACACAAACAAGTCATTGTTAGAACTGTAATGGTATGTATTAACAGGCTTGGGGAATAACGGATTACAAGAAACTTAAACCTTTACATAATCAGGATACAAAAAATTAATGTAATCCATTACAGTTAGAGAAAAAAGAATCAGATTACAGTTACATTTAGTAAAAACTGGGATTATTTAGAAGGATTACGATTTAAAATATGTCAGTTTTTCTTTAAAAATACACTGTAGGACGTCAGTCTGTAAACTGTGGGGAGTCTCTTGACAGATCTCTATGACCTGCAAGGCAATGCTTATGTGACTGTGGCTGTAGCTGTAATGTTATATCTAGACCACACTGGCTGTGGGTTTAACAATGTTACATATGAGTGTCTATAAGAAAATGTTATAGTGGATACATTTCACAAGGAGCTAACGCTTCAGCCTGTTGATGCCTTTGGTAGTTTTTGGTCATATGACCCGTGTCTTGCGGTTGTAGTGATTGAAATGCTGATAAATGTTTTAAAAAGTTTTTTTAATATTTTGGGATCACCTTTGGCTTCTACAAGGGATGATTAAAGGATAAGGATGGTGATGTTCTACATTGTTCTTATTGTCATCAAATCCCATGAGAAGGCTAGAAGCAACAATGAATTGATCCAGATTGTGCGTATCCAAAGCCTGATATATCATGTGTGCATTGATGCCACACATGAGGCACACTGTTGCATCAGGTGACATGTTCTCTTATTACAGTACCACAAGCATGGGCGCCTTAGTTTATTTTGATGCAATCCCACAGCTGCCAGAAATTCTCACCAAATTTGTATTAATCCACACAGCAAAAATCTGCATGCTAAAACGTACAGCGCCCAGCTTTGGGAAATCACTGAGCCTTTTTAAAACTGAAACTATAAATCTGTTTCTAAAGATTTACATTTTAAAGCCTTATTTTCTAAAACCTGTGCCTTCATCTGACTGCTCATGTTTCTTGACCATGCACACTTCTTTTTAGCAAAGTCATGATCTTCCCAGTTAATTTGGTTGGTACAATGTTATTAACACAGATAAGAGTGATGGCCTAACAATGAAAATTGGATACATTCTGTCCTATCCTGTCCTGTCCTGTCTTTTTGTAGAGAAAGATGTTTCTATTTTCCATTTTTGTTGTTTCTATACTCTTTTCAATGGTTACATTGTTTTGTTGTCTTATAGAATGCACTCATCAGTACTTTTGGATCATTCTTTTCGCTTGTCTTTATTGGCATATTTGGTATAGTTTGGTAAAGTAACCCTCCCAGCCCTGTTTATTAAGTCCTCATAGTGGTACTCTGTATCAGAAAGTAACGTAAGTAATGTAAATACTTGTAATTGTTCTGAAAAAAAGTGGAATCGGTGCATCCCTATAACAGTCAAGGACAGCTGTTATCCAGAATACGCAGCAGCTTACTAGCATTAGTGAGTATTTTGGCTTTTAGAAAGACTTCCCAGGCAGCAGCAGGTGGTCAAATCAGCCGCAGAGCTGCCGTAGACAGACCTTCGCCCCTCTGTGAAATCCACCATCCTCTCCTAATATGATAAGATGGAGCACTCCTACTGGAACTGCCTGTAAGGGGTGCGATTATTGATTATCAACACCCTCACTTTAAGCGTAGTCAATCACATCAGCTAAAAGTAACCAATCGCTGCTGCAGCAGAGAGAGCAGGGTGATGATGAGTAGCAGCAGCCACATTACATTGAACCACAAAGAGGTGCTTTTCCATTATAGCTGTGACTATTGGGTTTCTCATTGGTATTAGGCTTCAATTAGATTTTCATTAGATAGGTGATGTGGTTTTCTATGCTCTGCAGGGGACTAATATCCCTGAGACAAAACCTCACTATCTGCCTGGTTTCAGGTTGGAGTTTTAATGAAACAGACCAAAAAATGTTTATTGTCTCTCTAAATCTCAATGGGCAGACTCAAGGTGGGAAATAAGGCTGAGTCATTGACCTTCTGATCATTGTAAGTGACCAAAAGTCACACACTGTGACTTTTGCAAGTTCAAGTTTTTTGAAGTGGGGTTGGTCGAGGTACTTATCCGTAGTCAGTGTGGTACTAGCATGGAAGATAAGCAATGTACTGCAGAAACACAATGTATTCTGGCCACCAAAAAGTCTATATCAGTTTAAAGTGTCCGCTACATTTTGAATATTTTCTCCGCTTTACCCTGCCATCAGACAACATATTCCGATAGGAAACTATCAATCTATGCTCTCTCCAAAGTCGCCTTTTACAGAAACAGAACCCTCGCAGAACATGGGAGTTTCTTTTTTCCTGCTGCCTCGCTAGGTCAGCTTGTTTGTTTTAATGTGTGACTTTGGGTGTTTTAACACTTTAGTTCAGATCTGAACTAAAAAACTACAGCAGGGTAAAGCAGTGAAAACATTGTAAGTATAGTGTCCATACAGGTCGGAGATATACTTGCTTTTAACTTCATGTAAGCATGGTGGCTGCCTGGGGTGTTCTGCGTCTGTTTGGACTGTTGGTTGTGCCCGTTCCCAGAAATGGAAATGTGTCCCCGACACCAACATTTGCTTAAACAGCAAGCATTTAAACTGGTACTGATTTTTTGAAGTGTTTCTAGATTTACAGACTACTTTGATCTGTCAGATGTTTAGCCAAGCTTAGCTAAAAGCAGTTACTTTATGCACTGAAGCCATAATATATATATATATATATATATATATATTTTTTTTTTTTTTTTTTTTTTCAGATGTATATATATACATCTGAGTCACATACAGGTCCTGTTCTCATAATAAAGTTGTGGGCTTTGTGAACTCTTCAACCTCTGAACTACTATTCCCAAGTGACTTGTGTGTTTTGGTGGTGGGTTTTGTAGCTAACAACGTGTTAGTTTTATATTGTGTTAGTAACAAGATATAAAATGTAAATAAGATAGCTTTGAAGTCATACATGGTTTTTTTTTTGGTTTTTTTTTTACTTTTGATCGATGCTAGCTTAATTTGCCACTGCTTCTAGTCTGCTAAGCTAGGCTAAACATGTCTCAGAGCTACATTTATATTGAACCCATAGACATCGATCTTTTCATATAACTCTCAGGATTAAGCAAGAACATTTTCCACAATATGAAACTACTGTTTGAATCCTATTAGTTCAACAATGTGTCAGAGAAGAGTATTTCTGTTTGAAATGTTGCTTATGTGTTTTCTTTCAGGGAAGAAGCTGGGTTACACATTTGACAACAAGAACTTCCACAATGTTTCTCTGGGTCAGGGTCAGGAGGTTATTGCTGAACAAGCATTAGATTTGGCAGCTAAGAGCGGCCACTGGGTCATATTACAGGTACAGTATAAGCACACACACACACCATGCAGGCACAGACAAAAACATCTCACTGTG